CTTCCATATAAATACTAATTCACTATAACTATTGTAAGGATATGACATTCTAGCATAATTCTGAAATGTACTTACAACAGAACTTATAATGAAATCCAAGTGACATTGTGATATCCTATAGCTTCATATATTGTTGACTTCTACAATAACAAGATTCACTTACCTGATTGATCTGAAGGAACACTGTATTGACACTTATTGACTTTGCAATTTAGCTGATAGAAATGTTAAACTTACCTTATTGTATAGCAGAAAACAGATTTCTCTTTACGATTTTCTGTGTGTAGGCAGACGTCCAATGACAGACATCTTTGAAATCTGTCACTTCATACTTTATATTGAAGATTTCTTATTGTTAATGTCAATTGCAGTCAAATTCAATTCAAGAACATAATTTATGTAAAGTTTATAATTGATTAAGGTCAGAAATCCATAAGTATTCACTACATGTTTTTGTATATTAATGATTTTCGTATGTAGATTTTATATGAGATTTCAATATGGCCGCCAGTGAAATCCAAGATTTCAGATTTCAGAAAATCGGGCTGTCTGTCCATTGGTGGATTTCCGGATTTCTGTTGTTTCATTGGTGGATTTCAAACATCGAACCTTATAAAGTCGGAATCCAAAATGTTGTCACTTCGGTCTTGACTCCAAGTAATGCAAATAAAGTTTTAAAAACCGCCAAAGTTCAATAACAGTAAACATCTTACATACGACATTGTTATCCAAACTTGTAAGTTTGTAGGTATTAAATCCAATATTAGTAACTCACTAGACACTGTTGTTGCCGAAATACTTGTTATAAACTTAGAAAACTGTATAAGAATTGTATTTATTTTATCCATCCTGACATACGTTTACACTATACTTATCATTGCCAAAAAGCAACAGATGAAAAAGATGGTTCAGGTAATTGGCCAATGTGTATGTTTTGGAAAATATAGAAGAACATCAAAATAAAAAAGCTTTTAAGAAAAACAAGTAAAAGCATAATGGGCCTTTACAACGTTATTTTTAACCATCGGGGGGGGGGGGGAGATGGCTACCCCACAATCCCCTCTATCACCGTAGGGAACGTGTTACAGTATCGCGTTTTTCGGTTACAGTATAGAATTTTCAAGATGGACGATTATTTATGGGAAGAGAGGTAGGTGATTTTTATTCAGGTCCATACTACTAGAAGTGTAGTTTCTAAAAAGATGTTATTTTTGTGCTTTGCTTGTAAGGAACAGAATCCGTATTCTAGTCATATATTCTTCAGACCCTGCACCGCAGATTTATTCTCTATATTGTCTCATAAATTTGCAGATTTTACGGTTTAAAAATTTTGAATCGAGAGACCAACGTATTTTTTCTCCCATTCCGAACATTATTTAAGCATGCCTAGATAAAGTAAATCTACAAAACGTTAGTCCTTTATGTTTTAGAAACGTTATATAAAGTAAATGACCACAGTTAAACCTATTTTCCTGTTGGTAAAATGCGTTTGAAAAAATAAAACCATTGTTACAGTATAGAGCGAGGTTAATTTTTGAATGGTTACAGCATAGGACCTACGCGACCTTGATCCAATTTTGCTACCAGTTTATACCCAGATTTTCGGTTACAGTTTAGATACCTGCAATTTCAAACCAAGTTTCGTGTATCCATTATTTTTACGAAATAACTCATACCTTTCTATTTAATACATTTCTTGAAAGGTTGTATTACTTTTTTCTTCAGCAGAAAAGTTTTAGTTTGCTATATTTCTTACTTTAAGTTTCAGATTGAGAATTTTTTGCAAATAAGTTCATGTCCTAAGTAAGGACTGTTTTCACGACAACAACAGTAACTTTTATCGAAATTGTAAGTGAGAGAAGAAAAGATTATCTGCTTGATTTCATTACACTTATAATAATGCCTATTAGTAATAAAATAGAGAAAAAAATCCTTAACAGAAGTCCAACACGGAAAACATGAAAATGTTGCAGGCCTCAGTTTTGACTTAACCGTGTTCATGGACGGTAGTGGTAACTGCAAGCTACCCGTTCACGCCTCCTAGCCCCGGCTTCAGCAGAATTCACATTAAACATGAACTGGTTACACTTTAGATTTTTAACATCTTTAGGATGTGTACATATGGCGGTTATCATGGACCTTCAATGTGACACAATATTGCCATTTTATGAAAAGCGGCATATTACCCCCAGTTAAAAAATTGCGTGTTGCCATAAACGAGAATACAATGAGTGAAACTAAACAAAAATGAAATTTTGGAGAGTGGATCGGAGGTTATGAAGCCTGCATACTATAGATAAGCTGTCAAAAGACACAATTAACAATCAGGCGATACCCTAAGAATGATTAAACAGTATTTAAGTGAGTACTGCAACCTTAAATTATATTTTAAGTTGGAATTTCATCTACCATAATGGTATTTTTGTAAGTATTTTAAAAGGGTTTATGAACATTTTCAATTTTGTTGTGTTGGAATTTCTTTAGGGATTCTGTTTAACTCTATTTTGTTACGTTTGGCTTTCTTATGGATTTTAAGTTTCAACGACACTGAGGTCATGTGAAAACATTCCTGCTTTAGTGTAAAGAAAGACCCAGATACCTTTGTGAAACATTTTAGACACGAGCGCCTGACTAGGAACCACCGACCTTCCGTAAATTAGCTTGATAGATTCCTCACATACAAAGAATCCAAAAGTCATGATTGGATTTCAACTACAGCAGTAAATGAAAGATGATTTGAAGTCGATGGCCTTATCCCCGACTCTGCCACTATTATGTACCTCATCAGGCTCACTAGAGAAGATATTGTTATTGTCTGACCTAAATTTATACTCTATAACTTTCAATATTATTTCCTTTTCAGAAACATGAAAACTGCTTTAAGGATGTCTGAAATAAAAAAACGACTTTTAATTTAATAATGACAAAATATCGTAACCTCAACAAAGAAGCATATTCGAAATGACGCCATGATCAAGATTTGATTTGAATGCTTTTGGTTCGAGATGAGAAGGCCGGGTCTTTAAACACTGCCTTTTTTCAAAATCTATGTTTTGGGTTTTCGTATCCCCGATTGCAACCGAAACCATTAATTTGAACAACTTAATTGGTAGAAAGTCATGTAAATTTCATCACATTTAGTCAAGTACTTATACTGAGCGGATGAGATTGCACACACATGTGTACGACAGACGGACGAATAGCCATCGTGCCAATAAGCTCACAGAGATTTAAAAGTCTATGTACGTTCACACATTTTACCTAGTATTATATAGAAAATATAGAAGTCTAAACTGTAACCGAAATCTGGGTATAAACTGTAACGAAATCGGATACAAATCGCTAGGTCTATGCTGTAACCCTGCACAAATTACCTCGCTCTATACTGTAACATTGTTTATTTTTTCAAACGCATTTTACCAACAGGAAAATAGGTTCATTGGTCATTTACTTTTATAAACGTTTCCTAAACATAAAGGACTAACGTTTTGCAGATTTACTTTTTCTAGGCATGCATAAATAATGTCGAAATTGGAGAAAAATGCGTTGGTCTCTCGATTCAAATTTTCACAGGCTGTCAAATCTGCAAATTTTATGAGAACAATATAGCGATAAATCCGCGGTGCAGGGTTTTGAAGAAATATATGACTAGATACCGGATTCTGTTCCTAACAAGCAAAGCACAAAAACATCTTTTAGAAACTAAACTACTTGTAGTATGGACCGGAATAAAAATCACCTACCTCTTTTCCCAACAAATAATCCTCCATCTTTAAAATTCTATACTGTAACCGAAAAAAGCGATACTGTAACACGTTCCCTACGGTGTCTATACCAACAGAGAGAATTTTACATTATGACTACTTAGATAGTATATATTTTTAGGACTACTACCTATAAAGCCGCATCTACACCTAGTCAAGTTTCTTATATGTCACATTAAGCTAAATAAACGGCTCTTTCCACATATTATCAGGCACAGTTTTTTACTGAAATGTCTTACTATTATATTGTTTAAAATATAATGAACATTAATTTTCTATGACCCCAAAGTGCGGTCGTTTGCTTGATGTTGAAAAATACATATGTACCTGTTTAACGCACTTTTGGGTCGAAATTGGACCCCAAAGTGCGTAACGCACTCTGGGGTCGGACCCCAAAGTACGTAAGGCACTTTGGGGTTGGACCCCAAAGTGCGTTTGACCCCAAAGTGCGGTGTTACAATGCTATTACAAAGTCAACAATATTTCAAAAGGCTTAATTTGAATTTGTTAAAGATAATGGCTGTTCTCTGTGAGATACTCGATAGAAAACTGAATACTAGTCACGACCTGTGATATGTATACATGTACTCCGGCGCAGTCAAGCAAAAACAAAAACTGACCAATCCAGTTTTATCAACACGGTAAGGACAAGACAATTATCCGCTATACGTTGCAATGCGGATAATTTGAAAATATATGCTTCCATTCCGTTTTCATAAACTTGGTGTCAAACAAATGAATATTTGCTGAGTTTCAGTAAATATTCTGTTATTTATAATAATAATAATAATAATAATAATAATAATAATAATAATAATAATAATAATAATGATAATAATAATAACAATGTTGCTTTTCTGCGTGTTGTTGCAAATGACATTATTTTTGGAACACCCCTCGTATTCAATACTGTCATTGTTCATATAAGAACATGTGATATAAAATACAAAATTGTGAACATGTACAATCGGAACACAGAAAAAAATGCATAAAAACAGGAGAATGAAGAAATTATGATATATTGTACCCGTAAAATAAAACATATTATACTTATTATTTGCATGTTGTAATTATTTCTTTACAAAACAAAGCAATGATTTTTTAAATAAAATTTGTTTTAACTATTCATAAAATCTTCAGATTTCCAGGCATTGTATAAAAAAGAATTTATTCGTGTTTGTCTTACGCTAGGTTTAATATTCTTCTTTCAAACTATTAATTCTCTTTGGGTTATTTTTTTTCTTGATCTACCAGAAGCGTTTTCAAACGTTCATTGACTTGGACGAAAATAAAAGAAAAACGTAAAATTTACATCGTGATTTTAGCTTTCAAGCCATTTGATGTTATTGATTTACCTATAAATTGATACAGGTAATTGTTCTGCGGACATTACATGTTAGACTAGTCTGCCGGTAACTGTTTCTGTTTGACAACTCGCATGTTTTACTGTCCTCCTCACCCATCTAGGCTCACAGGTGCTTGAAACAAACTTTTTAAAGTTTTATATGGGCTATATACCATAAGAAGATATAAAGTATCTAACAGAACACGAACATCATGCTGAACAGACAAGAACACTGCTGCAAGAAACAACCAGATCACGGTTATCTCTTTCTGGTCGACATTCGAAACCATCACTCCAAGCGTTAACGCTTTTTAATAAATTAAAATTCTTCAAATAGCAAAGAAACAGGGCCAAAAAACCCTTCTTTGTAGAGGCCGATTATAGGCTGCTTCTCCAACCAAAATAGCCTCTCTTTTTTTTCCCCAGTGTGACCGCCTCCGTGGTCGAGGGGTTAGAGTCGATGACTTCTAATCCAGTTACCTCTCTGGCATGGGTTCGATCCCCGGGAGATGCTTTGGTAGTTTAGCGCGGAGGAAGGTAGTCTAGTACTGGTGTTACTCTCCAGGAACGATGGTTAGGAAACTACCCGCCTATATGACTGAAATACTGTTGGGAAAAGGCGTAAAATGAAACAAACAAACAAATTTTCGCCAGTAACTGGTCCTCAAATTCCCCAGTCTTTTGAAATTTCCCATAGAATTTAGCACAAAATTAAATGATGGTGTTGAATTAAGGTTTTTTACTGCCTTATTAGTATTCCCCAGTGCTATTTGCTTTTCTATTTCGAAGAACTTGTTAAAAGTTTGTGTTAAATTTGAGACCCCATTTTCGAAAGTATGCCAAAATCGCGCATATTTTCCCCAAAAAAAAGGCTGAGTCTTTTCCAATCCAGATCCACAATCCCTTGCATGAGATTTATAAGCATTTAAAGTTTATCAATATCTGCCATCTTGTTTAACATTACCGAAATATTTTACAATCAACCACTGAAACTAAAAAGTGTGCTGTCTTACTGACATCTTGTGTGTAATTAAAGCCCTTGAAGTATCTAGGGTTCCTGTGAATGCAATCCGGTCAACTCGTCCCCTGGTCAACTTGTCCTCTGGTCAACTCGTCACCTTTATGGTCAACTTGTCCCCTACTTTTGGTCAACTCGTCCTCAAAGAGTCAACTCGTCCCCTACTTTCGATCTATTCGTCACTATTATGTTGTAAATCAATTTCTTTAAATAGTTCTTTTATGTAAAATTAATAATGAATTTGATTGGTATCGAAATATTAATAAAATAACGTCTTTTTACGTTAAATTTTAATGATCTTTATCTAAGCGCACATGCATAGCTTTGATGTCAAACTACAAAGACAGGTGAGTTTGCAAACATTCAATTAATGTTTAATTAATCGGAGTTTTAATGATAATTAAAACTAAAATTAGGTACAACTCTTTGATTTTTACCTCCTCCCTGAATGGATTAAAGACTGACGACAGATTAACAGAAATTAGAAGTGCTAAAAACTTTATGTCGGTGCGTATTGATCTCATTATAGAAGGATCAATTAAAAACATGATAATAGTTTGTTGTGAAAATGTCAATATAAAAGTTGCCCTGATAAATATAAGGTCTTCCTCCACCAATAAAGCTGGAAAAAAATCTCGGCGGGATGCTCTAGGATGGCTCGACTTGAGTGTACGGTCGCCCATATGGGCTTTCCGGCGGCGACCTTAGATAAACGCATTGAAAAAAAAAGAAGATTTATTCTTAAAATCATATTTGCGTTGTACATTATATCAACATTGGATTATTTTTTATAGTGCATATTAATAATTTCTTAGAATTCCATATTGTTGGATTATAGACTGCAACTTATATAGTGTATTGGAATAAAAATTGTCAAAGAATTTTTATTTGTTATTATCTTTTTGTAAAGGGTAAAATTCCAAATTTAATGAATTTATTAAGTTTCTGATTTTTTAAAATTGCATTTCATTGTAATATTATGGTCCATTATCATAGGAGTTGTATATACATACATACCTGTTGAAAGAGTTAGTATTTTTTTTTTTTTTTTTCAATATTTTTTTAAAATAAAAAAATCTGTACAATAATATTTGCCGTGGATATTAACTGATTGAAAACATAAAGTAATTACCAAATATTCAATTGCCATTTAATAATTAGTAAAGATTAATATTAAATTTCCATAAATAAGTCTTTAAATTGATCTCAAAGAGGAGCTGTATAAAACCGAGTTCTTGTATAAAACAAGTCAACATATTGAATGTATTATTTGTATTTAATTCAACATTTTCATATATTTGACCATACACCATCAAAAACAAATTCCACATTTGGAAAATAAAATTTTATAACAACCTTTGGCACGATTTTCACGCGATTTGTATAATTTCAAATTAAAGACACGCGTTCTTCAAATATATAAATACGTATCCAACCACAGAGGCTAATGTGTCTTTAATCCTATTATCAAATTACTATGTGTTTACTTTAATAACCAAAGGCACGTGTCATGATATATTTAATTAACAACAACAAAAAAAAAAAAACTCCAGATTTTCGCATACAAAAAGCGTCAAAATACGAGGGTTGTCCCAAAAGTCCGTGACAAATTTTATAGCCGGTTCATTTTTAACGCCAATAGAAAATAATTCACACATATAACCGTTAAGTTTATTATTTAACATTACAACAAATCATTTACAAAAAATTTACCCTAGTTACTTAGAAATTTTCAGTATTAACGACATTGGTTTGAGTTGCCGGCGCAAGTCAAATAATTTACATTTTGTTATGAATAGGCTGAAATTAATTGCGTATATTTCAAATATCTGATAATGTGTCTGCACAATGTCACGTTGACTTCCTCTGCTGCTATGTTTAAATCATCTCTGAAAATTTTAGTTAAATAACTTAAAAAACGAAAAAGATACGAATAAATGAAAATATCTCATATAAAATAGGAAAGTTAAAATGGCGATGTTCGAAGAATTTGCGGCGCAGTGAACATGTCACTCAGGTTTCATGACTATTTCGAAATGACACATGTAACGATTTTCAACAAATATACCAAATATAACAGTTTAGCAACATATTCTGAGCATTTGTGTACAAAAGGCATGAACGGAACCAGAGTTTTGCGCTACAAAAAGCGAAAATAAGGAAAACACGGATTGGAAGACCGATCTTCGTCGCCTATTTCCTACAGCTAAAAACAGGAGTAACGAGACCGGAAGTTCGCGTATAGCAAAAATTAATGTATGCCATCCAAACATTCAACAGACATTAACAACCACATGATTTAAGTCAGAAATTGACGATTTATGGGTACCATTATTGCGTTGAAAGCCATTGAGAGTATTTGAGAAAGGCGCCTTATATAGATTTAACGCCGTCTTTGACGTTGGACGTGCGCCGCGATTCAGTTAGTTGCCATGGTGTTTATGGCATATTTTTGTTGTTTGTTGATATTTATCTATGAAAATTTGTGAAAATGTTTAAATTATATGGGTTTATAACATATTAAAATATCAAATTCGTACCTGTCTTATTTAGCTTTTAATTAATCTTGTCACAGAATATTGGGACAACCCTCGTATGTCCAATTCAGTAATTTTATAATATATTACTTTAACGGTCTATAATAATTTATGAACTATATGAAAAACAAATAATAATAAAATATAGGGGACGAGTTGGGGACGAGTTGACCAGGGGACGAGTTGTCCAAGGGACGAGTTGACCAAAAAGGTGACGAGTTGACCAGAGGACGAGTTGACCAGGGGATGAGTTGACTCTGAATCCTGTGAATGACATTTTATATATATATTCTTTTAAATGTTTTATTATCGCATATATATATCTGTTTTGTACTTGTACAAACTGTTTGAATGTATTTTTATTTATATAGAAGCATGGATGAACTCAAGAAGTTAGAGCACTTGTCACTGGTGTCTAAAGTGTGTACAGAACTTGACAACCATCTCGGCATGAATGATAAAGATCTTGGTATGTTCTTTAAAGCTGCAAATTGGGGGAAGAAAAGTTTTCAGATAAAAAAAAACTGAAAATTACATGTATTTTTTATTGGACTCAAAATAAAAGTTAAGAGTCAGTGAAATATGTTAGGATAACATTTTTTAGTAATTGTAGTTCCTTGAAAGATGAATGGACCCTCATTTAGCGTAGAATATAATAAAAACCATCTATACAAAATTTGTTGATTCTGGCACATGTGACAGTGTATTAATATTTTTAAACTTGTCAATATGTTTAGTTTTTGGTAATTGTCAGAAGATTATTAGTACCAGATAAAAATGTAGACTCTAATTTATTTGCCTTGCTCTGTATAAATAATTTTGACTAGATAACCCTATTAAATGCAATGAAGATCTTCAAATTTTTAACTTTTGACATACAATGTATATATTTCCACATTTATTGATATGAATGATGATTTTACTTTGACCTTTTTAAATTGAAAAATGTTAAGCTTTTGCTATGTACAGTCAGGTTGATGTTGAGGTTGCCATCGCCATCCAAAAACTTTAACATATCAAAGATATTCCCTTTAAACTTTGAATACTTGTTCAGTATAAAAATTACATTTCTAAAGGGCATTTTTGCCAAATTATCTCCTTTTTATTTTTTTATATTAATAATTTTCTCAAAAATCATCACAGATATTCACTTCAAGCTTGAAACACTTACTGTATATCAAGACAAAACGAACAGTTTATCAAAATTGTGCCCCTTATCCACATTTCCTTTTATCATATTAGTACATTGTCTTTAGTAAAGAAGAGTGAGCTGCTCCCACGACAGCTCTTGTTATTTTGTGCATTTGTACAATATTTTAATTGTGTTTATATTGAATAGTTAATAATTTAATATTTTGTATATTCTAGCCGAATTTGTAATATCCTTGGCTGAGAAGAATGACACATTTGAAAGTTTTAAGAAAGTTTTAATGGAAAATGGTGCAGAGTTTGGGGTAAGATTGTTGATAATATTCAGAGGTATATTATAAATTATACTGAAATGTTATCTTAGAATTATGTCTTGTAACATAGGAAGACAAAATATATATAAAATGAAATACTAAATTCCATGTTTTTGATAAGGATTTAGAATTCATTGACAGTTTAATCCATTAAAGGGGAGTGGTGACCTAGTGGTTGTGTCTGCCTCAACCCAGAGATCATGGGTTCAAGTCCTAATCATGTCACAACCTTGTATCTTATTGACACCAGTAAAGTGATTAATATAAGTTGCAACAAGTTGTTTCACAATTGAGCTTAAATAAATTTGTTAAAACCAATTCATTATCTGTTCCAAATTTCAAAATTTTAAGAAATAAAAACTACTGTCTGATGTACTTTTAAAACATTTTCTTCCAGGATTCTTTAATTGCCAACTTATTAAGATTGATACAAAAGATGAAGCCTAAACCAAAATCTGTGGATAAGGAGGTCAAGGTCACCAAGGATATGTCTGACCTTGAGATAAAGAAGAAACTATTTCCGGGTTTAGCATTACCAAATGAAGTGAGGAGTGCCTCTCCTGTAAGTTTATTTATGTTTCATAAACTGTAAAACATATTAGTATCTGCTATCAAAAAAATATATGCGTAAAGTAATCTTCTCATCAATAGATTGTATACACACACAAACAAAATGAACATGTACATGTGTATGTATTGTGTATGTAACAAAGAACAATTTACCTTGATTATGTAGCTTTAATACAAGTTGTGTCAGATGACAAAATACATTTGGTTGTTACTTATCTGCAATACAGGAGTTTTCACTTTTCAGTTTGAAATGAGCAATTCTGGTTCAATACAGCAGCATTGTTTATGATGTAATTGTTGATGTCGTTTCCTTTGTTTGCACTTTAACTGTAAATTGAAATGTGATTTTTGAAGTTGATATTCCTACTTGAAAACCAGGGATTTGACTCATTCACAATAAATCAGTTGTGATATAGGTAGAGTGTTAGAAATGAGCTTCACAACAAGGTGTACTTTTCAGCTGAATCTATCAACATAGTTGTGTGTTTTGAATTTTTCTGCCATAATAGAATCATGCAATGTGTAGTGTGGTTTGCTCCTAATTAAATTTAAAATATAAGATCTTCATAAGTTGTGTGGGCCTAAGGTTTTCTAGTTTCTCAATCTGCCACTGTCACAGTTCTTGGTTTATACAGAATTATTTTTTGTTTGATTATATTGGAAGTTTATAGCCTACAGACACACTCTTGAATTCTGTTTAGTACTGATCAAGAAGTGTAAAGTTTCTTCTTGAAGGAAACAATGGCCTGTCACTGGTAGGGTTTGAACCCACACAGATTAGTGATCCTTATTTTACTAGACCAATGTGGTAACCGCTTGGTAATGCCGCCACACTGTCACAGTTTTTGACATGTAATTTGAAAAATTAATGTACATGTAGAAACAAGTGAGCACATAAGTATACAGTATGTTTATGTTACAGGAGAAGATTGACAGTAAAGATAAAGATGTGGCTGATAATATGATGGATGAACTAGAAGCTCTCATGAATACAGCAAAATCTTCGTATGTCTTTCTTATACTATTCTGATAACACATTCTAGTGTATATTTTATAGTTTCCATAAAATTTATATACTGTAACCCAATTTATATTCGCGAATACAAATTTTCGCGTTTTGCCGAGGTCGGACATATTCGCGAATATTAATTTCCGCGTTTTCTTGATTTCCGAAAAAAAAAATTCGCGGATTGGAAAGTCCGATGGGGCCGTAAAATACATTAGCCGACTATTAATCTTCAATAATTGAGGTCATTATTGGTGTCTTAAATGAGATTAACAATACGCTAGCCTTATATTGTATTGGTAAGTGAATTGTGATCACGGAACGTGATTGACAATAGGCCTACTAGTATGTCATAAACTGTATTAAAATGTGGATGTTTATTTTGATTGCTATATTGACAAAGAGTTCATTTGATATTCATAAAATAGTAGTAGTTTACTTAGTTTGGGTTTTATTGCTTTATGGCATTATTCATAACAATTCATTACTACCTAACAGGTGCCCGTAAAATTTGAACATATCCGGTCAAGTAGCTTTGCATGAACAACGTCTAAAATAAAAATTTCTCTCCAATTTATTCGCGAAATCGTGCGGACTTATTCGCGCAAACAAATATTCGCGCTTCGTGGCCATCCGCGAATAAAGCGAATATTAATTGGTCACGAATATTCGTTGGGTTACAGTATGTCTTTGACAAATGGAAATCAACAATATACAGAAAATGAAATGAAAGGCAGTATTCTGAATTAAGCATTCATAAACAAAATAAATATTTGTTAAACAATATGATACAATGAAAACAAGTGTTCATTGAATTTGATTGTGTAGGAAGCTAATAGCTTATAGACACGTTTGCGAATCCGTTCAATACTGAGCAATAATATAAAGTTCCTAACAACTTGCCCCTGACCGGATTTGCACCCTTATAGATAGCTTAGATTACTAGTGCAATGTGTAAACCACTCAGCCATGCCGCCACATTTTTACTGTAATTTCAAGTCCATGCTTCAATGTCTCAAAGTATAAATTGTAATATGTTGTAATACGATGTCCTATATACCTGTCATTATTGTATAAATACATAAAAAAGGAATACAGAAAAACATTTGACCCTAAAATAACATCAAGAGTACTGATTGTAAATGATAGTTCATTGTGAAATCAACAAATTTTACAAATGTTATTACTTTTCAAATTGATGAAATGATTGATATATTGATGGAATATTAACTTGTTTAAAATGTTAAAGTTTTTCATATTCTAAGTTGTTTTGAAATTTTGATTGATATTAGATACCAATTAACTTCTTTCAGAACTAAATCTGAGTCAGGGAAAGATTACAAACTTAAAGACAAGGAAAAGAAGAGGTAAGAATTTTTGTATAGCTTGATTTATCACATACCCCTGCAGCATTTACAACTCCATAAAATGGTATGGCAGGGCTGGGCATATATTTTAACATGACATTAACAGCATTATACAAATATAGCATGAATAGTTAATGTTACATGAAAGGTGCATAAATGAAACAAAAATTACTGTTCATAGATTTTTTGTGGAAATGTGATAAGTAGAATATTACCTGCAGGTTCATTTTTAAATTTATACGAACTGAATGAAAGGTTGCATAATATAATTGTATTGAACTTTTATAAATATATTTGTAGCGCTAGGTAGTCAATAAGTTAAGAGAGCTAAATTTACTAAATAGGATCACAAGAACGAAGGAAATTAAAGTTCACATAATAATAAGTTCAAACTTCAGATAATATTTTTATCTTAAATTTGAAATTACTTTATAGGAAACGTCACTCTAGAAGTCGTAGTAGATCCAGGGATCGTTATCGATCAAGATCTCGATCCAGAGATAGAAAGAAGAAGAAGAAACATAGAAATAGAGACAGATCCTACAGTAGAAGTAGAAGTAGGGAACGAGAGAAGGAGAGATACAGAGATAGATCTAGAGATAGAGAGAAAGACAGAAGTAAAAAAACACGAGACAGAGGTCATGAGATGCCAGTTGAAGTGGAAGTTGGCAAGGTAGATTTTATATATCATTATAATTCTTAACTGACTTGTGAATTACATTGTTTACAATTTATGAAATGAAAGATTGCAATACTTTTTCTTGTTAATTTTTATCTTCCAAGATCATAATTGCAGAATTCTATAGTACACTAAACTAACTATGAAAGTTTTTATGGTACACTACTGTTGTTTTGTTATTAGATATACTCAGGAAAAGTGAGCAGTATAATGCCATTTGGATGTTTTGTCTCAGTAGAAGGTGTCAGAAAGAGAAGTGAAGGACTTGTTCATATATCACAGGTATATTGTGTACATTCTTGTTTTACAGTATAAGCATTTTACATTGCCTCATTCAGATTTTGTTTTTGTTAAGATGTATTCATTTGATAGAATACATTATATTCACACAGAATTTTATTTCTATAGTCATCAAATGTACCGTATAAGTACTTATTTCTGCGGCTTAATAGTCTGCGATTTTTGTTAAAATAACGGGTTTTAAATTTCTGGTATCTGATTTCTGTAATGTCATCATTCTCGCATTGATGTTTTTTTTAGCTCACCTGTCACAAAAAGACAGGGTGAGCTTTTGTGATCCCTTTTCGTCCGGCGTCCGTCCGTCGTCCGTCCGTCCGTAAACTTTTACTTTAAATGACATCTCCTCATAAACCACTTAGCCAATTTCATCCAAACTTCACAGGAATGTTCCTTTGGTGGTCACCTTTAAAAATTGTTCAAAGAATTTAATTCCATGCAGAACTCTGGTTGCCATGGCAACCGAAAGAAAAAACTTTAAATATCTTCTTTTAAAAAACCATAAGAGCTAGAGCTTAGATATTTGGCATTAAACATCTTCTAGTGATTGTCTAACAAGTTTGTTCAAATAAAAGCCCTGGGGTCAAAATTGGCCCCGCCCCGGGGGGTCATTGATTTTCCCTATATGCATATAGTAAAAACTTAAAAATTCTTCTTTCAAAGAACCCAAAGAGCTAGAGCTAAGATATTTAGCATGAAACATGTTCTAATGGGTGTCTACCAAGTTTGTTCAAATAAAAGCCCTGGGGTCAAAATTGGCCCCACCCCGGGGGTCATTGATTTTCCCTATATGCATATAGTAAAAACTTAAAAAATCTTCTTTTAAAGAACCCAAAGAGCTAGAACTAAGATATTGAGCATCAAACATGTTCTAATAGGTGTCTACCAAGTTTGTTCAAATAAAAGCCCTGGGGTCAAAATTGGCCCCGCCCCAGGGGGTCATTGATTTTCCCTATATGCATATAGTAAAAACTTAAAAATCTTCTTTTAAAGAACCAAAAGAGTTAGAGCTAAGATATTTAGCATGAAACATGTTCTAAATAGTGTCTACCAAGTTTGTTCAAATAAAAGCCCTGGGGTCAAAATTGGCCCGCCCCGGGGGTCATTGATTTTCCCTATATGTGTATATTAAAAACTTAAAAAATCTTCTTTTAAAAGAACTCAAAGAGCTATGGCTAAGATATTTAGCATCAAACATGTTCTAATAGGTGTCTACCAAGTTTGTTCAAATAAAAGCCCTGGGGTCAAAATTGGCCCCGCCCCAGGGGGTCATTGATTTTCCCAATATGCATATAGTAAAACCTTAAAAAATCTTCTTTTAAAGAACCCAAAGAGCTAGAACTAAGATATTTAGCATGAAACATCCTCTAATGGGTGTCTACCAAGTTTGTTCAAATAAAAGCCCTGGGGTCAAAATTGGCCCCGCCCCAGGGGGTCATTGATTTACCCTTTATGCATATAGTAAAACCTTAAAAAATCTTCTTTTAAAAAACCCAAAGAGGTAGAGCTTAGATATTTGGCATGAAACATCTTCTAGTCAGTGTCTACCAAGTTTGTTCAAATAAAAGCCCTGGGGTCAAAATTGGCCCCGCCCCAGGGGGTCATTGATTTTTTCCCTATATGCATATTGTAAAACCTTAAAAAATCTTCTTTTAAAGAACCCAAAGACCTAGAGCTAAGATATATAGTATGAAACATCCTCTAATGGGTGTCTACCAAGTTTGTTCAAATAAAAGCCCTGGGGTCAAATTTGGCCCCGCCCCAGGGGGTCATTGATTCACCCTATATGCATATAGTAAAACCTTAAAAAATCTTCTTTTAAAAAACCCAAAGAGGTAGAGCTTAAATATTTGGCATGAAACATCTTCTAGTCAGTGTCTACCAAGTTTGTTCAAATAAAAGCCCTGGGGTCAAAATTGGCCCTGCCCCAGGGGGTCATTGATTTTCCCTATATGCATATAGTAAAACCTTAAAAAATCTTCTTTTAAAGAACCCAAAGAGCTAGAGCTAAGATATTTAGCATGAAACATCCTCTAATGGGTGTCTACCAAGTTTGTTCAAATAAAAGCCCTGGGGTCAAATTTGGCCCCGCCCCAGGGGGTCATTGATTTACCCTTTATGCATATAGTAAAAACTTAAAAAATCTTCTTTTAAAAAACCCAAAGAGCTAGAGCTTAGCTATTAAGCATGAAACCTCTTCTAGTGGGTGTCTAACAAGTTTGTTCAGATAAAAGCCCTGGGGTCAAAATTGGCCCCGCCCCAGGGGGTCATTGTTTTTCCTTTTATGTATATAGTTAAAACATAAAAAATCTTCTTTTAAAAAATCTTAAAAGCTAGAGCTAAGATATTTAGCATCAAACATCTTCTAATGGGTGTCTACCATTTTTGTGTCGCCTCTACGGAGAAGTGGCGATATATAGGGATCACTTCTCCGTCGTCCGTCCGTCTGTCCGTCACAAAACTTGTCCGGACTACTCCTCATAAACTACTGGTGCAATTTCATCCAAACTTTACAAGAATGATCAGTACCAAGCCTAGTTGTGCATATTGTCAGCATTTTCCGGTTCAATGATTTTTGGCAGAGTTATGGCCCTTTAATAATTTTTAATTTTAAAGTTTGTCCGGACTACTTCTCTTATACCACTAAAGCAATTTCAATGAAACTTTACAGGATTGATCTGTAGCTCAAGTCCTTGCGCATATTGCAAGGGTTTTCCGGTTGAATGATTTTTGGCCGAGTTATGGCCCTTTGATAAAAAAGGTGTATTTTTCTGTGTTTTGCCAGATACACAAAATATTGTCCGGACTACTCCTCATAAACTACTGGTGCAATTTCATCTAAACTTTACAGGAATGATCAGTACCAAGGGTAGTTGTGCATATTATCAGCATTTTCCGGTTCAATGATTTTTGTCAGAGTTATGGCCCTTTAATAATTTTCATTTTTAAAGTTTGTCCGGACTATTTCTCTTATACCACTAAAGCAATTTCAATGAAACTTTACAGGATTGATCTGTAGCTCAAGTCCTTGCGCATATTGCACGGGTTTTCCGGTTTAATGATTTTTGGCCGAGTTATGGCCCTTTGATAAAAAGGTGTTTTTTTTCTGTGTGTTGCCAGATACGCAAAAGCTTGTCCGGACTACTCCTCATAAACTACTGGTGCTATTTTATCCAAACTTTACAGGAATGATCAGTACCAAGTCTAGTTGTGCACTGTCCGTCTGTCTTTCCGTCTGTCACAAACTTTGTCCCAACATGAAATTGGCCATCATGAGGCGACACATGTGATTACTGATCGCTCTTGTTGTTAAATTAAGGGCCCTGGGGTTAAAAAATTGGCCCGGCCCCGGGATCATTGATTTTCCTTTTATGTATATAGTAAAAACTGAAAAAAATGTTCTGTTAAAAAGCCCAAAGAGATAGAGTTTAGATATTAAGCATGAATTATCTTCTAGTGAGTGTTTACCAAGTTTGTTCAAATAAAAGCCCTGGGGACAAAATTGGCCCGCACAGAGGGTGTGGGTCATTGTTTTTCACTATATGTGTTTAGTAAAAACTTAAAGATTTTCTTAGAGCTAGAGCTTAGATATTTATCATGAAACATCTTCAAATGGGGATCTACCAAGTTTGTTCAAATAAAAGCCCCTGGGTTAAAATTAGCCCTGCCCCGGGGGCCTGTATACAGGTGAGCGATTTCAGGGTCATCATGGCCCTCTTGTTTTATTATTTCTGCGATTTAATTAAGATACAGTACAGCTCAAGCAATTTTTCCTCTTTCCACTCAGTCACCGCGGACACTTTAAACGGCAAACAGAAAATCGCGGGGGACATACTATAGTATGCCACGGCGACAAATCACCACGGACGGGTAGTAAAAAAAACCCTGCAATCCGCGGTGGAAAATCACAGAGATTTGCAGTGATTTATTTGCATATACATGTAAATGTACAACGTAGTCTTCTTTTAAAAAATCAAGAAGACTTACAATGTGACTGATGATTTTAATCATTCAATAAAATTATTTAATTAGCTCGGCGATATTAATGTACATTTACCGGGGAAAATCACATCACAAAACAGTTCAATGAAAAAAGTTTCAAGAAAACGGAATAACAAAATATTAACGAAATCGGTCAACACTTTCAAGAAAATTAAATGCTTTGATGTTTCTGTGTAAAAAGTTGAAACGATAGCTAGAACACTTAAACGCCACTTATTATATAATATACATGTACATTTAATAGCGGCCAATCCTAAGAAGGTGTTATATCCAATCAAGGAACTAATTTATTTATTCTTTGCTCAAGACCACTTAATTAAGCAATTTACACCTACAAAAATTAAGCAATTAGCACATACACCTAATAGTGCAGCCGTGGACTAGTTCATGTACGTAATTATATATAATAGTTTAACAAATCTTTCCTTAACATATGTTTTTACGTAAACTTTGCAAGATGTCATTACGAAATCTGATCAAAAGCCACAATTTTTTTGCTGTTAATTACTACTGTGATGGGAAAATGCAATTAAGAAGTCGAGGATTTATTCTCCATAATGGTGAGGTGAGTGTCGTAGAAAAAAATTAGAATCTATCTCATTACTTATTATACAACTACAGTAGTCCACGGTATGCACTATCTAAAAATTTAGATCTGTAATCATGATGAAATAAACATATTTGTTACATTTTTTTTTTCAGATCATAACCGTAAATGCGACATTAAATATTTAAAATAGAGAAATGTTTAGTTCAAAAGTAAATTTGTGCGTATTATATGCTATGACCCACTTAAACTTTAGTTCTCGTCAATATTTGGAGGGAAGGTATTTAAAACATGTAAATTTAACAGAAAAAATTGTTTAAATGGATCAAAGAAATAATTAAAAATTCTTAAATGATTGTAGCACTGTAAAATCAGAAAGGTTAAAATGGCTTAAAGCAGTTGAAATTAATTATGTTAAAAGTTACTACATATTAGGGTTTTAATTTCACACGCAAATCATTAAATTTTGTAATTATTTGCATACGACAGGTGTTATGTCCTTTTAAATACATAACATGAAGATTTTCTTCTATAAAAAATGTGTTTGAGTTCATTATATTTTACAGACATACAGTAATAGTAATAAATGTCCCCGTGTAATAAATAAACTAATGGTCACCCAAGAGAGCGAAATACCCCTGCAATATTTCACAGTGATCCGCGTTGACAATATTCCGCAGGGCAAACTTCCCCCGATCAAGTAGACGAGCGGAAAGTCACAACTATCGCAGGGACATCGCGGTACCTCGCGGGGATCGGCGTACTTTGGAAAAATTGCTTGAGCTGTACTGTATTTCTACAAAATTAACCGATACAAACAGACAACATTTCAAGATTTGTTGATGTAACATGTACATTACTTCTGGTAAACATGCAGACGCCTTATACTGTGTTTCGTCGCAATCATCATGTATCGGTATATACACATTAATATACAAAAATCAACAACATGCAATGACAACTATTGTAATAATATGAAGTGTGAAAATTAAACAATGGCAAATTCGCACGTAGACACAAGATATTGTACAAATACAAAAAGGGTATGTTTATTGCACCCGACAAACTAAAATTATAGTTTTATTTTACAAAAAAATAAGCTTAGGGTGAGCGAAAATCATGTAAACATAATATTTATTCAAACAAAAAGAAAAAGTAAAGTAACATTTTTTCTTATTAAATATTTTATTCATGTTGGATGCATAAAAAAAGATTCCCATCTACAAAAGCCGATAACGGTACATGGTAATATAATTATACAATACCGGTAGTTGACATATTCCTACATAGACATAGGGAAAGGCTTAATTTTCTGCGGTTTTTAAACTTGCGGTGTCGTTATGAACCGCAGAAAAGGCAGAAATAAAGTTCCCGCAGAAAAAAGTACTTATACAGTATTATGTGTGACTGTTCTAGAGACAACAACTTTGTCTAAATAAAAACTAATTTATTATTAATATTTACTTTATAATTTGTATAGTTACGTAGAGAAGGTCGTGTATCTAATGTGTCAGATGTGGTACAGAAAGGTCAAGCTGTGAAGATTAAAGTACTCTCCTATACAGGAAACAAAATGAGTCTTTCAATGAAGGTATGTTGTAATTGTTCAAAAAATTTTTTTTGTTATTTAAGTTTTATGTTGTTTGCTTAGTCATCACATCAGTGAAATAAGTAGTAATTTTATGCTTGATATTTTATGCCTGAAATAACATACAGAAAGGACATGAGGTCTTCCTCCACCAGTAAAGGGTTGGCCCTTCTCAATTTATATTTTTTTTTATGATCAGATCATGTAATTTTATCATTTGTTAGATCTCATTAAATGATGTTATTATAATGAAGTATCTTCAACTTTAAAGGATGCTGACCAGGAAACTGGCAGAGACTTGAACCCAAAACAGACACAAGCCATAACAGGCGGTGAGAGAGACACTGTGAATGAGTTACGTAACCCTGACAGACCGTCCACCATGCCTCTAGTCAGTGTACCGGAACAAAATGATGTCACAGAACGTAAACGAGGCCAGAGAATGTCATCACCGGAGAAATGGGAGTGGAAACAGATGGCTGCAGCAAATGTCATAGATGTATCAGAGTTACCAGATTTCGATGAGGAGACTGGTGTATTACCAAAAGAAGATGACTCCGGTGTGTTTAATATTCTAGTACATTGTATTCAGTTTTAGATGCTTAGTCAGATTTCATCTCTTAGATATCTGTATTGTAGTGTATAAAATGAAATGCTGCATAAGCCTTTATATCCAAATATATAGATACTTTACAGTACACGGTTACAATGTGGCCTTACTGTTAGTGTATAGCATGTCAGATTTTTGTAATAGCTTGGAGTGACTTATTCTAACAATTTGAAGCCTAAAAGGGATCTAAGGAATAATCTTTTAATCATAATTGTGCTATTAAAATCACTGATACAACTGCGAATATCAGAAGTAGGAAGGGTTGGGGGGGGGCTTCGTTGTTCTGTGGTTAAGATTGCCTACTTCGAATCACAATATATCTCTAGGTTCAAATCCTGACTGGCAAACTGAATTCTTCCATGTGAGGGAGATGTCTAGGCAACCAATGAAGTCTGTTTTGTTGTAACCTGAAAACTGCACATGAAGAATGTAAAGCTTTGATTACATTGTTGGTATAATATATGATATGATATATTCTAGATGAGGATATAGAGATGGTATAATATATGATATGATATATTCTAGATGAGGATATAGAGATAGGTATAATATATGATATGATATATTCTAGATGAGGATATAGAGATGGTATAATATATGATATGATATATTTTAGATGAGGATATAGAGATAGAGATGGTATAATATATGATATGATATATTCTAGATGAGGATATAGAGATAGAGATGGTAGAAGAAGAAGCTCCATTTCTCACTGGTCACGGTAAACAAGGCATTGAACTTAGTCCTGTCAAAATTGTTAAGGTAACTTTTGACTTTATAATCTATATTTGATTTATTTAGGAATGAATAAGAAATATATTCTTTTAAACTAGCTACAACCTCAAATTTGATGTAAGCAAACATATTAATAAATTATGTACTTCATAAAATAAATGTTCAGATTTATGTTAATTTATCATTTTTATGCCCCCACAAAGTGGGAGCATATAGCGTTGCACTTGTCCGTCCGTACGTCTGTCCGCTCTACCGAACAGGGATATGGGGCCATCTAACTGTAAACAAAACAAAAGAGAACAATAGAGTTCATTCCGTAACAATAGAGTAAGGGGCCATTGGCCCTCTATTAAACAATAGAAAATAACAAAAGAAATGGCCCCTTATTCCAATTCGGCCGGACGTCCGTCCGTCTGTCCCGAAATCTTGTGAACGCAACTCCTCTTAAACCGGATGGCAGATTTTGCTTAAACTTCCAGGGATGACAACCCTAATGTGTAGATGGTAGTAAAGAAAGGAATTTTTGCTGCGACCAAATTTAACAGAATTATGGCCCTTTGTTGATTTTTTCACTATATACTACATGTATGTAGAAATTTTGTAAACGCAACTCCTCTTAAACCGGATGGCAGATTTTGCTTAAACTTCGAGGGATGAACAACCCTAATGTGTAGATGGTAGTAAAGGAAGGAATTTTTGCTGCAACCAAATTTAACAGAATTATGGCCCTTTGTTGATTTTTTCACTATATACCATATAGAAATTTTGTGAACGCAACTCCTCTTAAACCGGATGGCAGATTTTGCTTAAACTTCCAGGGATGAACAACCTTAATGTGTAGATGGTAGTAAAGAAAGGAATTTTTGCTGCGACCAAATTTAACAGAATTATGGCCCTTTGTTGATTTTTTCACTATATACCATATAGAAATTTTGTGAACGCAACTCTTAAACCGGATGGCAGATTTTGCTTAAACTTCGAGGGATGAACAACCTTAATGTGTGGATGGTAGTAAAGGAAGGAATTTTTGCTGCGACCAAATTTAACAGAATTATGGCCCTTTGTTGATTTTTTCACTATATACCATATGTAAGTTGTCAGTGGGGGCATCCTTGTCCTTTGGACACAGTTCTAGTTTATTCTCACAACACAGTCTGTATTCACTAAATTTTGCGATGAAAAATACCCACCAGAAAACACATGGTATGTCCATTTTAGTTAAACTTGATTAGCCTCATTTTACTGATTAGTTTTATGGACCTTGTATACTGACCTCCTATCATGCTCTCATCTATGTTAGTTCTAGTAGATGCTCTCAGTAGTTCTAGAAATACCAACTTGCATACAAAATCTTTACCAAGAAGTGCCACGGCTGCTGACACCGACGCCAATGCCTGGGTCAGTACAATAGCTATCCATATTCTTCAAATAGTCTGACTTAAAACTATAAGTAATTATAAATTAATAACATCAAGCAAAGTGGCATTTTTTTGGTTAAATCAACAGTAATAATGAAATTAACATAATAAAGTTTTTGTATATAATATAGAATCCTGATGGATCTCTATCACAAGCTGCTATGATGCAGAGTGCATTACAGAAAGAGAGACGAGAAATAAAACAAGCTCAGAGAGAGGCTGAGATGAATTCTATACCGTCTGCTGGGGGCAGTGAGTGGCAGGATCCTATGGCAGATGGTAACTTTGAAATATTCTTCACTATCATTGTTATACAACCATTATTACACATAATTTACTAGCAAAGTTCTATTAAAGAGTTAAAAATATATTTCACGCTTAACTATTTTCTTTTTTTGCACCATCCATTATCTATTCTGTTAATATCAATATGAAAATTAGACAGTGTAGATCATGGATAAACTCCACAGAGCCTCTTGGCTAAGGGGTTGTCTATACAGGTTGAGGCGTAACAATTGCAGCCTGGCTAACACTGCATGATCACTAATTATTTGAGTCAAAGCATCTGTTAGCTCCCGCAGGTGAGGTGGTTTAGACCCCTGGTGTTGCTTTAAGTTTGTAACACCTGAGGTTAGCCAAAGTCATCTTTATGCTGTGAACCAAATCAAACAAAAAAAAACAGCAAAATAACTGCACAGACAAGCAGCCTGGCCTGACACTTTTCTTGTGGCAAAAACCAATCACTTTCAGTTCCAGCAGGGTAATGATTTAAAGATACAGAATTTGTTCTTGTCAAGTTTTATTCTTTGAATTTTTGAAGAGCTTGATTAATATTGATATAAATTGATATTCCATTTATTATTGTTTTATCTTTATCAATGTTAATGATCAGGTGATAAGAAACTTGCCAGTATGCGAGGTGTAGGATCAGCTCCCGCAGATCTCCCAGAATGGAAGAAACATATAACTGGAGGACAGAAAGCCTCGTATGGTAAGAAGGAGAAAAAATCATTGCTGGAACAACGACAAAGTTTACCCATTTATAAACTGAAAGATGAACTTATCAAGGTATGATGCAAACTTATATATAGTTTTAATGCCTATTATAGAATGTCTGTTCATAGTGAATAGATTTAAAATCCTAGCTACAAATACAAAAGCTATTTCTCATAGTGCAAAGACAAGGGCTGTCATTTTAACTTAGTGTCAACTGGCAAAATTAACCTTTACCTTGCTAGAAATGTGTGCAGTCTGACCAGGCTCTATACTTCTGGCTGACTAGCTTTACATTTTCATCTTGATACCCCCACAGCTGATAATGGATAATTCTAAAAATAAAAGTTGGGCAATTTACAATATTTAATGGGTTAAGTATCAGTATCAAGATTAGAAGAATAAAAAAGAGGTTTAGATTTGTTATATGTTACCATAAAAACATTTTAATGAATGTAAGAAGTCATATTTCATTGTCAAAATTTCTGTTCATTTCAAGATGATTAACATTAGGGGTTTGAATATTGACAACAAATTAAGCTATATGAATAGCTTAGGATAAGTTAGTAGTAGTAGCTAGGTGCCTTGCTGTAGTAAGAAGTAATGCTGTGCGGAATGTCTGGGGGTCCTTGTAGGGTGGTAAAGCTTGGAAGACTCCACAGTATTTTTGTGGGATGAAACCCAAAGCAAACAACACAAATAAATATTTGATTTATAATTTCCTGCAGGCTGTACATGACAACCAGGTGTTAATTGTAATTGGAGAGACAGGATCAGGGAAGACAACTCAGATAACACAGTATCTAGCCGAGGCTGGGTATACTACACGAGGAAAGATCGGATGTACACAACCTCGTCGTGTGGCTGCTATGTCGGTGGCAAAGAGAGTGTCAGAGGAGTTTGGATGTAGACTTGGCCAGGAAGTAAGTTTGAACTTTGCAATTATCTTTAATAGTTTAAGCACCTTATTTTAAAATGTCTGCATAAATAAAAATCTAAGAAACATAGCAGTAAGTGTATAAGATAGAGGTGTTATTCTATAATGGTAAATATTTTAAACTTACTAACTTCAATACTCTCATTTTAGCAGTTAGAACTTCAAAATGCATACTGCAAAAGTTTAAATACTTTTATGCTTAGGGGGTATTTAAGATTGTTTATAGATTGTGTATTTATCTGTTGGTGAGAACTGACTGTATTACACCTGTAATAAAAGCATAAACACAGAGTCTAGGATTCAATAGATACTTCAAAAGATAATTCAATAGATATCAATACTCACCCCTAAAAACCACCTATGCTGAGGCCCTGTTCTATGTTATCTACCTATGCTGAGGCCCTGTTCTATGTTATCTACTGGTGTAGTAAAACTTGATGAAAAACTATTGTTAGGTTGGATATACAATGCGTTTTGAAGACTGTACTAGCCAGGAGACAAAGATAAAGTACATGACAGAAGGTATGTTATTAAGAGAATGTCTGATTGACAGAGATCTAACACAGTATCAGATTATGATGTTAGACGAGGCTCACGAGAGAACTGTCAGTACTGATGTACTCTTTGGATTACTGAAAGAGGTAAACGTTTGATTTTTATCATCTGTTAATGTAATATATGTGTAGTAAAATTATTTCTTGCATATCAGACTGGCATTTCCGTTAGTTTTACCCATGCTGGAAATTTCATCTGGCATGGAGGGTGCCAAATGAGTCGTGTGCTATACAATGGCACGCTTAGGATTATGTAATTTTACCGTAATGAATTAAGTTGTAATTTCATACGCTGTTGTAAGAAAATAGGTACGGGTGTAATGACATAAATTTCTATGGATTATTGTTTTATTAAGGTAAAAAGTTTAAGATTTAATGGAATAAGAAAAAATATCTGACATATGTCAGCCTCATTACCGCCCAATGAGCAGGTCCCTTCGGGACGGATATTCCGGTGCAGACCGCAACATATGACAGATATTATTATTCTAGATTTTATCACATAATCATGAGTCATAGTGTTTCTTGTCAATTTTATGTATACATGTTCAATAGATGTAGTAATTCTGCTGGATTTAGCAGACTTTATTTATATTTTGTTGTTTTAATTTATTTTCATTGATCAAACTAGAAAAAAAGGTACTGTTAAATATAAGGTATGTTTGTGAGGTAATACACTTTACCTGCCAGCAATTTGACCTGTTTTGACTCAGTGACAGTGAATTAATATAGGGTAGACATAAAACATATATATCCACTTTATTTGTCAACAGTTTTCACTGTTGACTGGTTTAAATGGATTAAAAACATCATATTAGTAGATGAGAAAACCCATGAATACTTACTTCATTACAATTTTTTTTGACAATGAATATAGAAATTGTTAAAGGAATAATTTTTGTTTGAATCAAACAGTCAAGCAATATTTGCCCAATACTCATAGGATAATGAAAATAACAGTAAATCTGACCTTTTACATTATCATAATTTAGTCTATATGTTATTGTAATTCATGTATTTAATTTATCATGATATATAGGCTGTAGTGAAGAGAAAAGATCTCAAGTTGATTGTTACATCAGCCACACTGGATGCTGTTAAGTTTTCACAGTATTTCTTTGAATCTGTAAGTTATTTCTTATCATTGTTATGAATATGCTTCTTTAATATTATAATGGGGTCTCCATTGCCAGCTGAGTGGGTATAGTTGCCATCTTTTAGTCACTGATGTGGGTTTGAATTTGCTAGGGACTTTAGATTCTTTCATTTAAGGTAGCTATTCAGTTAGCTAACAGAGCATGATGGTTCTTCCTCCAGCTGTAAAGCTGGAAAATCATCATATTACATTTACAGTGTCAGTTTGATTTAAAATGAAATAAGAAACAAATGAACTTAAATATGATGGTTATAATTCTACAGTTTGTACATACATTTAAGAAATGTTGCCAATATATCAGTATGTATTATTAATGATGACCAATTCTCATCTTTCAGCCAATTTTTACGATTCCTGGACGTACATATCCTGTTGAGATCTTGTATACAAAAGAGGCGGAGACAGATTATCTTGATGCATCTATGATAACAGTCATGCAGGTTGGTATAACAACACTATAGTCTGTTGTAATAGACTGGTATATTTAGAAAATAAATATCAATTTTGAGTGCATTGTTGTAGAATAATGCACAGTTTGAGTTCAGATGTCTACGAATATATTACAATATATATCTTGTGTAATATTATATTTTATCACATAAGCCGCGACGCAGGAGTGTAATAAAGCCATTTAATAAAAAAGATATTACACTAGACGATATAACAATAGTGTAAAAACACTTTGACGTGACGTCATTTGCGCTATAAACATAGCGTTAAAGCTCGCTAATGTTAGCATTACACTATAGGCGCGTCAAAGAAAAATGACTCTTGTTAACAATTTACTGTTCTTATTTTATATATGTGATAAATAGAATATTATATCCGTGTAGATTCAGTACTAAATTGATTGAACTAGTTGAATAAAACAATATTATGCTCGCCAGAGACTTGCATAATATGATTTTATTCAAATCGTTCAATAAATTTAGTATTAAACCTACTCTCATTTAATATCCTCTATTTATATAGTTACATAAATATCATATTGATGATTGTATGTTTGCCATGTGTATTATAAAGATATATTTTGTAATAGATACATATAATGGAAATATTTTGACCATATGTTATATTGTTAATTTTGCAATATATTTTATATAGATACATGTGATCAATACATTTTTTTGTCATATTTATATCATATTCAAACATTTTCTAAATGATTTTACATTGATATTTATATCTGCTTGATAAATGTTGCTATATATATATATATATATTTTCGATATTTGTTATATATATATATTGCCATATATGTTATATTGATACATTTGGTAATGTATTTTAGATACATCTGATGGAACCACCTGGAGATATATTGTTATTTTTGACTGGTCAAGAAGAGATAGATACTGCCTGTGAGATATTGTATGAACGTATGAAAGCCCTCGGTCCCGAGGTACCAGAACTGATTATTCTACCTGTATATAGTGCTCTACCTAGTGAAATGCAGACTAGAATCTTTGACCCTGCTCCACCAGGTTCCAGAAAAGTAAGTTCTCTAATGATTTTATTGGAAATTATACATTTTATTTAGGTTTAAATTAGATTTAGATGCTGATTTATTACTTTTATAACTTCTACAGTCTAGGCATTATTTGTTTCCAGTATTGTTTCAAAGTTTAATCAGGTGCATATATCTACATACATTTCAACCTTGCTATCTAGGATGTAAGTTATAACTTAAATTACAAAAGATATGTATATATTTATGTCTGTAGTATGGTGTAACAATTATAAATTATTATAATTACAGGTTGTTATAGCAACAAATATTGCAGAGACTTCACTCACTATAGATGGCATTTATTATGTGGTTGACCCAGGATTTGTTAAACAGAATGTTTACAATGCAAAAACTGGCATGGATCAACTTATTGTCACTCCAATTTCACAGGTAAGATTTCATATTAATGAGATTTCATGAATATCATGTATAACAGCATTTATGAAGAACTTTCACAAGGCTGTAAAATTTTATTGATGCCTGTTATCATATTCTAAGATCATGCAAAGTTTAAACAAATTTTGTTATGTATGTTCCATCTATATAATGTAAAAAAGCATAAGCCTTCAAAGATTTTTAAATTGAGTAGGTCCTATCTGGGATTATCTAGGTATGTAAATGAGAATAATATTATGTCTTTAATACATTCCTTTTCATCTACAAACGGGATATAGTTCAGTTCTACGAAAACAGTAAATGTCACTTGTATAGATATTGTTTGTACAATCGATCTGTTAAAGTTTTATCAGTTGCAGATATCTACATACATTTGACCCTGCAAGTTTACACTATAATCTAATGTACGCTCTTCTGTATCAATAATTCTGATGCATCAATTTAGATTTTGAACCTCAACACGCATATGATGCAAGGACATAATTCTCACATGTCATGTATATAATCATTATACATTGTAATGGCATTGTTAAACCATATCCTACTGGTGACAACTGAATCAACCTATATGGCCAGTGCAGACCATGGTCATACTATCTGATCATGGTCTGCCCTGTTTGCTATTCAGTCAGTACATATTTTTGAAATTTTCCCTAAAAAAAGTGAATGTTTTGGTCCAGATTAAAATCTTGACCATCATTTTAGATATCTTGTGTGATAAAGATTAATACACGTTCATACAACTTATAGTTGTCCTTTATATGTTGTTGAAACACTTTAATACATTTGTTTGTAATGTTATTCTGATACATCAATATACAAATATCGTTATAAGTGGAGTTTATTGTATTTAAACATCTCTTTGTATATATAACAGGCTCAAGCGAAGCAGCGTGCAGGTCGTGCTGGTCGTACAGGACCTGGTAAATGTTACAGATTGTACACAGAACGAGCTTATAGAGATGAAATGTTACCAACAAATGTCCCTGAAATACAAAGAACTAATTTAGCTAGTGTTGTGTTATCTCTAAAAGCTATGGGAATCAATGATTTATTAACATTTGACTTTATGGATGCTCCGCCCATGCAAACCTTGGTGTCGGCCATGGAACAATTACATGCTCTCAGTGCATTAGATGATGAAGGACTGCTTACAAGGCTCGGTAGAAGAGTAAGTTCTCTCTAATAAAATGATAGGAATAATTCTTTCTTGGAACATTAACTTTATTGATATAATTTATTGATATAATTAGTAATATAACAAAATAAGATATTTTTTGCTTCATTTAAGTTTTTTTGTTATGGTGTTATAACTAGTTAAATAAAAAAAATGAAAGTTTACATTGCTATGTATGCTGTGTAAATTATGACAAATGAATGCAATCTTAAGATAGACATGTACCGTATAGTTAACCTTGAAATATATTTTTCAGATGGCAGAGTTTCCCTTGGAGCCTATGTTATCTAAGATGTTGATTATGTCTGTACAGCTGAGCTGTTCTGATGAAATTCTGACCATTGTTTCAATGTTGTCTGTACAAAATGTATTTTATAGACCTAAGGTAGGTTTTTTTGATGTATGCTTTTTTGTGTAAACAGGCTGTCCTAAGTAAATTTATATGAAAAAATATTTGGAATACTGGTGAAAGTGACATTATGTTTATCCAAGTTTAAATGGTCAGTGAATAGGTAAAACTCAAAATAACTTGACATTTTGACATAATTGTGTTCAATTTAATATTGAACTTTGACAAAATACTCAATACTCCACGCGACCATTAGAAATTTCTATAAATATTGTTCCGAATGTATTGGTAACATTCAAATTTTAAAATAAAAAGAGTGGGGCAGTCTATTTATAATTTAGGTTGTTATTATAAATATTTATGATAAACATTTTTCCATTAAATGGTCAATCACCATAATGACAGTCAATCTTTTAAGGTGTAAGCCCGATGAGTTAATATTCTTACAATAACAAAGTTCTTACCATACTTGATTTATTTTATAGCTTTCTAGGCAAGAGTAGATATTTCAACTAATGATTTACTTCTTTGTGCTAAACTCACTGTAATGTAGGAGATTAGATTTTTAAGCTTTTCCTTTTTAGCTCGACTTTTCTATGAAAAGGGGAGCTATCCTACTCGCCCCGGCGTCGGCGTCGGCGTCACACCTTGGTTAAGTTTTTCGTACCACCCCACTTTATTTCAGAAGTATTACAAGTATGGCTTTGAAACTTACCATACTTGTTCACCATCATAACCTCCATCTACAGACAAGAGTACATAACTCTGTCAAGGTTTTTGACAGAATTATGGCCCTTTTTTGACTTAGAAAGTGTATTGAGCTTGGTTAAGTTTTTTTGTACCACCTCACTTTATTTCAAAACCATTGGAGGTATTGCTTTGAAACTGACCATACTTGTTTACCATCACGACCTTCATCAACAGACAAGAGGACATAACTCTGTCAAGGTTTTTGACAGAATTATGCCCCTTTTTGACTTAGAAAATACATTGAATATGGGTAAAATCCACTTATTGCCTTAACCCTTTGAGATATTGCTTTGAAACTTTTAATGCTATTTCACATCATTACCCCCATCTGTACGCAAGAGAAGGTAACTCTGTAGGGATTTGTTTTAAAAATTAAGGCCTTTTATCGACTTAGAATTTGGTTAAGTTTTTTGTACCAGTCAACTTTTTGACTGAACTGGTTGAGATATTAAATTGAAAGTTGGAATACTTGTTTACCATCATGGTCCCAAAACTGGGCAGGAGAAGGTAATTCTGTTAAGGATTTTATTTGAATTTGGCCCTTTTTGACTTAGAAACTCAGTTAAAATTTTCATTCTTGTCCACTGATTGTTGACCTAACCATTTGAGATATTACTTTGGAAGTTGGAGTTCTTATGTGCCATCATGAGACCTATCTGTAAGCAAGAGAAGATAACTCTGTGAAAATGTTTCTTGATTTGTACTTAGAAATTCCTAGTTAAAGTCTTGTGTGCCCTTAAACTGTCAAAGTTTTGTTTTATAGGCAAGCACTAAAAAAGTCGAGCGCGCTGTCCTTCTGACAGCTCTTGTTTCCTATGGATATCATAGTATTTATAATTATAACAGACAAAAGTAGGTTTTGTAAACAAATGTTTGTTATGTTGTCAGGATAAACAAGAACTAGCAGATCAGCGTAAGGCAAAGTTTCATCAGATAGAAGGTGACCACGTGACACTGTTAGCAGTTTATAATGCCTGGAAAAATAATAAATTCTCCAGTCCTTGGTGCTTTGAAAACTTTGTACAAGTGCGGACATTAAAGCGGGCCCAGGATGTACGTAAACAAATGTTGGGTATAATGGATAGGTATGTTAAACATTTCTTCTTACATAATATAAAAGTAAATAATTTAACTGCCATAGTCTGCTTGTGGCAACTAAATCTACCCATGCTGGCCATGATTATACATTCTCTTCTGAAATTCTTTCTAGAAATGATGACTACTAGTTTTGTCCACAGATGGACAAGTCCATTTGAAAAAAATTTAGTGTAGTATAGGTAAATGACTTAAAGGCACATGTAGAATGATGCCACAGTTATGATTATTCTCTAAAACCAATTTTAGCATGATTCCCTTGCACGAAATTTTTTTTCAGGGTCACTTGTTCTGTAGGATGAGGTGCTGCATTAATCCAATTGAGCAAGCTACATTTTCTACTCTGTTGCAAATTCTGCAAGTAAATACAAATGGACATGTAGAAATTGTTTGAATTCTGTCCCTTGACAACTAACTCTAAAGCATGTTAATATAAGAAAGTTTAGTGCACAAATACTTTTCCTTTGCATAGTTTCCACTTTGTTTTCAAAATAAAACATGCGTTATAACTTATATACTGATCATATAATTTGAACAGATAATAAGATTATTATATGTAAAAGGGATATTTATGAGATGAGGTTGTTTATAATCAACAGGCACAAGTTAGATGTTGTATCATGTGGGAAGAACACATCTAAAGTACAAAAGGCAATATGTAGTGGTTTCTTTAGGAATGCGGCGAAGAAAGATCCCCAGGAGGGGTATAGGACACTTGTAGATAGTCAGGTTGTTTATATACACCCCTCTAGTGCTTTATTCAACAGACAACCAGAATGGTAAATATTCTTGATTTAATATTGAACTTTTTAGACTAAATCCCTCTGTACAGAACTTTGTTAAAATTAAAACTGTGTTGATTTAGTTTTGAATTAATTTGTGGAAAAAATCTTTATGAAAGAAATAAATGAGTGAAAGTTTTAATTCGACATTTTAAGATAGGAAATGGATTTTGAGCCAAAGTTGTTACAGATAATGAAGTTGTAGGATTTTTAAAGAAAACAGTATGGGAAGCTTATAAGTTTAATGTTTTGCCATATTATAAATACCTCAATTGCTTGTAAAGAAATGTGATAAAGGAATTTATTGGGTTGTATAGAGGCTTAATGCTTTGTATTGACAATACCTTGGACATATGAACTATTTTACACAAATTGTTTTATCTTAAATTATTCTTTTGACAGTCTAAGTTAAATTATAGAGACTCCTATAATACTAGCAATGTAATAAAACCTTAGTGCAACATTATATTAAAGCATCAAAGCTTTTTAGTGATAATCAAGAAAATTAAGGGGTTGGGGGTTAATTTGAGGCTACTGATTCCTCTAGAGGGTAACAAGAATTTTATAATAAGAAATGTTTAGTTTAAACTCTTACTATTTATTTTCAGGGTAATTTATCATGAGCTTGTGTTAACAACAAAGGAGTATATGAGAGAAGTTACAGCAATGGATCCAAAATGGCTCGTGGAGTTTGCTCCAAAATTCTTCAAGTTTTCTGATCCTACTAGACTTAGTAAACAAAAGAAACAACAAAAGATTGAACCATTATATAACAAATATGACGATCCTAATTCATGGAGAATATCCAGAGCTTTCAGAAAGTTTCATACAAAAGTTACATTCTGATTTGAACACCCTTGCTCATGTCTGTGAATTGTTGAATGTTGCAATGTTTGTGAAATTATAGAAATATTGCAGCAATTTGTAGTTACCTAATACCAGCAGAGGATAATGATGAATTGTCAATTCTATATATAAAAATATTTCCATACTTGTGAAGATGAGTAAGCTTATAGTATGAATTATTTTGTACTGTTTATTCTGTATATTTATGGATTTGTAAAGATAACTACATCTTTGCTTTAAAACCTAGAAATATCCCAGTAAAACTGACTATAGCAGGTTTGCATTTGTTGATAAAAATAATATTTTTACAAGATCGATGTCGTCTTTGTTTCTTGAGAAAGTGTACATCATTTTCATTTGCTACCATAAATTTTGATGAAATGGTACATTATAAAAAATACTGTATATCTTTAATGTGTGAATTGGTTGCTAGGGTACTTGAGTTGTCTTAGCCAGATTGGTAATTGTAACTTCACTGTTTGACAAACACATGTACAATACTTCTGTATATGTAACACAGTGACTACCTTACTGTGAGAAAACTTGTAGCTGTAATAACATGCCAAGATTCTAACATACAGTATAATGTTTCAGTCTCATATGCTAATATTTTTTCAGTCTGAAAGCAGTCAGATAAAAAAAATCTTTGTCTATTTATAAACCTGTATTTGTATATGTGTATATATATATATGATTTATGGTTTATTTTGTACAGACTGTATTACAGTCAATACAACCTGAGATAGTACAAATAGTCTTACTTGTTTTTATTCCATGACGAAAAGGTGGCGGGAGATTTGGAAATAGCCCCCTCCCACATGTTTGTCTGACACATAAAAGGTATTTGATGTATCAACTTGAAAGATCTCGGTAAAAGGGAGTGCAGTGCAAAAGAACAATTACTCTATCTTTCATAACGTTTTAGTTATTGCCCTTTGCTGTTTTCATGCTTTGTTTTTAGTTCATCTGTCACAAAGTGACATGGTGAGCTTTTGTGATCGCTTTTTGTCTGGCGTCCATCCGTCCAGCGTCCGTCTGTAAACTTTTACTTTAAACGACATCTCATAAACCGCTGAGCCAATTTCATCCAAACTTCACAGGAATGTTCCTTTGGTGGTCACCTTTAGAAATTGTTCAAATAATTTAATTTCATGCAGAACTCTGGTTGCAATGGCAACCAAAAGAAAAAACTTAAAATATCTTCTTTTAAAAAATCCCAAAGAGGTAGAGCTTAGATATTTGGCATGAAACATCTTTTAGTGAGTGTCTATCAAGTTTGTTCAAATAATAGCCCTTGGGTCAAAATTGGCCCCGTCTTAGGTGGTCATTGCTTTTCCTTATATGTACAGTATATAGTAAAAACTTAAAAAATCTTCTTTTAAAAAACCCAAAGAGCTAGAGCTTAAATATTAAGCATGAAACATCTTCTTGTGTGTGTCTACAAAGCTTGTTCAAATAAAAGCCCTGGGATCAAAATTGTCGCCGCCCCGGGGTTCTGATTTTCCTTATATGTCTATAGTAAAAACTTAAAAAGTCTTCTTTTAAATAACTCATACAGCTAGAGCTTAGATGTTAAGCATAAAACATTTTCTAGTGAGTGTCATCCAAATTTGTTCAAAGAAAAGCCTCAGGGTTAAATTGGCGGGGGGGGGGGGTCTGATTTTCCTTACATGTCTATATTAAAAACTTTAAAAAAAACCAAAGAGCAAGAGCTTAGATATTAAGCATGAAACATCTTTAAATGGGTGTCTACAATGTTTGTTCAAATAGAAGCCCTAGGGTCAAAATTAGCCCCGCCCCAATGAAAGGGACATTTAAACATTTGACCTATTTCTCAGGTGAGCGATCCAGGGTCCTCTGGGCCGTCTTGTTTGTTTGTAGCATAACTTAAAAAGTAATTGAGATCCTATCATTGAAGAGGGAATAGCAATCATATTCATTTAATTATTGCCCTTTGTTTTCATGCTTTTTTGTCCAGAGCAAAACTCTGAAAGGATTTTAGCTATGAATTTTTTAGTTAGATATATCTCATTTAGTGGGAGTGCCGTGCACAAGAGTGATAAACCTATGCTTCATAACTTTCTCCCTTTATTATTTTTGACCAAAAAATAACTCAAAAAGTTTTGTTAAGGAGGAGTGCAATGCACAAGTGTTAATACTCGTAGTTTGTGGAGTTATTGCCCTTTGTTATTTTTCATGCTTAATTTTTGTCAAGAACCCTTCTGGAATAATTCTTGGAATGTTAACTTGACACTTTATAGGTGGATAGATCTCAATGAGGAGGAATGCAGTGCACAGGTATAATACTTCACTTATTGCCCTTTGTCACTTCCCTTGCATAATTTTTGTTCAGACCATAACTCATAACACTAAGGTGAAATTAATTTGAACTTCAATGAAGGAAAGATAACAGTACGGACGAATGTAGTTGACAAAGTCATAAATGTAAATAATGTTATGCAACATAATCTTACAGCACACGAAATGAAATAGATTCGGTTGCCCCCTATATGGGAATGTTATGGCTAAAAATACCTTAAAACTTTTTATAATGATTAGTGAATGAATCATCAGAAAACTTTGTAGAAGGTTCAATATGAAGACTGCAAAATAAATTAAGTCAGCCTCCTTAAGGAAAAAAACATGGCTTAATGTAGATATATACATGTGTGTCTGAATAGATTTGTCATGATCATAATTTGGTGATTATTTCGAATGAACTAGTAATGCCTTGCGGAAACCTGTGATAGGATAGACTTGACTCTAATTTCTGACACTATAAACGTCAAAATTTGGCACGAGTATGAAGGAAAATGAGCGTTTATTTTGTTGTGGTCAGTCATGCGACATTATGTATTTAAAGACGGTATAATAGGATTACAACATATTTGGCACAAACCACATATAAAGCAGATTAAAATAATACATATAATGTGACAGAATCACGAAAGATTAATAACCAAATATAAGTGTTAGATCTATATTATGAATCAGGTCAAAATGTAAGTGAATGAAGGCTGCCAAAATTTACAACTAACAGAAAGTAGGACCCCTGCGTCTGCCAGGAAGCTAGTATTTAACTGTCATTATAACTTTAGTTGTTGTTTTTTTTGTCCAAATTCAATATGTTGAACGTTGTAAAAGAAATATTAAATGGCAAGTATTGATGCAAAACATGCCATTATTGTCTGAAATCAGATGTGATTAAATCACTGACTAACCGGTACAGTTAGATTATAATTATATTAAAGGGATTTTATGACTATCATGGAGATCAGATTTGTATTTTGAAACAGAGCGCCTGATAAGTTACCCAGTTTGAAATAAATATTCTGAAACAAGTGAAATTTCATATCCGATATAACATTCTATGAAATTTATAATAAATACGTTTCGGACTTTCTTGCGAACGAGGAATATACCGTATTTCAACGATATGGTTGTCCATCGTTAATATTGAAAACACCGTCATTTTACGTTATGGGGATAGGTGTTTGTTTGCTGTGAAATAAAAATCTCATATAAACACAGGTGATTATAAATGCACATTTTGACGAAAATACGTTTAGTACGTTACGGGTCATTATGCGGTATAGGTTAATAGGATACTCACTACGTGTCAAACCGTAAATTGGAAGTTACCGTTAAATGACTGAAACGTAGAATTCCGTAAAATTAGCAATAATTAATCATCTTGTGTTTAGAAAAATGTCATAAATAAGGTTTTGACAATTTAGACAAACATATCTTCTATAAGGTAGAAACATGTTTTAGAAGCCTTATTATTAGTTAAATGAAAAAACGCATGGTTGAAATAAGTTAGTATTTGTAGCTTACTTTACCTAAAATTGATTTGAACTTAATTACCAATTTTATTATCCAATAATATGATTAATAAACGATCAGTGACACTCTTAAACCGATTTTTATAAAAATGACATAGTAGTTTTAAAAAAAACTTGTTTCTTAAAACATTTATTTTATTTACCATCATTTGAAAAATGCTTCCAAAGTATAGCTAAAGCAAAATAATGTGATGAAAATATTGCCGGGTTTCCTACGACAAAACAACATCCGCTTTTGAGAATAGAAAATTTTGACACGTTTTATTACGTTTTGGGTGTTCTTTCGTAAAATAGGGTCGGCTTTTGGAGAAACGAAAAAACGATACGTTTAAATACGTTACTGTCGCGGATGCAGGATATCTTTCTGGATGCCTTTAGCGTTAATGTGAAAGTGACTAGATATCTTGTTAAAAAAAGATAAACATATTAAAACTGATCTTCGTGTTTTAAGATATAATAGAAACTGAGTAACAACTTAACTCAAGTTGGCACAACTTAAACTAAGTTCGCATGTTTTGTTAAGTTGTGTTAACATCTACGTTATACAAGCGATGTCATGTCAATTCAATTGGAAAAAAGCCTATTAAAATTTCATTTGTTAAAGTTTTTTGGTTATAATACGAGCAGAATCCTTTATATATAACTTGCAGGTTAAAAATGTCGGAAATGGGCACGAAAGATTTTAGAAACCAGCAACATATTGTCTTCGAATCTAGTTTACGCATATCAAGAGACTACAAATATGATGTACATCTATATTATACTAGTGCATAATTATGTAATTAATAATCAAACAGACAGAGAGAATGTTTGTCTCCCGACAACAAATAAATGTTTCAGCACAAAAATGGTATTATAACTTGATAAACGAAGTCCGTGTGATTACAGTCAATATTTGAATCATTTACCAATCATTTACTGTAGCATATAAATACTTACCAGTCTGATAAAATTGATATATAAGTTTATATCAAGACTTGTATTATATTATAATCAGGCTAGTTTCAATCTATCTATGTCTACCAATTCACAGACTGTTGGCTTAAACCTGCTCACATCTTCTCTTAACTGAATCAACACATACACAGTCAAATCTTTTATAGTGCTATCATTAACTAAACATATGTCGCTAGCTCTGTAATTATTCATGAAAACTGTACCCTTTCATGAAAATTGTACCCTATCGCAAATCACATATATCACTCAAATTAAACTATTAAAATATCAGACAGTTTTGTTAAAAAATGTTTCCTTTTTAAAGTTTGATATTCAATAAGGATTTGTTTTTATATGAAACAATTAAGTTTTAGCATTTTTTTATTACAATAATGTAGTGGAATAAACTTTCAATAAAATCATGGTGGAATTCTGTTTTAAGCACGAAGACTTTATTTTATTTGCTGGTAAACAAGATTTTATATTTCTAATTTATTTGTTCTTTTTTGTTTTGTTTTTAAAATGATACAACATACCATGACATTTATTTGATTTATGTTTTAATAATTAATACAAACACATTATCTTATTTAAACAAAGTTATGTTAATGATATTATTAAAACTATGCCTTTCAAGTGTTTATGATTACATTATATATCAGGTGTCCTAGGATTACTTTCATTGTCACATCTAGCTCATGGTACTACAAACAGTTCGGTTCTATCATCCCAGCCAACGATGGCATTAAACTCCACGCCTGTTTCAATCACTTCATCAATGTCGCCATTGACGTCATCTTCGATCTCCCGAGATGTATATACAAACTCGTCCAGATATATATCGCCTACACCAAGTCTAAGACAATACTCCACTACAGTAGAAAAATCTTCTTCTGCAAACAAAACCTCATCATTGCGGACTCCCACATCATCAACACGCAGCTTCCAACATATATTGCCATTAAGTGTTTTATCAACAAAACATGTAAATTCAGGACATAGTAATTCGCTTCTGACAGCATCAAGATCGCATTCATCGCATAGTGTAATATCAGTGTCAACTGTGCGTGTACACATACAATCATCATCCACTGCAATGTTACTTTCTTCAGATATACCAGTTCCTATATCAAGTTTATCGCCACCGAAGGTGAACAACTTATCTCTTTATTCCGATATTAGTTATCAGTTCGCGACGAGTACCATTATTTCAAATCATCACGTGCCTTTGTCACCGACCACTTCGTCAGCCACATCTACGTTTGGGATATTAACAGCGGCATCTTTGACAAATTTGACTACCTCTGTACAGACGCAGTTTACATCAATCCCTGGAACCTTTGCTACCACTTCCATAACTGTGAATGGCTCTTCTCAAACTAGCATCAAACCAACTGTAACGACGACAGGTGGTATAGTTTCACACTCGCCAAGTATTCATCTAGTAAAACCCAGTATGGTCATCAAACCTCCACCACTTCTCCCTGTTACAAAACCTACTGGGGCGTCATCATTGCATGGCTGCAAAATTGGAAGTTGTTGTACTTATGGGCTTAGTCAGCTTCCGGTTCAACTGAGCTTCGAGGAGTCAGAACCAAGAGGTATACCATAAAATCATTTGAAATAAAAGTTACTATAATAAAAAAGTTTTTTTGGTTGTTTCGTGCCATTTGTCTCTTAAAGCTACGGTTCAAATCATGGTGTGAATCTTTATCACGATAAAATACTGTTTTAGTAAGTTCACTGTTAAATGATATGTTCATATACCAGTTACCGGAAACTATTAACTGGCTCTTTACATTATGGAAAGCTTAAAATATAGATTATTAAATACATTATAAATTTTCTAAGGTAAACTTATAGGCCGTTTTGTTTAATTGTAGGTTACGTTTTGGCGGTAATACGGGACGTGAAGAACGTAAATTTTACAGTGAAGGTAGCAAGACCTTTAGAACTTGCCAACATTCTTAAAGATAACTTCGCTCTTGTCACAACAATAACCGGTTACAATCTAGTGCTGAGTAAAGAAATAGATCTAGAAGACTTGTATGATAAAACTGTAAGTTCTTTGTGTAAGATATTTAAGATCGTGGAAAAGGGAAGTCTATTTAAAATTATGTACATATTTTATTTGTAATTTGATAAGGATATAAACAAAACGCAATTAAATGCTACAAAACGTATATCTGATGACAAATTCAATATATCCAACAGTTGGTAAGCTCAGTCATTACATTTTTATTTATTTATATGTGAAATAATTATTGCCAAAATTACATCCTGCTTTCTTAAATAATAAATTGTTGATTTTATATGCCTGCAAAATAAACTGCGTTCATTTAACATTTAAACTGATGAATATTTTAATAAATAACCAGTCATACTGCATTATTTGCACCTTCTAGATTTTTTTTATTTATGGAAGGGCATGGTCATTTCTTACACGCCTTCTGATGAACAAATAATGTATAAGTCTGTCATTTCATATGATTATGGTAAGCCTTGACTGCCGTATAATTATGAAACTGAACTTTGTTATGTCCAGATAGCAAATTATTGAGTCAACTTTTCTATATTCAATGTGCTCTTATGAAGATATTATGTGGAAGCATCCTTACATGAATTCAACTGAACAATATATGATGCTTCCACATAATATATTCATGAGTTAACATTGTATAAAGAAAGAGAGACACAACAATGTTCATTTCTATAATTATAAGACAGTCAAGGCTTTCCATAATTTCATATATAATCAGTCGTTTCGAAACTATTCATATTTGATATTCTTTGCAGTCAAATTATTCAGTGTTTGTACATTTTCAAATCTGTTTCAGGATGGAAAAGTGGATGTACACACCTTACAAATGCAAATAAGTTGTACTGAAAACTCTAGCATAATTGTAAGTGATGTTTTTGTTTCTCATTATTTTTTTATCAAACTGTTTTTCTTTTGATAAAGATTGTAAATCTGAATTCAAATCAGTTTACTCGTACATTAAAGAAGTCCGCGTAATTAATCAGGCAATAAGGCGATTTATAAACTCATTGTGAATTCATACACACTCCGGAAACTTTTATTCGATTTTCATCATCGGTTCGTCACTTAGATTAATACGAATATTTCAGTCACAAATAATGTAATGTCGAAAATCAATCGAAGTTTTAATTCAATTGCAGCTGTGCATGCTTAGTGTCACTGTACGACATGTATTAAAATAACATCATCTGTCTGGTATATCCGCGCATGGTCAATGTTGTTGTACGACATGAATTATAATGATATCATCTTCCTGGGATATCCGCGCATGCTCAATGTCGTTGTACGCCATGAATTATAATGACATCATCTTCCTGAGACATCCGCGCATGCTCAATGTCGTTGTACGACATGAATTATAATGACATCATCTTCCTGGGGCATCCGCGCATGCTCAATGTCGTTGTGAAATATAATGACATGATCTTTCTTGGAACTACGCGCATGCCCAATGTCATTGTGGAGCATTATATAATGTCATGATCTTCCTTGGAACTATGCGCATGCTCAATGTCATTGTGAAGCATGTTATAATGTTATGATCTTCCTGTGACGTCCGCGTATGCTTCTTGTTGGGCAGCTTTTTATATTTTCTTTGTACCACTTTTTATTTTCAGTGCCGCTGTGCATGCAACGTGTAAAATAATTTAACTATATTGCAGGTTCCTCCACGCATGCTCAACGTCTCTATAGATGACGTAGATGACAATATGCCAGTGTTCCGACAACCTGGTATAGACTCAAAGGATTGTGTTATACCAGTGTATAAAGCTGATACAAGCGAGGATTACACGGTATGTCACTAACTCAATATCTAATATCATACAAGAACGGAGATTTTTAAAGTTTAAGTTTATAATTGGTATGATTAATTATACGTAAGCCAACCTTGTGAAATAAAACTTTGATATCATCGTATTTCAGGGTGAACTTGCTCTAAATCCTGGTAAGATAGAGGCTGTAGATGGAGATGTCTCATTTAGACACAATATCTCGTACAAGGTCATGCACTGTAAGTATACTCATACCAAATATTGCGATGCTACTCTATGTAGTGGTCAACGTTTTTAACCCACAGAATAAATGTATTGATTACTTTTTTAGTACTCTAACACATTTACGCAACACACATATAATTACATTATCAAAAAGAAAGGGATTTGCAAGTTCGTTTTAGGCTATAGTATACTCATTTATGCTAATTGTATTGATGTTTAAAATTAAACATAGCATTTTGTACATGATAACGTTTTATTCTGCTGGATAAAAATGTTTTTGTTTTTTGGCTTTGATATTTCAATAATTTGAGCTAATTTTGAAGAAAAAAATCTATAACCATATTGGTTATTCACACATTTTAAAAGATGTTTGAAAAAATCTTTACAAAATAGTCATAGTTTAAATATATCTTTTCTAAAAATATATTACTAAACAAACAACATCGTTGTGGCGCCGTTATATGTCGCAACGACCTAAATGTCGCACTTGCCGCTAAATGTCGCACTACTGCCGCTAAATGTCTTAAAATATTTTGCCGTTAAATGTAGCAACGATGTCGCTAAATGTCGCACCCTTTTTCCGTTCAGTTGAATATCACAAAAATACCGCTAAATGTCGCAATATCTAAATTCTTGTTAAACAACTCTTCAATGTCGTGATTTTGAGCTACGACATCACCTTGAGATGGATCCAACACACCGAGAAGTTTTTTTAGAAAGATTCAGTTGAAATTCAATCTTAGATCAGAATGTTTTATTATTGTGTCGTCTTTTTTGCCTACAAGCTTGTTTGAATGCGGTTTTATCGATATTAAAGGTATTTAAATATATATGTTATTGTTTAATTACAGTTTTAACAATTTTATTAATGCAATCATCACTTACGGTCACATATGCAAAATATCAACCTAATGTGTCTTTTCTTGAGAATGCTATAGACGTCCGAAGTGAAAATGCAGCCCTTGTTGGCAGTAATGTATTTTCGAGGCTGTATGACGAAAATGCTCTGAAAATTGCTAACATTCTGACAGAAAATCGAGCTCACTTATTTTTTTATTCGTATTACACATTTATCCACAATGGGGGCTTTTAACTATCATTTGTAAAAAACGTTCTGATGATAGAAACAATGTTAATGTGAAAAGTGCATCAAAAAGGTTTTTATTTACACGCAGTTACAGATCAAAACAAGATTCGTTACGACAAAAATTCCTATGTATGTAAGTAATCTGTGATGTCACTCACTGTTAAGTTCATAGACAAAGGGTTATTTGTAATATTTTCAGATAGTGCGAAACCCCGTTAATTTGATGGACTATTAAGCTTACTGTGTGCCATTAACTTCGGTGCACCTATTGCATTGATAACTCTTCGATCTTGAGAAACAAATGAAAGTGTTAAGGCATAAAGGCGCATGTTGAAAGCTGTATGATATAGAATTTGTCTAAACCTTTAATGAGCTTAGATCAAAAGTAATTGTGCAAATACCAACACTACTGGAATTCATTATTGTCATATATACACCATTTCAAGAGATATTCATAGGTTAGCCTTCTCCTCAATTCCAATAAGGAAATTGCATATTTTAAAATCTGCCCAGTAACAAAAGGGAGGACAACTCTTTGTCGCTTTCTCGTTAGAGAAGGGATACTACTGTGATGCGTGTATTTGGTCGCACGGTCACTTTACCTACATGTCGTTAATGCATGTATGTGGTCGCATGGTCGAAAGCCTACAATAAAATGACAACGTTTTCATACGGAACCGTCTGGTGCCAAATCTTAATGTTCTTAAAAACTGTTATAATCGTGATAAAGGTTTTAAAAGTTTTGTTACGTCTAAGTTAAGAACTTTTTCAATGTCTAAACGCTATTTAGGATTTTGCATGCCCTATTAGAAGTTTTATAACTTATTAGGAGAAATGAAATTATTATTTGTTTTTGGTATTTAGGATTTTGCATGCGCTATTAGAAGTTTTATAACTTTTTAGGAGAAATGAAATTCTTATTTGTTTTTGGTATTAGAACTTATTAGAATTGTAGGTTTAACTTTTATATTAAGTTAACTTAATTAAGATGATATTTCCCAACTCCTAAATTTCTTATTATATAAACTTTTTATTAGGTTTATTTCTCTAATCATGAGAAAAAAAATCCTATTTAGTTTAGAAATTGTAATAACTTTTTCTGTTTAATTACGACATCAACAGTGCTTTTATAAGACAGAATGTTTTGTACCAACACACCTTGAAAACATTGTCATTTTATTTAAGATTTTCGACCATGCGACCACATACATGCATCGAGGACATAATAAGGAAAGTGACCGTGCGACCACATACACGCATCACAGGATTCCCTCTCTCATTCGAAAAAGGGACAAAAAGTTATCCGCCCTTTTTGACAAAGGGCAGACATTCCCCTTCTCTTGCGAGAAAGGGACAAAGAGTTGTCCGCCCTTTTGATAAAGGGCAGACTTTAAAAATTTGCCTTTCCCTTATTGCTATTGATAAGGTGGCTTATTTTCACAAAAAGGTTTTGAATTGGTTTATATACCACAATAATAATGCAAACCAAATGGGTTTAGGTTTTCCTCTTTTTAAGTTCGCTTTCAAAATTTAAAAAGATCATCTATTTAATTTATTGGAAAATTTTGAGTTTACATTTTTTTCTTCTTTTCATTCTATGTATATAGTAGAATTATTTAATAAAATGTAAGACATTAAGGTTTCTAAACGTTTCATATGCAGTAAATATGGGAGATAATCCTTCACACTTTGTTTGCAAATATTAACCTGGGGGCATTTTTGTACACATCAAATTTCTATGTTTGACTTATCCCACTTATAATAGAAAAGGTAATGTGATGGGCTGCAAGAAAAAAAAAAGATTTAACTTGAGCAGCCGACAAAACTACTGTACATATTTGCAAGCCTAATCTTTACCTGCTGATATTGTAAAATGCACTTTTCAAGCTCCATTGTTTAAGCTTCTTAATTTTTTTTGTCTATAAATCTGGGAATATAAAGATAGAAATTTCAAAAGTTCGTCAGCCATAAGGAAAAGCTGCCGTCTCACTTACTCCCGGCAGAGCCCAGGACCATCCCGGTAAGGCCGCTATTCCATTTATACGTGATCAGTGGTCCGCGTCCGTCATCCGCGTCCGCTACCGATTCGCTAATCAAAGAATACGTTGAATCTATTCCTTTTGTCCGTTTACCATCCGCTTCCGCGACGGCATCCGCGACGTTTCGCAGGATGAGCGATTTTTTACGGACGCGGACAGTCACTGACATGTCTCATCCCTACAAAATGCCTCGAACGAAATTAAATACTTTATCGATTTCGAAAGAAAATACTAAAGAGCTCACCAAAATAGTGTGGGAGAACCTATAAGTTTATGATGCAGCAATGACAGATTAAAAAAAACAACATCTGGTCTTCGGTTGCTAAAGAGATGTTATTTGAAAACCTAACTGATATTCAATGTTTGTTACCTAATTCTTTGATGTTACAACTGTTTTTGGTATTAGAATGAAATTATATCATATTCTACAGATAATTATCCTCTGTTCGCTATACTTCAATTAAAAGTATATAGAATATAACCTACCTATGGAATAATACCCACGGACATGCCCGGACACGGATCACGCGGGTCACGGATCACGTACTAATGGAATAGCGGCCTAAGTTACCGGGATGATCCGGGACGATCCGGGGTGAAATTGTTGTTGCGGTCACACTAACCCCGGCAGCACTACGGTAATTCCCAACTTACCACCCAGGATGCGCTCCGGATCATCAAGGCAGAGCCCAGGTGAAGCTACGGTTCATGCCGGTGCTTCCCCGGTCGTTCCCGGATGACGCCGGAAGAGCCCCGGTTGACCCAGGCAGAGCCCCGGTCGATCCAGGCAGAGCCCAGGACGATCCAGGCAGAGCCCCGGTAGAACCCCGGTGGATTGAAAACGCCCGAAAATGATAACATTGATACATAATTTTTATTTAATATAATATCTATTGTTCCAGAATAGTAATTCATGATGATTTTCTGAAAAATCCTTATGCCATACTGGATAGAAGGGAAATGGGAAGGGTTTTAATACAAACAAGTGCAATCATCGCAAATTGTCGTTATTCTTTTGAAATGATCCGGGCTTTGCCGGGGCTCTACCGGGATCAACCGTAGCTCTACCTTTATCCTCCGGGGCTCTGCCTGTAGTTACCGGTGTTCTGCCGGCATTAACCGGGGCTCTACCGTAGCTCTACCGGCTATATCATACCCCGGATCATCCCCGGTTTGTGCCGACAGAGCTACGGTGCTTCCCCGGTATAATCCCGGTCGTTCCCAGCAGAGCTAAGGATGAAGCCGGCAAAGCTTTACCTTCTCGGATCATCCCGGACCTCACCGGTGAAATTAAATATTTTATTCCATCCGTGGTCAAATGCCGGATGTTCCCGGATCATCCCGGACGTTGCCTGCAGAGTTACGGATGTACTCCGGTTGTTCACGGTCGTACCCCGGTCGTTCCCGGACCACCACGAACGTCTACCGGGGCTTTGTAAGTGAGACTGTAGCTTAAGGAGCACGATGTGCAGCCTGACATACATGCATCTCTATACTGGTTACTGTTACAGGTAAATTCATTTCGGTTCCAGCAGTGTAAAAGTGCAGTGTTGTTAGCAATTGTCGTATTTACGCCATTGCTTTTTGTCCTTAACTCCTTCAAAGACTTTCTAAACTCATTCAAAGTTTAAACAAAGTATGTTGTACAATTTTCAATCTGTCTTTATGTCTATGTAACTGTTGCATATGCCTTTAAACTTTCATTTTGTTACATTTTCTTAAGATGGAAAAATTATTAATGCGATAGGTGTGTCGGAGAGCCACTTTTAATGACACAAAGTAAAGGTAATTTCAAATCAAACGAAGTCCATCAAAACGAAGCCATTTCATATTACATGAAAATATAAAGAATAACCCTATGTCTGTTAACTCACAACAGGTAATTACTTACATAAGTTTTTTTCCACATAAGTGGGAATCTTTTCCCCATGTTATTTTCTCTAGTTATAGTGTCATTTGGTCGTAGCGAATCTTGTTTTGTCCTGTAGCTGTCCGCCCTTTCATTAAAAGGCAGACTTTAAAATTATGCCATTGCCTTAATTATTGTATAAGGAGGCCAATTTTAACACATATGTCTTGAATTGGTTTATATAAAACAATAGTAATGCAAACCAAGCTGGGTATAAGTTTACGTCCTTTTAAGTTTGAAAAGATCATATTTGATTTCATGGAACATTTTTAGTTTTAAGATATTTCTACTTTTCATTCTATGTATATGACAGAATTATCTTAATTTTACAGAACATGAACGTTTCAAAAACGTTTTAATGCATTAAATATTGGAGATATATTTCACACTTTGTTTTCAAATATGAACGGTTAACCTGGGGAGCATTTGCCAAAGTACGTACGCATTTAATTCCCATATTCGAGTTATTCTATTTGTTATAAAAGCTCCAAAAATTTTAGATAAAACTTGAGCAGCCGACAATAATTATTCTAACACTGGTTAGACTGTATATATTTGCAAGTATAATCTTACCTACTGAATTTGTAAAATTCACTTTACAGGCTTCCATTTTTTTAGAACAGTCTATCATTCTGGGTATATCAAGACTGAAATATCTAAAATGAGTACAGAGCTGGTTCAATCTGCAAGAATGTGCAGTCTGGAATACATATATCTCTATATTGGTTAAATCATTCCGATTTCAGCAGTTTAAAGGTGCAGTGTTGGTATAACAGTAGTCATATGTCTACAACTGCTTTAGATCTAAACTCATTCAAAGTTTAAATAAATTCTATTAAACAGTTTTCAAACTGCCTTTATGGTTATGTAACAGTATCATTTGCCTTTAATCTTTCATTTATCATATTTTCTCAAGATGGAAAAGTTATCAATGCGATAGGTGCACCGCTTTTACAACACTTTTTAATGATACACAGTAATTTTAATTTCAAATCACACGACGTCCATTTCACACTATATAAAAATATAACGAATAACCCTAGGTCTATGAACTCAACAGTGAGTAACATAACAGATAAATTACATACATAGAAAAATTTGGTCGTACCGAATCTTGTCTTGGTCAATAAAAGACATTTTTTGATGCACTTTTCACCTTAACTTTGTTTCTATCATCAGAAAAATGTTTGAAAATGACAGTTTAAAGCCTCAATTGCGGATAAAGGTACACTACGAAAAAAAAAATTATAAAAGAGTGAAATTGATTTTCTGTCAGAATGTTAGCAAGTTTTAGAGCATTTTCGTCATCTTAGAAAATATATTTCTGACCAGAACGGTAACAAATATATTATTCTCAAGAAATGACACACTGTGTACGTGACCTTAACTGATGAGTGCATCAATGAAATTGTAAAACTGTTATTTGTTAGTTGCAAAATAATAACACATATAGTATAAAATCTTAAATATCGATAAAACCGCTTGCGAACATGCTTGTAGGTGAAAGGACGACACAAAATATAAAAAATTCTGAACTGAGAGTGAATTCAATTGCATCTTTCTAGCATAACCTTCTTGGTGTATTGGATCCATCTCAAGTTGATGTCGTACCGCGAATCTACGACATCTGGATTACTAAATGAAAAACGTATACAAATGTGTTTTATGACTAAGAGGCTCTTTAGCATGTGTGTTAGTAGTTTGACACTCCGGATCACGGCAGTAAGCCACATTGAATTCACCAGAGCACTTTTTAACCACCGCATCGTTTCTGGGCAGGCTGTCAACCAGTACTAGTTACCTTCACTTTCGAAAGGAACTGAAACTTCTGTACATGTCAGAGCAGAGATACAGTGCGAATGACCGTAGAAAGGATTTCATGATCAATCACAACGAAAGTGACCTGCGCCGTCCGGGAATTGAACCCGGGTCGCCCGATTCACAGTCCAACGTTGTACCTATTGAGCGAACCGGACGGCTTGGCTCTTTGGCATGAATTGTGAATTACGAAATATGCTCAACATTTTATTTTTCATCCGCTTTTGTAGCTCACAATCTAAATGAGAGATTTACAAAAATTGTCGAAAGTGTGTTATCAAAAATATTTAGCTGTAGCTCCATTATTATTTCGTTGTAAATGACAAGAAACACTGGGTGGACTATCACAAAGATATCAATCTTATTTATGTTATATTTCACTGTATATATACCGCTAGCAGTTTGTATAATGTTATTATGGAACACACGATAGAAAATTGTAGCAAAACACAATTCAAGAAATCAATCTTTCCGACATCGTAAAACACGTTTATATATTTATTTTCTAATTCGCTTTACTTAACTGAAAATATATTATTCATCACCTATAGTAAGAGTTATGAAACCTTCAGTCTTGGACATAATAAACAACACTACAGTAGCATAAAGGCATTGTTTCAATATTGTTGTATACAAATCATTACAAATAGTAATTGTTATTTCTGTGAGGTAAATGAATCCATTGGGTCATAATCTCTGGACACGCAATCTTTAAAGTTCTCAAACTATTATATCGATTATTTACAAGTTGATTCACTCTTTTTGCTAAGAACCAATCAATGGATGAGAAAATATGGCTTAATAAAAGCATTGTTTCTCACATACGATGTGTTCACTATAATGTGAACTCCTCGAGTGGCGATTCTATCACGACCGGCAAGCACGAAATAGTCATGCTTACTATGTTATACCTGACTTAGCCGGACAACTATAACTTTAACATTAGTCTCTGACTAATAAATAGATAAGAATCTTAGGAAACGTAATGTAACAAAATTTAATTATCACCATAATAGTCTGCAAACCTACAAATTGTTTGACTGATTGTTTATAGTTTATTTAATTATTTTGCTTGATAGTTCATTTCTTAGTTTATTTAAGGTACATTCAAAGAATATAAATATAAATGGAATCGGAATCCACTAAACTCACACTAATGAACTAAATTGTTGTTAAACGAAACACAAGTACACTTAACTATTCCAGATTTATAAAATCCCTAAGCCAGTGTGCTGATTTTTTTTTTTTGTAGTTGTATGACAACTGTAGCAGGTATGTTGTTAGGATCCTGACTGTAGTGTTGTCATAAACACTATGTTCATCGTAATGTTAGTAATAGTGATGAACACCAAACATAATCTGTCAACAGCAAAACTAACATCTTGCCAGCTTATATCTTCCTTATCATCAGTTGGTGATGGGCTCACACAATCCGAATTTTTGTCGTCTGCAAAAGCGACCTTTACTTGAACTGGTGTATCTTTACTTTTGTTTCTACATGTTTTCGCGAGTATTATCCTCGCAAGACTTTTAAAGCATTGATTGACATGGCCCTGTCTATGGTATATATCTAGGTTTAATATAGTAAGCACTGTTATTGCCGAACTGACAAATAATGTTCCCATAAGGTAATAACTCAATATAGACATGGGTTCTGAACTTTTAGGCAAGTTGTCGCCAACGATGGTCATATAAACCGCCAGAGCCAATAACATCGTCACAGAAAACGAAAGTCGTTCACCAGACTCAGCTGGTAGTATAAACACCAAGACGTTTAAAACTGCCATAACTATAATAGGCGTTAATATGTTTATGATAAGAAAAAGCGATTTCCTTTTGGTAGTAAATGTGTATTTAATTTTGTCCACCAATACACTACTTCCCGGTATCCTTGTAACATCCGCTGAAATCATTTCCCACTGACTACTTTGCAGACTGCTGGACAATTGAACTGGACCAGAAGACGTCAACGTTAGTTCTGTACCAGAGTATGACAGTTCAGAGAACTCAAGAGTGCATGTCTGTAATTTAATATATAGATCGAAATTATATGAGTACATGTATGATTTATATGAAATGTGTTAAATATTTCTACATATACATATAGGAACGGAAAATATATAGAAAAGACAAATTGTTACCGGTGTTTCTAACAACAGACAAACTGTTATTCCCCCGTTATGTATATAGACCTGCTTGTATTTAAGCAACTAGCAAATGAAGTTTTGTGGTGTGTCCTGTTTTGAAAAGGACTTAGATGAAAGTGTAACTTTTATAAATATGTAAATGCTTAGAGTTAAAGGGAAAACAAACACAAAACACTTTGATATTACGCTATATGTATATTACTATATATTAATTCCTATCTATTTCTACACTTAAATAATTTGAAATAAATATTCTACATTATATACCTGTGTGTCAAACGGGTAGTAAGTAACATCCACACTACAGGTTGCCTCAAAGACGGACACCGGAAAAAAATATATGTCTCCTGATGACGTCACCGACAAGGTCATCCAATCCTCTCCAAGGTCTGTCATTTTTGTGAAGGGGTTTGTTAGAACAAGTTTAGGATACCAGATATCCGATAACTTTAAATCGATCTTTGATGCCCCTCCATAGCTTGCTGGTGACCAGTTAATGATTTCATCACGCCACTGCATGCCTAATTTACCAACAAGTGAAAATTTTCCTTCAACCTCGTCAAGGTCCCGGATAGAGAAAACGCTGAGAGACAGTGTTAAGTTCATGGTGTCCTTCTGCTCCAGGACAGGACGCTGTCGAGGGTTATATCCGGTCAGTACCGCAGTCATCAGATCTACAGACTTGGAATACTGCTGACCATGTGAAACTTCCAATAACATAAATAAAACAAGTACAAACGTAACAGCCATTTTTACTTTTATGTGGAATATTTTAAATATCGTAATAACCACAACAGATATTTAAATATGTGTACCACCAACTAAACACACGTGAAGATGAGCGCACTTATAGTCAGCATCATTGTTGCTTGTAATCCGTCAGTCAATTAAATTTCAATAAAACAATTTTCTCGTGTCTTTAACATTGTTAAAAATTAATACAAAACAAGGCAACAAAGAAAGTAATCATAATCCGTATAATCGTATATAACGTCATAATCCAGTCCATGACTAAAGTCTTTTGCCTAATGTGTGATTTCTAAATCGTTCGATAGTGGACTTTTATACCAATCTAATTATTTGGTGATTTTTGCATTCTTCTTTCATCAATTTATAGAACTTGAACAGGTTCATATTGTATTTGCAATAAGTATTATAATCTATCTTATTTTAGGTCATAAATATCTGATATATTTGTTTTGTAAGAATATGTTTCTATTTTCTGTAAGGTTTAACCAAGATTTATTTTCTCAATTACTTTAAACATGTTTAATTAGCAAATAAATGTCTGTACACAATTATTTCACGATATCCTCGTTTCTAATACGAATGCAGCTATAAATATGTGCATTACTTAAAACTTTTACTAGTACTCTTATATTTAATGATCTACATGTACTAATATTATATATAGAATTCTGTACCAGTTTTCAGTTTATGTTTCTTTTGTTTGTTTGATTGGGTTTAACGTCACACGTACACAGTATAGGTCATAATATTATGGCGACGTTCCAGCTGTACTCGTGGAGGAAGACCTCAGGTACCCTTCCGTGCATTATTTCAGGCACGAACGAGCACCTGAGTAGAACCACCGACTTTCCGTAAGCTAGCTGATAGCTTCATCACATGAAAGAATCCAAAATCGCTATCGGGATTCGAACCCACAGCGGTGAGGGGCAAGTATTAATATAATTAATGCGACATTCACACATCTGAAACTATCTTGACATATAAGAATCTCATTTATTATTACATTATATCGGCAGAACAAAGTGTAAATAAATGGTAAATAAATAACTTTAAAGTTTGGCGTAACTGTTTTCAATTTATTTTTCAATTAAATGTATATAATCAATATGACTCACGGAAAATTCTATTCACATGTATATAATGATATCTAATATCTAAAAGGAGCGTTCGTCATAGGACAAAATATTAATGGAAAAGTTAACTGTTGTTATTGTTTTATGATGTTTTGTGTTTTTATATATTGTTTAGAAGGTCGCATTTAAAATTAAGATATGCTATTTGTTTTCTACAACGGTATATCTTCATGTGTTACCTTCTTTAAATAAAATATTCATATGTGTTTCCTGAATATACTCTAAAACTGAAATGTATTTTTATATCAAAAGGTCGTTCTATCATTGTACGTATAACTTTTTCATAATGGTAAGGGCCCACGATAATGTTGTTAGAACTTTTGGCCAAACCCTTTTGTATGTACACTTGATTAATTAGTAAAATTATGAAATTGATATTATTATTTTAATTATATATCCTTTGGAATGTATCGGATAAAAAGAGCTGGACATTTATTTTATTTCAAAGGCGGCTTTATTTTATCGTAAGCATTTTTCATAAGTTTCCATTTCAGGGCAACTTGACAATTAACTTAACTTAACTTGACACGGACAAAAAGCATAATGATATTGTCAATTAAGATAATAAAGAAAAACTTATTAAATGCAGGGATAGTGTTTGGTGTTCCTTGTGATTTTCCTCTGAGTTTGAGATTTATCATTTTTTGGTATTCATTTAAAAGTCTTTATTTGGTTTATATGTGATTGTTTACTTCAGATTGTTCATTTGTTGCTGTTCATTTTTGATAGTTCTTTTTAGATTGTTCATTTATGATAAATCAAGTTTAGATTTATTTTAATAAAAGACTTGAGCGCCCGTTAGACAAATGTACTTACCATTTGTTACATTATTTCAGCGGAGCCGGCGGATTACCATTTGTATTTCAGCTTAGATACCGAAAATGGAACCGTCCATAAAACTAAGACTATGAACTCTAGTGATCCAAATAAATACGTCATATTTGTACAGGTAGGTCTTCTTGTTTTAGTTCAAGCATATTTTATTTCGAACCTTTTTCACGCAAACATATTTTACATACAATCATTACTTACATGATATACAATGATGTAAAAGGATCAGATACGAAAGCATACAATGCTTATATAAAGGTCCTAACCTAGCTGTATATCTAGTGATTAATTTCATGTTGGAAATATTATATCATGAAAAACATTTTGTAAAAAAGATGAGGAAGTCAAAAGTGTTAATTCAGACCTGAAAGTAAATTCTTGTTTTGAAGTACTGTTAATAAAACAAAACAGAAAATCCTCCAAGACAACCTACTAAATGTACTGCCTGAAGAAACGGTTTTATATATCTCGAATTAAAATAACGTAATGTTAATTGATGTACAGTCACACTTGTGTTGTATATATTCTGTATTTATTTTATGCATGTGATACATACATTCTTTATAGCAATATGCACTTGTAAAAGAGTGGAACATAGTGACGTCAACTAGTTGCTTCACAAATGATTATCAGACACGAAATATGACTTGTTCCGACGATCTGTTCATGAATGTATAACTTAACACTATAAAATATCTCAGTCGTGATGATATGTATATATACACCTTGCCCGAAGGCTACTTGTCAAAACAGAACTAAAATTTCATAAAATACATAAAATGCTCAAATGATTTTCTACTTATATAATTATTTAGTTTTAAAATTTAACCATACGGACTCCAAAGAACAGTGATAAGGCGGAGACGCGTTCAAATTATCATTATACTCCAAAGGAGAGAGATGAACAATCATGTTATGATATATCCGAATGTTTAAGAGTCAAACAAAGTCAGATATGTATTGCTGTAATGATTTATCTAATATTTAAGGCGGTAGAGGACTCCCCTCAACAGAAGTCACGTGTCGCAGTCCTGCTGGTTGTTGTTGTTGCTCCTAGCGATCCATTTTCAGACCAGCACAAAGCTAGTCCGACTGCAAGGCTTGCCTTAAAGATTGCATGTGCCTTTATTTTGATGGCGTTTATCTGTGGAGTTGTTGTGATCGTGCACCACAGATACACACTTTCACGTGCAAAGGTAAGTCCGTTGTTACTTTAATGTAAAGAGATTGAAGCCTTTTTCATTGTAGTACAGATTCTCCATTAAGATTATGTAGTCGATTCTTTTCGACTTGATAAAAAAGAATTATGTGGTAATATAGCACTTATTTTAGAGAAACAACCATTTTAAAGGATACTCAAAAAAGGCTTTTGAAAAGAAATGTTACGTGTTGAGTTAAACTGTTCTTTGCTTTGGGTGAGTGCTAGTTTGTTTTAGTACTTTTATTATTGGATATTGAAAAATGGTCAGACACTTTTTTGAAAAAAGAAAAGATTTGGACCAAAAAAACAAAAACAAAAAAAACACACACACAGTTCCGAAGCTTTCCAAAACAACGTACTGTATGCCTCTTTCGGGACACCATCTGCATGGTGTCTCCTAGGTTTATGCCTCATATCCCCTTTCCCACACCACCACCGGCAGAGTACTTTACATAGTACGTATATATAGCAAAGATTTTTTTGTGATTTTAAGTATGAATCTTTATGTAATATTTTCTTCTTGTGTTTAAGGTTGAGTCCCGGGATGGGAATGAGTTGCGAGACATGAAGTTACCAAAACTTGCAGTTTATCAGAGCTCCAATTCGAGTCTTAATTCCGCCATTCCAGAAATACCAGTCATAAACAGTCCATCCCAAATAGTTGTGGCTAGCTGTGAAAACACATTAAAACCAGAAAAATGGGATAACGAAAACCGAAGGTCTTCTATCGAGCGACGAGAGTCGGAGTCACAGAGAAAACGGAGACTAATTGTTAAAAAGCCGATTGATACTAAATCCCGTCCCAGCTGGAACGCTCCGTCACCTAAACCCAAACGGACCCGCTATAACCCGTTCTCCGTATATCAAACACAGCATAACAGTCATTAGTTGGGACATTGTAGACATTTTTGAGAGTAACATTCTGACTAAATTTGAACCTTCAACTTTTCGTGAAATAATAATAATTATCAAAATGCCATTAGACAAATAAAGACCTTAAGAAAATCACCATAAAACATGAAACAAAATAAGGTCAATGCTTCAAAGATTATAAACTTAATTGTATGTCACCATATAATAAAAGCACTGCGGTGATATTTTAGGCGAATCATTGTTTTCATGCCATGTCTATCCTCGGCATTTTTAAACGATATTTATTTTGTGTAAACATGAACTCTTATAATTATGTAAATGTAAATAAAATGTTTGCTTCTTTTCATATGCATTTTTTCTAGCTTTCATAGAAATTGTTCTAGAAACTTTCTTAACTTGGTTCCTAGCCTTTGTAATACTAGTTTCTGTTGTTAATGCTGGTTTCTTACATATGTTAACAGTGTTGTTGTTTTACTTAATAGACGCACTGTCCTAACAAGCTATTTGCCAATAACAATTATAGTTTTTGTTCTAACTTCTATAAATATATATTCGTATAAAAACATACTCTATGTTATTTAAACACACGGCACATACGTAAAATATTTAAGACACGAAAACTGATTGGTCAGTATTCTCGTAAATGTGGAATGCAAATTATGTCATTTTATTACTTGTTGAAGTTTATTATCATAAACTGACAAACAATGCTTGGATCAAATAAACAAGCACACCGTTCTATTATGACTTTAATTAATAATAAATTAATCATTCAGCATGACAGCTCGAGGTTTGTATGAAGTGTACCAGGAATTATAATTGTATATTAGTTAGGCTGAATTATAACTTTTAAGATCAAAAACGGCCACGCAGCGACACTTATGCTTACTTGATAACTATGTTAGCTAAAGTATCAGAATATCCCGTGATCAGTATAAGAGGTTCTAGTTCATTTTTATTTCTTGCTAATAACCAAAGTTTTCTGTTTTCTGTGGCGGCCATTAAGAAGCATTCTTATTGCCTCTCATAATTTAAACAATGCTTAATGCTTTTTCGGTCAGGAGGAATACAGTAAGAGTTTTTCTTCAAAAGTCTTCTTACAACAACATTTTGCTAGAACGGAAAATAAATTTCCCTAGGCAAAAACGTGGGTAAATTGTTGTTTGCCCTAGCAAAATGTCGAGAGAGAGAAATATTTTTGAATAAAATACCAGTAAATGTGTCAAGACTTATTCGACGATTAAGCGTATTTCATAATCATACACATGTAGTAGTCATTCAGATGTTCTTACTGCTCCAAGAAATATTATGCTGGACTTCTTATAATGAGTTATTTACTCGCCAATACAAGCTTCAAATAAGGTAAATAATTATATAATTACCGTATCTCCTGCACTTTCTACAATATCTTTATCAAATAAACACACCTGAACAAAACTCTATATATACATTTTACACGTTAGAAAGAAATTTTATATCGGCCTGTTCTAGTAGTACTATTGTACATTTTATATACTATTTAATATCATTTTATTTAAATCTCAAAGGCACGTTGCTTATAATGAACAAAATATCGTTAAATTTGACTTACTTAAAGGGACTCAACTGAGGTTTTTGACATTCTTCAAAATAGAAATTACAAATACATACTATGGGGTTAAAAACTTTAATTCAGTTTAAAACATGCACGCATGAAAAATCGACTTCCCTAGATTCGTTTGGTACATGTAATTGTTTAGATATCGGAAAAAATATTATTTGCAGCAAAAGAACATGACGTCATCCAGCGCTGTATCGTCACCAAACATTCCTTGGGGTTCGGATACTCGTGTCCTAATTCCACAGATAGCCGTACCAAAACTACATTCGTCACTCCATGATCCATATTCACCCCATATACCATATCCTGGCAATCTCGCTTTGGCCAACTCATATGATGGTAAAGTACCATGTAAATCCCGGCATTTGAATTTTACATAATTAACGGACGAGTCGTCGAGGATTTGTTGCTTAAAGTAATAAAATATCTAATATTAAACATATATAGATAGATATCAATAATGTACATGTGCTTGTACATCTTTAGAACTTATAGATTTCAATACCGTATTCGAGTTCTTATCTTTGAATTATATTTTATTATTTGATGTAATTTAAATCTTCTTTAACTTAAAACGAAGACAAATCTGTCACATTAACAAAAATTTAATTGAATGTTAGTGCCAGTAAAATGAAAATGCATGCAAGATATAAAGATTTAATAATTTTGTTAATACAAAATAACGCATAAAAAATAAAGACTATTGTCCTACATCTGCAAGTAGTCAATACCACGTCAAGATTAATTATAAACTTAGTTTAAATAAACAGAAAAGTTCAATCGGGATATAATCAGATATTTGACTGAAATGAATTTAACAGTTGACAAATACACAAGTTTTACCCTGGGTTCAACTTGAAGATTAAACGATGTCAAGAAACGTTTCCTGTTGCCCTGCCGTTCACAATGTGCCTCACCAAACCACCTGCCCCATGGTCCAACAGTTGAATTAACTGTGTTCTGCATATTGTTATTAACATCATTAGGTTCACAAATTAGCTTGATACCATTTAATGCTGTGTCATCGAAAAATATACCTTGATGTTTCTCAATCTGCAATGATTGACCATTATAAAGACTGCATTTATTTATTGTCCATTGAAACAACGTGATAAATAATGTATGAAGCTTCTACATGTATGTATAATATAATAAACGTGAAGAAAAAAACCCCAGTATTTGTAAAATTTGATGAATCGTATGAATATATTTTTAATAATACTTAAAGTGTGTATCTACACAAGTGACAACATTAACTTAGTCATAGACATCCGTTATAACATAGAGCTTACAAATTACATACAGCAATATTCAAGTTCAATCAGATTTCATATTACATCTTTGATCAAAACTCACTGATACTTTCCAATTTAAGTTTTACCTTATAATAATAATAATAATAATAATAATAATAATGATAATTTTAAACAATATATAAATACAAACTAACATTACCAACTATTACAACTAGTCAATTACACAACATAATTTGTAGATATGACACTTGTTTTACCTTAATGTCATATCCTACAGCATATGTATTGTTGAAACAATACTCCGCTACCCCCCATGTCCCCCAATCATGGGTGTTCATTACAGTTAACGTCTGATTTCCTTCTACTGATGTAACTAAAATAAAATAAAATATTTCTTTTTATAAATATTCAGTGGCATTATGCTATGCAATACAATTTGTTTGTTTTTTTTTGTTTTTTTACTTTAACATACTCAAAATTTGACATTCTTAAAGATGCCTCTGCTCAACTAAAGAAATCAAGTCGTTTGTGCGGACCTAAGTTAACTTGTAAAACTTGACAAGTTATAAGTTAACTTGTAAACCATATAAGTTCATTTGTGCGGGCACCAATTAACTTATAAAACCTATAAGTTCGTTTGGATTGGCACCAATTAACTTTTAAAACCGACAAGTTCGTTTGTTCGGACACAAGTAAACCTATCGTGGCTGACTTGTGCCATGTATAAATTTACGCTACGAAAACACGAAAACAGTCATCATTTTGTCGTACTTCTGGTCCGCGAGACACACAAATCACTAAAGCATAATGTATGAACTTATAAACAAAATGTTACAATAATAGAAATGTGTGTATGTTGAAAATTACAAGTTAATTCTGTAGGAAGTTTATTCAGCGCAAAAAATGGTATTTACTACTCAAAATTGCCGGGTTGCTGAATGGTTTGCTTCATACATAAATTTATATACATAAGTTTCTTTTCTCAGATAGTACAATGAAATACGGTAAATGATTCTACTCTAACCATTAACAGATTAAGATTTTCTTAAAAAAACAAAAACGTTTCACCTAGGCAGATGAGATATGTAACACAAATCAGTCTTATGAAATACTAAGAACATTCTTGAAATATATCCTAATACAGTTTGGAAGTACGTATTGGTATAAATCAGTACAATACAGGATCATCATCGTCACCATTATCATCATTATTATTACTCTTATCATTATTACATTATAATCATCATCTTCATTATTATTATTATCATTATAATGACTATAATTATGATCAATATTACATCCTCCTCTTCATCATCATATATATATTATTAATTACTACCATCATCATCATTATCATCATCATTATCATCATTATTATTATGACTACAATTATAATTATAATCATTATTGCATCATCATCATAATTTTTTTCACAAAAAATATTTCAGTGTAGATCTAAAACAGTCTCATTTTAATGATACATGTACATTGTTGATGATACATGTACTTCAGTCACACTTTTTGTCTTCTAAAGATTGTAATAAATAAGATGAACTTACCATGTAAATATGCAATCACAATATACACTAGCTGTAATACCATGTTGCTTAACCTTAATCTGTAGTCACCAAACTAGATGCTAACTATAGCAAGAACATTTGAATTTCATGTTAGGATTACAATAAATTTACGAACATTTGTCAAGGAAGGACTTGTGCATTATATGTTTAAGGTGATTCAGGCAGTTAATTGTCGTTCACTGTATAATGTATGATAGATAGAACTTTTCAAACTGCATAAAAATTACACCTTGAAATATGTAATAACGTCGTGTTTACGCCAAATGTCGTCTGAACATCAGTTTATCTTCATAAATGTCAACATATATTCTACATGGGGTGTTCATTTTCAGTCAGTAATAAAAGCTTGTGTACCTGTCGCTGAGATAATACCACCACTTATTTTTATATGTTTTTATATACGTATTATGTTTAAAATTCATTGTTGTTATTAAAATAATAAAATTTATTCATTTCAAAAATGACATGCTGTCCCGACTTCTATTAAAATAGAAAAAAGTAGAAACCCTGAAATGTAACAAGCTCGCTACACGTCCAGATAGAGGTCTAAACAATTTTAACATGTAAGGATTCTTCCTGGCGTCCTCAAAGAGTTGCTACGAAGATCCCACGATGTCCAATCACGTTCCTTTACGTAAGTTTGCTCTCACGGCGCTTCCACGGTGAAAAGACGTTCTTTTGTTCTTCCTTAAAAGGGATGGGGATAGGAGCGCCATTCAATTTCCGTTTAACAACCACATCGTTTACATTTTGCGCTCAAAGAGTTCATATGGTTTTGTAGGAGGCTTTACTTCGCAGTTATTGAGTTGTAAGGAAACCTTAATGTGATGGTATAATTTCCTTCACAGTGATTCCATTGCATTTTTATCAGAACGCCTAACGACGACGCTTGTTTTGTCCAAGCAATGTTCAATGCAAAACGCAACCTAGATTAGTATATGGCAAAATGCTGAATAAAGAACTCATCAGAATGGTAACATTCAAGGGGAAAATTTAAGATGTATGATCTTATGAACAACCCTCGATTGTTGTTGTTATAAAATAAAATATGAAATGCTTTAATAAATATTTAATGCAAGCGTACCTTGATTTTATATTACATTTGCTACTAACGTCTATCAAGTGTTAAATTAAGTTGAACATTTCTTTATCATTTCCGAGTCAACGTACCTTGTTGATTTCTCAGAACATCAATAAAGTAATAGAAGAAAACAGAATATATATCTCATCATTGCAAAAAGCTGACAAAAACATGAGATGCGTAATACTAGGCAATACCGTTCATATGAACACAGCTTTAAGTCAATACCGTTCATATCAGCACAGCTATATTAGACATTACTGTTCATATGAACACGTCTAAAATTCAATACCGTTCATATGAACACATCTATAAATCAATACCGTTCATATGAACACAGCTATAAATCAATACTGTTCATATGGTCAATACTTTTCATATGAACACAACTATAAGTCAAAACTGTTCATAAGAAAACATCTATAAGTCAATACCGTTCATATGAACACAGCTATAAGTCAATAATGTTCTATGTGTCAATACGGTTCATATGAACACAGCTTAAGGTCAATGCTGTTCATATGAACACAGCTATAAACATATGCGCAGAGCTATTAGTCAATAATTTTCATTTGAACACAGCTAAATGTCAATACCGTTCATATGAGCACAACTATAAGCCAATACCGTTTATATGAACAAAGCTTTAAGTCAATACTGTTCATATAAACGCAGCTGTATGTCAATACTGTTCATATGAACACATGGACATCTATAAGCATATGAACACATCTATAAGTCAATACTTTTCATATAAACACAGCTATATATCAATACCGTTCATATGAACACAGCTGTAAGTCAAAACTATTCATATGAACACCCATATAAGTCAATATTGTTCATATAAACACAGCTATAAGTCTATGTGAGGACATCGCGTTTCAGACGCAGCCACAGTGAAAACAACATTCATGTAAACAGGCCTATTACCTGAACAATTATCAACATACGCTTGCAAATAATAAAATACTTTGTATCTACTTTAATTTTCGATGAGTTTGAATAATAAAGTCAGTTCTTAATATTTTTGAAAATTGATTAATACGGGAGACATATATCCTGGCCCCATTGACAGTAGCTTTGAGGTTGCGCCTACCCCATGATATAAAGTATTGTCGGGGTTAGCCATTAAAATAACTTTGTAATTAATAAGTTTTCATGCTAACAATTAAAATGATTACATGTACAAATGAACATCATATTCCGGGGAAGGTTGACATTCATGAGACGAAATTCATTAATTTAAAGTTAATTTTAAGTAAATTAATGAAATAAATGTTTAACTGTCATTTTAGAGTAGTTAATATGTCATGCTTTTATATCATTATATAACTGTCACAATGTAATAAATTTTATTCAGAGCATGCGTAACAACGTGAAACAGAAACAAATATTAAATAATTTGAAAGAACTTCTTAGCTGCTATTGTATATGAAGTATTAAGGAAATTATAGAAAACGGGGATAATGAATAATTATGCCTTTATCTACGATTTTGTGCGGTTAGTGATAGTCACAATAATTCTTACCGCGGCCGTTTCTTTTCCTTATTTCAAAACAGTTAAAATATGATAAACAAGATCAACAAGGAAAGGCGGCGTTCAATGAACGCAACCCCCCGGCCATATGACCCAGCAACAAGAACCAATGGCAAGGAGCCCAGGCGGACCCCAAACAAAAACAGGACAGGGCAAAGACAGAGCACGGACAGGTTAATCATTAAATGATAAATAATTTGTAACTGATTAGGAATTCAAAGAAAATAATAATAGGCCCACAAAGGGGAAGTGGACAGGAGACGGGTGGAAGGGGTGGGGGTTAATCAAAGAAATAAAAACTAGAGGCAATGGGGAAGATACTTACCGTAGACGAGAAAACAACAAGGGACACAAGCAAGAGTTTCATCAAAACAGTATGAAACAACATAGACATACATCTGAGGAACACAGTGGGGCGCCGCCTTGGAACGGTCAGCAGCATAATAATGACTGCTGGGGAGTTAAAACCGGTTAATGGTGCACCAAACCTCGCTCTTAGCCCCACCATGTTCCTATAAACGAGACAGTGTAAATAAAATGAATCCCCGCCAAGTGAAATTCTAACAGTTGTCATGGTTACAAAAGGTTAAATAAGTAAAACACTAAAATGATCATGTGGAAACATATAAAAGTAAACCCAATGACCATAACAAAAGTACTCAATGTCCTAAAGGAAGACAGAGCAACAAGGAAATCACCTACAAGGGCCCGAGGAAGCAAGGCAGAAGACGAAAATTAAGACAATTCAGTCCCAAAGGGCTTTACGAACTATCCATCATAGAGTCTCCCACTTGGTCCGTCAGATGCAATCAAAAGAGGAAAGCGTAGTGTCCAACTGTAAAAGGGTTGAACACTAAACATGCAGTAAGTCTTAAAATAGTAGGGTCATAACCTCTTTTAATAAAACGTTTAATGATTTTAGTAAAAACAGCAGAAAAATTACCATGACCCAAAATCTTACGAAGTTTGTAAATCACATCGCCATAAAAACCAGGCTGGCTAATCCCTTGTCGCAAAAGAGTTTTTAAATCACTATTGAATTTAGAAATTAAAGCTTACATAGTTTCTTTTAAAGCGTCATGCCTCTAGATAAGCAAAATATTTCAAGAAAGTCAAGTTTGTGAAAAATGTACCAAGATTTCAAGAAAAGTAAAAATATTCAAGTACATGTTATATGTAAGTAATGACTGATTTTGCAGTATTTATCGCCATATTTTCTACTACGTGACTAACGTAGTAAGGGCTATTTTTGCATATATTGACCTCTTTATAGTAACTTACATGGATCCTTAGTACACTTCACAATATATAACTTATAAATACAATCTCAACATTTTGAAGAAAATTAACTTATCTGGAGGATTGCTGCTTTAACTTATTTTAATCCTAATTTACATAATTGAAATGAATGCGCATGTTCGTACAGTGTGACAATACCGAAATTTAATTTATTTACTATAACATGTTTTCTTTAAGAATATATCTGGTTTGTTGGTTTTTATACGTCGCACCAACACAGTAGAGGAAATCTTGTTTTTGTGAACTTTGTGCGTTTTATGGGGAGGAGGGGCGCACTGTAACACCGCAAAACGTCCGTACCGCAAAACGTACGTATATGGACGTTTTGCGGCGCATATCGTCCACATTTTTATGACGTACATTTTGCGGCAAAAAGGCATGGTCCTGCCGCATAACGTCCATATTTTAAAGTTTATATAATTTTCGTTAATTTTGACCAGTTATTATCAGGTGTTATTTTGTGTTAATTTTAGCTCATCTGAGTATGCGTCTGTCTGTCTGTCCGTCCAAATTTAGCTTGTTACCACTCTAGCATCCACATACCCTAAGCAATATGTCCAGAGTTATCTGCCCTTGAATTACAATATCTGTTATACAGTATTTCACATTGTTACCACTACAAGGTTTCCATTTCTTCTTCAATCTCAGATATCTATGACCATAAAATCTCAACAAAGTTAGATTATAGGCTAAATATAACAAAAAACAACAACAAAAAACGCACCATATTTCACCTTGTTAGTGCTTTCGTTTCTTCTCCATTCTTAATTTTTTTATACAGAATATGTATAACAATAAGGTCTCGATCAAGGTCATTTATGAGCTAAAACGACTGAATATGTCAAGAGTTATTTGCCTTTGAATAATAAAAATAAAGACATATTTTAAAGTCATATTATTGAATTGGGATAAAACTGCCATTTCTTTCTTATCAATGATCAGATGTCATTCATACATTTATGACAGGACATCTTGAATAGTTCAACTATAATATTGACCTTGAAATGACATTGACCTCAAGGTCACTATCGAATTTTGCTTAAATTATCATATCTTTATCATTGCCAGATATTTGGATAGTGATGACCATTTCAGACGTAGAATTGATTACTGATATCAGTTACCCATATTCTGACCAAGTACTTGACATGTACTTGCTTTTTATTTGTAATATTCAAAGCTATCTACCCTTGTCATGTGGAGCCTTTATAGGTAGGTGGGCGATATAAGGCCACCATGACCTTTTTGCTTTGTTCAATTATAAAATTACATCATTCAATTATAAAATTACATTATGACATTCAAACAAAACGCTTACATTACGATATTTAGTTTTATCAATAGAACACATTGAACTTCTTTTTCATCATTTATGCGGAAGAATGTTTGTTATAATATACTCTATTACACATTATCTATGTAACTTAAAGGCGAAATGTTTTGTTTTTCAGGCGATAAAGTATTACGGTTTTAGTAAAGGGCCGGACTTTTCGTTTAACCTATAGATTAAATCATTTTTGAAAGTTATATTTTATGACAATTTCAAACTTGTATTTACTAGATTTGTAGTTCAAAATATTTGAGCCGTGTCAAGCAGAAATGCGCACTATCGTCATTTTTTTCCACATATTGATGTTCAAAAATAACAATCTGCTCAAATATGACTAAGCGGCTAAAAGTCCGCGACCCAATAAATGCACTCTTGCTCAAAGATGACTAGGCGGCTAAAGCACCCCCCCCCCATCTCAACAATAGCTCTCTCATTCAGATATGACAAGGCGGCTAAAATCTACCTTCCTCGACAAAAGCTCTCTGTCTCTCAAATATGACTAGGCGGCTAAAAGCACCCCATCCCCGCCCCCCGCGACAAAAGCTCTCTTGCTCAATTATGACTAGGCGACTTAAAGGCCCCATCTCCATGACAATATAGCTCTCTCGCTCAAATATTACTACGCTGTCAAAAGCCCCCATCCATCCCCCGTTAAAATGAACAGTAGAACCAAACCTCCATAGTAAACAAGAACACACTTCTTGATGCAATTATATTAAAAGCTATTGTCAAAAGCAAAGCTAAATTTTAATATTTTTTTGTCATTCACTCAGTCCAATCCCCGGTTCGTCCGTCCGTATAGCCGTTCTTTAACTGTATGTCTTAAGATTACATTTATTTCAATATCATCGTTTTTATATCTCTGCTGCTGCTGCTGCTTGGTTCCATTCCATAAAAAAATCTATTCCAAAAACATCCTCGGCTTAAGCATATTTTTTTAAATAAAAAAAGTCAGAATTATATAGGATCACAAAAATATTGCACTTTAATGTTTATTTCGTTATATCTTTACCTGAAACTATATGAAAGTGACAGAACCAATAAAAGTAACGTTTATAATGAATATATTTTAATACAAAAAATATGGACGATATGCGGCGCAAAGACACACTTTCGCCGCAAAACGTACCAAGTACGATATGCACTGCAAAACGTCCACACGCGTACGATATGCGACGCAAAACGTCCACACGCATACGTTTTGCGGTACGGACGTTTTGCGGTGTTACAGCGCACCAGAAGTCATATATAGTGACTTTCGAGGGAAACTGGTGGAGGAGCACTATTTGCGATACCCACAACCGTGAGGGACAAGTGGTTTACAGTTAACGACCTCAACTACTCGGTCACGGGCGCCTTTCTATTACTGACATACTTCAGTAAGACAGTCCCATGGTGCATTGGCTTTGCATTTGAGGACTGCACAAAATGTATATATGCTGTTTAAATTTTCGCAGTACGGGTCATTATTTATTTTAGCCGGACTGTGAAGAAAGAACGTAGCTATTTTGAACCATCAAGGAACCCACCAGTGTTGGGTCATACGAGGAAAAATATCTCCAGTGTGTGTGTGTGTGCGTGCGTGTTCGAGTTTATTTATACTCGCAACCGCTAGTCCTCCAGAAAAAGTATTAGTCATTTTATATTTTGGAGGATAGTGAAAGATACCCCAATTCTAGGAGCTTCTCCTGGTTCCTTCACGTGCCAAGTGTTTAAGCACTCATACAAAGGACCTCCATTTAAAGTCTCATTCGCAAGACTGTTTAGTAATTTTAGTTGGCCCAGGAATCAAACCCACTTCGTCCAGATTTACCACGCTGGCGCACTTACAGATTGAGCTATGTGGGCTGACTAGATCTCCAGTGTATCTAAAATAATAAATATACCAGTTTATAATATCTGCATTAAGATGCAGACACCTAGGCCAATACTACTCCTTTAAAGGCCCATTCAAATGTGCATTCCCATCCATTTGACTGTTTTGTCAGTTTATGAAGGACTATGGCCCCACGTTGGGGACAAACACAAATTTTTATTACAGTTTTCAGTTTAATGTGATAATCAAAACAACAATCATTTCACACAGGAAACAAGGTAGTTGAATTTTCTCGTCAAGTTCTCGGTTTCTGGCGTCACCAGTGCCTAAAATATAACAATACTCAGATTATATACCTTGTAATTACACACGTTTTACTTCATTCTTTTTAATGATTAATAATTGCAAGCCGAGAAACATGATTCAACATACATCCAAAAACTGAACGAGAATAATATTATATACTCAATTTATTCAATCTATAAAACGTACTCCGCTTAAATACGATTTATATTTCATTTTGATTATGTTGGAAGCTATAAGCTTATAGAAACACTCTTGAATAAATCCTGGAACCAACCAGTGCAAAACAATATGCGTAAAGTTTCGTGCCAAAGAAAACAACCCTGACAGGGTTTGAACCCACGAAGCCAGCAATCCTCAGATTACTAGTCGCGTTAACCACTCGACCATGCTGCAACTGAGTTTTGACATGACGGGAGTTGTTGTTTTTTATTTTAATACCATTTGATGGAGGTCTGGACTTATGACTTGTGTGCGAAATATTAGAACATTCACGTAATCTGTTTTTCAAAAAGAATAATTTTGTGAAAATGACAATTAAATGAAATGCAGTTTAACACTTTACTCAAATCGGGCCAATATCTTTACCCCAGTTGATCTATGAAAGATATTTCAAATTTTATGGTATTAGGTTTTCTGAACTCAGTAAAGCTATTTTATTATCTATAATAATACAGTTTCATCAAATATTTTATGACTATGATTTATTTTTATTACCTGATGTTGGGACAAGTAGGTGTTTACTCTATTGTTGATATTTGAAATCATGTGTAAACACTCTGGCCTACTTCTTATACAAGAACCTCTCCCCTCTGTCAGGAATAACATCACAGATTTCATAATTATACAGAGAACATCCACCTTAATATCTGAAATATAAATTACCAAATTATATACAATGCTTTAGATAGAAGCCAACTGATAACTCTTGACCACTAACACTATAGGAACATGCAAGTTGATTTAACAACATCATATTAGAACAGATATATAGGTGTAGGTGTATTTTTCTTATATCTATGGGGAGACTACCCAGATATTGATCTCATTCCTGAATCTACTTACCACAAAAATCATGCAACAACTCTGCCAAAACATTGACCTTGATCCATGTTGACCCCTTGACTTAATGATTTAAATCTGCCTAATGCAATTATTGTATGTTATATAAGAATACAAGAATATGCAACACATCTACAAACCTCCCCTACCAAAAGGAAGTTTGACATCGAGCACACAATTGTACTATTACAAAAGTTTGAGGAAATGATCATGACTTTCAGTGCAACATCTTGATAAATGCAACAGGAAATTCATTATAGAAACAAGAGGGCCATGATGGCCCTGAGGTCGCTCACCTGTATTTAGGCCACTGGAGCGGGGCTAGTTTAAACCCCAGGGCTTTTATTTGAACAAACTTGGAAGACACTCATTAGAAGATGTTTCATGATGTTAAGTTTTTACTACACACATGAAAACAATGACCCCCCCCCCCTTTGGCAGGGCCAATTTTAACCCAAGGGCTTTTATTTGAACAAACTTGGTAGACACCCACAAAAAGATGTTTCCTGCAATCTAACCTCTAGCTCATTGGGTTTTTTAAAAGAAGATTTTTTAAAATTTTACTATACACATATAGTTAAAAACAATGACACCTCTGGGGCTGGGCCAGTTTTAGCCCCAGGGCTGTTATTTGAACAAACTTTGTAGACACTTACTAGAAGATGTTTCATGCTTAATATCTAAACTCTAGCTATTTGGGTTTTTTCAAAGAAGATTTTTAAGTTTTTGCCATACACAAATAAGGAAAATCAATGACCCCCAGGGCAGGGCCAATTTTGTCCCCAGGGCTTTTATTTGAACAAACTTTGTAGACACTCACTAGAAGATGTTTCATGCTTAATATCTAAACTCTAGCTATTTGGGTTTTTTCAAAGAAGATTTTTTAAGTTTTTGCTATACACATATAAGGAAAATCAATGACCCCCGGGACGGGGCCAATTTTGACCCCAGGGCTTTTACTAGAACAAACTTTGTAGACACCCATTAGCACATGTTTCATGCTAAATATCTTAGCTCTAGCTCTTTGGGTTCTTTAAAAGAAGATTTTTTAAGTTTTTACTATATGCATATAGGGAAAATTATAAAATTTGTTTATCAAATTGTAATTTTATGAGTGAAGTTGTTAACTTACCATACGGAAAATACATTAGGATTTAGTTCTCCTCAACCATTACAGTAACACGCAAAACTTAATGAGCGTCTAGATGATCATGATCAAACAGGAAATCAGTATCACAAGACGCTATTAACCTCAGTTAAATATATTTTACCGTTTACCATATTTAGGCGACATTGCAGTCCCTAATAGAAAATACTGGGGAGGAGGGTGGGTAGTTGTATGGTAAGTTAACAACTTCACTCATAAAATTACAATTTGATAAACAAATTTTATAATTTCATTTCGTTCCGTTTTTAACTTACCATACGGAAAATACATTAGGATAGATTACAAAGCACTAACAAAGTTTGCACTCTTACCCTATGCTACGACCGGATGTAAACAATACGTTCGCACAGGGCATGCGCGGTGGTTAAATCCCACCCATTTTATTCGATTAAATTCTAGAACAACCTCTACTTTCGGTTTCAATTTCGCTGACAAGGAACAGTTTGAGTCAACGTAAGTGTTAATTTTAATTGCAATGTCCAAAACTTTGCACTACACGGCGTAATTTTCATTACATATCCGGTATTTTCACCGTCATGGTAGTTTTTATTCCACTCGGTCAAAATGACGGTACACATTTACATGTAAACAAACAGATTTAACTTCTCAGACAATTTAAATAAGGAATGGACACACGGTAAACTCTGTTGCAACGTAAAGGATATTCATAAATCTGTTTGAGAAAAATTGTCTCCGTGTTCAAATAAATTTCAAAAACGGGGAAAAAAAGCAGTCTTTTACCGATACCCTGCAACAGAACCTTATTATTCTGACGAATTAAATTGACTTTATAACGCTCGTATACAATTATTTATTGATCGATTTTCATTATATTTATTTTGCAATACCTATCATTCAATATGCAATCAAACAAAACCAAGTTTTCATACATTCAAGGAAATTGTAAGTTAGGACGAGCTTTCAAAACGAACAGGTAGCAATTTCCAACACGCTTATCGAAACACCAACATGGCGGCTCATTTGCATAATTTATTCATAAACGCAGGAGCATAGAACTTTGTTAGTGCAAAGCTTACCTCAAAGCTGGAGGTGGGTGTATTTTCTTCCTAATCTATATCTTGTGTCTAGAAACATCTTTAACACACATGATCCTTCAAAAACGTAATGGACTATCTGGTCTTATTATCACAAATACCCTCTATATACATGTTCAATAATACTTCCAAAGTATATCGAAGAGTGTCATTAAAATACAAAATAGAGATTTTCTATCTCTCAGCAACACGCAGAAGATTTTAACATTCCTCTGGAAAATAACGTATCTACATTAAAACACTGGGATCAATTCTTCTCAGATAAAAACGAATAAATGTGGATTCATTTTTCCAATCTGCTGCTTCCAGAATTGATGATAAACTAGCACCTTTAAATAAGGCCCAAGAGGGACCTATTGCCCTAGTAGAATGAGATTTCACTTTAATTGACGTATTGTATGCCATCTGAATAGTTTGAACAATCCATTTTGCTAAAGTCTGTTTAGAAACTGCTTTGTGTGGTTTCACATAAGAAATGAATAAACTAGTTTCATCTTGAAGTTTAGATCGTCGTATAGATTCAGTTTTCTTCAAATAAATAGCAATAGCTCTCTTTGGATCTAACTTTTTGTCATCTTTGAAAGCTGGAACCCAAATATTTCTTCCCATGTGTGATGGCCTGTCCTGCTTGGACAAACCTTGCCTTAAAAACATAATTCCCTCACTATGACAGTCACATTACCCTCTCCTAATCTTAAGGACTGGAGGTCCGAGCATCGTTTGAACGTTGTAATGGCTGTAAGAAAAACAGTTTTTAAGGTTAGACATTTCAATGAAGTTTTATGTAAAGGTTCAAAAGGACTAAGTTTCAGCATTTTGAGGACTTTTCCTAAATCCCATTCAGGTGCCAATTTAGAAACAGGTGGTCTTAAGTTAAAAACCCCTTTGAGTAATCTAATAATATATGGATGCTGTCCAATCAGAATATTATCAACAGGAGGTAGTACAGCCGAGAGCATTGAGCGATAGCCAGCAATTGTTCTGTATTGCAAGCCTTCATGAAATAAGAAAGTTAAGAATTCAGCACAATCAATTAAAGATGCAGTAAAGGGATCTTTATTCCTTGTACTACACCAGCTACGGAATTTTCTAAAATTTACATCCATAATCTTTTTGAGTTCCAATTCTCCATGAGGCTGTGAGTAATTTTCTAACTCCCTTAGAAAAACCTTTTGTTTTGAAATTTCTGTTGAGAGCAACCAAGCTGTCAGTTTGAAAATTTCTGGAGATGGATGATATATTTTTGTTTTTGGTTGAACCAACATTTCCCTGAGAACCGGAAGACGAACCGGTGGTGCAATCAGATACTGAAGTAGAGTTGTGTACCAGTGACGACGTGGCCACTGAGGTGCTATTAAAATTATTTGACAATTGAACTGAGACATGTGTTGTAGAACTTTTGGAATTAGGCAAATGGGAGGAAACGCATATGCTATCATTCCCTCCCATGACACTGACAGAGCATCTATTGCTAATGCTTGACTGTTTTGATACCATGAGCAAAATATTGGGACTTTGTGGTTGTGCACTGAGGCAAACAAGTCTATCATTGGTGTACCCCAACGCCTGAACAACATTTGAACTATTTGATTGTTCAATGTCCATTCCGATGGACGAATTTTGACCCTCGACAAGTGATCTGCTAACAAATTCATCTTGCCCGCAACATAAGCTGCTTTTATCTTGAAGTTGTGTTTTATTGCCAGATTCCACAATTCCCATGTTAGATAACAAAGACTTGCAGACCTGGTTCCCCCTTGTTTGTTTATAAACTGGACAACTGTTGTGTTGTCCGATCTGATCAAAACTTGTTGATTTTTTAGATAAGGAAGGAAATTTTTTACAGTCCTTAATACAGCTTCCATTTTTAAAATACATTGATATGTCTTTTTGCTTTTTCCTGGGTCCAAGTACTTGAAATACTTTTTGCTCGTTCATATGACCCCCATAACCGTCTTCGAAGAGTCTGTTGTTATTGTCACAGTTGTTGACCACTGCTGAAGAGATCTGCCCTTCAGCGTATTTGCTCTTAGTAACCACCATCTGAGATGGTCTATTAAGTGTCCAGTTATTGGTACATTTATTGTCATGTCTTTGGAAACTGGTTTCCAATGAGCAAGTAGATGCAACTGAATAGGACGCATATGTAAACGGGCAAAAGGTATTATTTCTATGCATGAGGCCATTAGACCCAATACATGCAGAAACTGGAAGGCACTGTTTTTTCCTTGAATTAATAACCTGATAGCTTCCTCCAATTTTGTGATTCTTTCTAGAGTCGGGTACACTAAACCTAACTTTAGATTGAAAACACTGCCTAGGTAAGTGATTACTTGTTTTGGGACTAGAGAAGATTTCTCTACATTTATGATGAAACCTAACTGGAGGAGCAAATTGACTGTCGTCTTTTGATCTGACAGCAGTGCTATCTTTTGAGATTTCACTACTAGCCAATCGTCTAGATACGAGGCTAGGTGGACATTTAACATTCGTAAGTATGCTGCAACTACTGATATTACTTTTGTGAATGCTCGTGGAGCCTGGCTTGGACCGAAACATAACGCTGTGAATTGGTAACATTGATTGTTTATGCAAAAACGAAGGTACTTTTTGTAGTTCTTGTGAATTGGAATGTGCATATAAGCATCCTTTAGATCTAAAGTGAAACTGAATTGGTCTTTTTTGACTAAATTTAGAACTTTCGAAAGTGTGTCCATTTTGAAATGCTGTTTCACCATGTACCTGTTTAGCGGCTTTAAATTGATAACTGGCCTCATTTCCCCATTCTTTTTTGGGACAAGGAAAAACGTGCTGTAGAAACCTTCCATTACTTCCTGCAATGGAACTTTTTCTATAGCCCCTTTTTCTAAAAGGTTTTCCACCTCTGAGTAAATAAGTTTCATCTGATCTGGAGGTGCCTTTGTAATTTTTATACCTGTAAAATTTGGAATTTGAGTAAATTCCAGTTTGAGGCCATTTCTGATGGTTGACAACACCCATTTGTCGTCTGTTATCATTTCCCACTGATTTATGAAATATTTTAGTCTGCCGCCAACAGGTAAATGGGGAAACATCATCATTACTTTCTCGTCATGCTTTATCTGAAAATGATTTTGTATTACGAAAGGAACTCACCTTTGATTTCTGCACTGGCTTGTTATAGCCCAAACGTGGGATCTTGAAACCCCCACTTGAATATGAAGAATAGTTACGAGGTCCACTGGATGACTTCTCTTCATATTTTGGTTTCTTAGAACTCCTTTCATTGTTGGGAGTGAACTTCCTCTTATACAAAACAGAAGGTGATTTAGCCTGTCTAAAAATACTATCTGGTAATACCTCAGTAATTTGCTTGTTTCGCTCCTGTTTGGCTTTCAACTTCTGATCAAAAGTAGACCCAAACACCCCTTCCGCTGTAAGAGGTAGAGTGCTAATTGTTGAAGAATAATCTTTCAAATCATTCAAGCCTGTATCATGAAGAGCAGCATTTCTTCGCAAAAGATGATTAAAGGCGCCAGTTCTAGCCACCTGATCAAGAGTTTTAGTTGAAATGGCAAAAACATCTCTTGTCATTTGAACAGCCAAATCCAAGTTACAATCTTTCTGTTGTAAACATTCTAACAGGGAACACAAAATCTGCTGTGAATAACAACACATAATCATACCCATGCGTGAAGCCATCTGTCCATGAAATGCCAATCGTTCCATTGACCGCATAGATTTACTAAACAAAGAAGGAGCATGGCCAAAAGCTGCCTTGTGTCCATATTTTTTGATCAACAATGATTCAACTGTATCATCTAATTTAGGTACTTGAAAAAAACTTTCACAACTTTCATGTACTGGAAAATCATACCTGTAACTGTCTTTAAAACTTGTTAATTTATCAGGATTTTCACTTCTATAAGATTGAGACAGAATGTTCATTTGAGAGTCATCTAAAATAATTCCTACATCAGGTTTTAACTTTTTAGTTTGTGCATCTTCACCAAACATATTCAAAAGTGATTTATTTCTTTCCTCTTCAGTCAAAGTCACATACTTACTGAAACGGCTGTTACGATTGCTAGACTCTGGATCAACTTGCTCTCCCGAGAAAGCCACTGAATGTCTGTCTGATTCATCATCAAACAAACCACTGTCACGTTTCTCCGACTCAGAAACTATCACTGATAAAACATCAGAATGCATCTGTGAATGTACACCCCTATCAGGCGCAGTCTGTGAATGTACACCCCTATCGGGTGCAATACCATAATCTCTATCTAAGCTGTTATCCAGGGATAGAAGTGGTCTGCGAGCAGCACTAATTGCCTCGTCTGTGACCTGTGTACGTAAAGACTGGGAACTTTTCTGAGCAACGTAAGTGTCCTCGTTCCCTTCCCGAGACACATTATTAGACAACAAATTTGTCAACATGTCTAACTTAGAGTCAAAAGAAGAAAAACGCTCCTCAAACTTGTCATTCAATTTCTTCTCTAAGAAAACCAATGAATTTTCATCGTCTTTTAGACTTAGCAGATGACTTACCCTCGACGATGTTTTCTTTTTCGTACTATTTTTAGACGAAATTTTCCGAATCAGTTTCGGATAATTTCTCTTTTTCCTGAACTAACACGGCTTCTGCCATATTATACTTATAAAAAAAAACAAATAAATCCTCAAAACAGTTCACTAAAATGAAAATAAAAGAGAACATAAAACACGTGTCCGACTGCAATGGCGCAGAAAATTTAACTGAGGTTAATAGCGTCTTGTGATACTGATTTCCTGTTTGATCATGATCATCTAGACGCTCATTAAGTTTTGCGTGTTACTGTAATGGTTGAGGAGAACTAAATCCTAATGTATTTTCCGTATGGTAAGTTAACAACGGAACCAAATGAAATCAATGACCCCCTGGGGCGGGGCCAATTTTGACCCCAGGGCTTTTATTTGAACAAACTTGGTAGACACTTATTAGAAAATGTTTCATGCTAAATATCTTAGCTCTAGCTCTTTGGGTTCTTTAAAAGAAGATTTTTTAAGTTTTTACTATATGCATATAGGGAAAATCAATGATCCCCTGGGGCGGGGCCAATTTTGACCCAAGGGCTTTTATTTGAACAAACTTGGTAGACACTTATTAGAAGATGTTTCATGCTAGATATCTTAGCATTAGCTCTATGGGTTCTTTAAAAGAAGATTTTTTAAGTTTTTACTATATGCATATAGGGAAAATCAATGACCCCCGGGGCGGGGCCAATTTTGACCCCAGGGCTTTTATTTGAACAAATTTGGTAGACACTTACTAGATGATGTTTCATGCTAAATATCTTAGCTCTAGCTCCATGGGTTCTTTAAAAGAAGAATTTTTAAGTTTTTACTATATGTATATAGGGAAAATCAATGACCCCCTGGGGCGGGGCCAATTTTGACCCCAGGGCTTTTATTTGAATAAACTTGGTAGACACTTACTAGAAGATGTTTCATGCCAAATATCTAAGCTCCAGCTCTTTGGGTTTTTTGAAAGAAGATATTTAAAGTTTTTTCTTCCGGCAACCAGAGTTCTGCATGGAATTAAATTCTTTGAACAATTTTTAAAGGTGACCACCAAAGGAACACTCCTGTGAAGTTTGGATGAAATTGGCTTAGTGGTTTATGAGGAGATGTCATTTAAAGTAAAAGTTTACGTACGGACGACGGACGGACGCCGGACGAAAAGCGATCACAAAAGCTCACCCTGTCACTTTGTGACAGGTGAGCTAATAAAATGAAATAACATCCAAGTATGTGTCAACAGAAATACACTTTCGCTGTTTTCATCACGGTTCACTACACACAAAACAGGCCATGTAGATGTGACTTCTAAGTTTGACCTTGACCTTGGAGAAAAGAGTCTGGGTGTTGGGCATGACACATCTACTTATTATGGTGAACATTTACGCCAAGTCATTTCAAAATCCCTTGAAAAATATGGACCAGACTTGAAGTGTGACATACAGACAAACAGAGCTCATTTTTACATTCCTCTTTTTCTTTGAAAAGGCAGGGGACAATTAAACTGTATTTTGTCAAGAGTTAGTAAAGTTTGAAATTTGACCTACTTAACAGTTTAACAATAGGTATTCATCAGACTAAAGACACTTTTGTTGTAAGCAGTTGTAGGCCAATACCTTGTCCAAATACACTGAAAACTCATTTTAGAATCTTTGTATCCGACAATATATTTTCAATGTTTTTCACACTGTAAATCAAAAAAGGTGCTGTATCAGCCAGATTTCCTCAACTCAAGTTTTACCCTCCTAACTTACAACCAGTATGTAATCATAATCTTTTATTGAATGGAAGCCAAGTTTGTACTGAACTTGACACAAATGTTTTTCTGAATATTGTAAATGTAATATTTTAAGAAGTGTGAAAAAGTGAATAAACTGATCTTGACAATCTATTGCATGTAGCCTCTTGAATCTTACCATAAAGCAATACTTGATGAATCAAAGATAAAAAAATACCTGTGTTTAAACAATCTTCTACAGTTTGCAGTAGTCTTTCTAATCCACCAGGAATATCCGTAATTAACTTAGAGACTAGATCAAGCATCATCTTTACAGCATTCTGATTGGTCGAATGTTCCCATGTGATCATATGACCTACCAATGAGATGGAAAGGTCTATGATAGGGGAGACTACTGCTGGTGGTATTGTGCTCAATGACTTGACAAATTTACAAATTCCAAATACCATTTGTAGTGGAACACTAGATGAGGACGTCTGTAACAAAATAAATTGACTTTCCTTTATTCTTTTCTTAATGAAACAAGAAAAAACTGCTACCTGAAACATCTATATATACCATGTCTGTTGTAATAAGTTCTTTAATAATTAAATAACGAAATCATTAATTTTGTAATGCAATAAATATATTTACAGTCAAATATTAACAACATTACATTCATTATTCCAAACTTTAGTTAGATGTTTAACATATACTTTAATCTATTAATATTGTAATGCTCAGTTATATAAGTGTAATCTGTGTTGATGAGCATGGCCTTTAAACCGTTACAGGTTATATGGCTATATATATACGGTTATTTGCTATATCCAAGCAAACGTTTATATAGCGCCATATAACCTGTCAAATTTTTTTATAATATATTTCATTGTATTGTTATTTCAAAAACTCTTTATTTATATTACATTTCAGCAAAGTGACATCACAATATTTGATAATAATCTCAATTCTATAATTATGGACTGTCTAATACAATCTCAATACAGATGTAAAAGGTACGTTTTCTCTACAATAAAACATCTATTCTTAATTTATTCTTAATACAATATACATTTATAACTTTTGCAGTAGTTACATTACCTCTAGCAGTTTCTCAATGAATTCAAACATCACTTCCACCACCTGATCTGTGTTATAAAACTGCTGAACACAACTACAAACAACCTGAAACATAACACATCAATTGACCTGGAGAAAATAAAAATGATCATTAGATAGAATGTTAGAAGTACAAGAAATGACATACATTTGTATCAGTAGTAGTAAGTCCATGTAAGCTCATCAGTTTCTACACTGTATGTATACATCATTATGAAAGGTACGTATGTGCACAAACAGTAGTTTTCACAAATATTTTGTACTTATTGAAGATTTTGAAGATAGTACAGTGTAGATTATTATATGATCTAAATATAGCTGCAATCTCATAGTAGTCAACAGAACTTTTTTTATAAAATCATATTCACTGTGTGTAGTATCATATTTACTGGCTGAATTGGATTTTCCCAGTCTAAAAATAGATTGAGACTCATATTCAATGATCATACACCGTAGACTAATAATTACACATGCTAATTAAAAGATAATCGTAGCTTTTTGTTCTTTATTGCATATTTCTCGATTAAAATATCATTACTTTACTATTTTACTAAAAGGCTACATCACAATGATGAGTATAAACTTGATTTATATTTGTATGTGCAGCTTTCATTTAGTATTTGCACGCCTAACACTTGCGTCTTTTTCCCGCGCTTCAACGAGGCAAAATTTGTACATGTATATAAGGTTGTATTTTTTGTGAGTTTTTTTTTATTTCTTAGTCTATTCATATAATAAAACAATTATTAACTAGTGTGAGCCACTAAATATGATGTGATATTCACCAGCAGAAAGTTATATTGACCTCAGCTACAGCCTCGGTCAATATGTCATCTGCCTGTGAATATCACATCATATTCAATGGCTCACTAGTCAATAATTGTATAATAATGAGTGCAACATAAATTTATTTTGTTTCAAGTTTAACATTGCACCAATACAGTATAGGTCATATTGCATCTTTCCAGGTTTACTGGTGGAAGAATCCCTTATGTTCTCCTCTGTACATTATAATATTTCAAGAACAAACAGACATCTGAGTAGAACCACCAACAATCCGTAAGCCAACTGGATAGCTTTTGTGCATGAAGAATCAAATGACACTTGCACCCCTGTAACCTACAGGTGTGAGAGGCAATTGGTTTGAAATCAACGAATACAACCACTCGGCCACTGATAGCCCACAACATTTACTATATCCAAAACTATGATACTTATGAGCAAATAATAAATCTTTATTTACATATATGTATCTTAGTTTTAAAGAAGATTGTTCAATAAATCAATCTTCAAAAGAAATTTATTTGGGCATTCATCATAATAAAGACAATGTAAAGGTTAAATATTATTATAATAATACCTCCACAATAAAACAATGTCTGTCAAAATCGTCTATATTGTCACCATCTAGTACAGTATGCTTGATAATGTTATATTTTCCAATAACAGGGCATACAATATCTCCTGCTAAACTCTCCATATCTGATCTTGACACACCTGAACATAAAATTATATAGATTTAAATATATTTTCATTTACATATCATTTTCTTTTATTCTACAATCACAGACATTACAATTGTTTAAATTAAGTAAGTCATCTTTGGGTATTCATTCATTTAACTTATAAACACAAACGTAAAGCTAAAGAAAATGTTCTTGTTTTTTTGTTGTTGTTGTTTTAGATAATGCTATTTAACAGATGTCTGATTTACCAATAGAATCTTCATCATAATCTATGTACGTGGGAGGTAACCACCGAGTACTCAGTTCATATAAAAGCAGTTATTTGCCCTTTTGTATTTCAAATATCAGTATGGTTAAATGAATTAAAGTCACAAATCAAAAAGGTTGAACATGTTTTTGACCGTCATAAGATCCTTTTCTCTGATAATGTAATAATGTAATTGTAGACAGAATGAGTTATGATAATAAAAATATATGACAGAACTGACATACCAACTAGAAGATTGGTCAGGAAGCTTATATGAACACTTGTTGCTTCTGGTTCCATCTCATTCCTTAAATATCTGTAATAATTAATGATTACATTAGAATTTCTGAAAAGTATTTCCTGAAAATTCATCTGCAATAAATTATACAATTGCTACATAGATTAAATCATGTAAAAGATAATCTGTGTGACTAAACTTAACCTTCATTCATAAATGACATTGACCTTCAAGGTTAAATGTCTAAATTTTGCTTGATTTTTTGCTATAAGTGGTTATAACTTTATTATTTTTGAATGGATTGTCTTCAAACTTGAACATAACAATCTTTTAGGATAGACCTTCAAGTTAACCAATCCAACATTGACCTTTACTCACAAATGACCCTGACCTTGGAAGGTCAAATTATTGAAATTTTCATATCCTTCCTTCGGAATTTATAAGTGCTTCATTTCTGTCAATTTTTGTTTTTATGTTGTTTTTTTTTTTTTACATGCTTAGATTTTTAAGTCAATCCAACATAAATCAAATAGAGGGGTTGAAGTGGCTCATGTATAATTTCAGGCAAGAACATGCAAATTGATGATACAATCATTACCAAAGCCACGACAAATTGTTTTCCAATATTAAAAATTATGCCGACAAAAAAAGTAGAGAAAAGTTGAAATATATTTGATGTAATCTTTGCCCTGGAGGTTTAAAAATATTTTCTCTATTTCTTTTTCACAAACATGTAAAACATTAATGTCAGCAAATATCTTTTTATAGTCAATATCTCATGTATTAACTTCTATAAAATTTGTTAAGAAAGGTGTAATTAAGCAAGACTCTAAAAAGATTATTAGTTTTTCCATAAATCAGCAATTATCATAAGCATCAAATATTTCACATGCTTCATAACTTAAAATGGTAATGCCAATAAACAGGTCACTAATTCTTTCACATTTTCCTCGTGAAAATTTGTTTATCCCTGAAATGTTTCCATAACTAAAGCTTTGACCGACAAGCTTTTTTTTCATAAGTTTGCTACATTATCAACAGAAACAAGCTGTTTTTATAAGTTTGCTACATTATCAACAGAAACTAGCTGTTTTTCATAAGTTTGCTACACTATCAACAGAAACAAGCTGTTTTTCATAAGTTTGCTACATTATCAACAGAAACTAGCTGTTATTATAAGTTTGCTTCATTATCAACAGGAACTAGCTGTTTTTATAAGTTTGCTACATTATCAACAGAAACTAGCTGTTTTTATAAGTTTGCTACATTATCAACAGAAACAAGCTGTTTTTATAAGTTTGCTACATTATCAACAGAAACTAGCTGTTTTTCATAAGTTTGCTACATTATCAACAGAAACAAGCTGTTTTTATAAGCTTGCTACATTATCAACAGAAACTAGCTGTTTTTCATAAGTTTGCTACATTATCAACAGAAACTAGCTGTTTTTATAAGTTTGCTACATTATCAACAGAAACTAGCTGTTTTTCATAAGTTTGCTACATTATCAACAGAAACTAGCTGTTTTTCATAAGTTTGCTACATTATCAACAGAAACTAGCTGTTTTTCATAAGTTTGCTACATTATCAACAGAAACTAGCTGTTTTTACAAGTTTGCTACATTATCAACAGAAACTAGCTGTTTTTACAAGTTTGCTACAATATCAACAGAAACTAGCTGTTTATATAAGTTTGCTACATTATCAACAGAAACAAGCTGTTTTTATAAGTTTGCTACATTATCAACAGAAACTAGCTGTTTTTATAAGTTTGCTACATTATCAACAGAAACTAGCTGTTTTTATAAGTTTGCTACATTATCAACAGAAACTAGCTGATTTTATAAGTTTGCTACATTATCAACAGAAACTAGCTGTTTTTATAAGTTTGCTACATTATCAACAGGAACTAGCTGTTATTATAAGTTTGCTTCATTATCAACAGGAACTAGCTGTTTTTCATAAGTTTGCTACATTATCAACAGAAACTAGCTGTTTTTCATAAGTTTGCTACATTATCAACAGAAACTAGCTGTTTTTCATAAGTTTGCTACATTATCAACAGAAACTAGCTGTTTTTATAAGTTTGCTACATTATCAACAGAAACTAGCTGTTTTTATAAGTTTGCTACATTATCAACAGAAACTAGCTGTTTTTATAAGTTTGCTACATTATCAACAGAAACTAGCTGTTTTTATAAGTTTGCTACATTATCAACAGAAACTAGGGTATAAAGAGAAAGATGTATAGTATATTACCTATTTTGTAGAACTTGTATCATTAATGTCACTAGGTTGTTACTGATGCTGCTACATCTTGCAAAAGAGACGAGTATCTTTGTGAGCTTGAGATCAATCTCTTGTGTATAGTACAACAAACCAACCAGGCTTATCTGATCCTCAGCTGACAACTTTGTGATAACATCTCCAAGAGGGTCTAATTAACAATATAAAAATATGGTTAACAAGCATAAATCACACTTGTAGCAGCAGTCTACTATGAAGATAAATAAACAAGTTGTGTAATATAAACCTCCTATCAAAATTTGTTTGAGATATTTATTTATATGAAAGTTATATGGACTAATGTTTACAGACAGAGGTGATACAATTGTGAGAGGCAAGTTTGTTTTATTAGCAGATATGACATGTTATAAACTAATTTATGCTGAAACAATAAAAAAATACATGTACATGTATATACAAAGTTATGACTAGATGACATTTTTATCTCAACATTTTTTATAAAAAGAAAACAATTTTTATAAATTCGAGATAAGCCATATTTGATATTCCAAATATCTTAAAATATATATTTCAAAGTTTTTACAAGCAAGATTAACATATTGTGACACATGACAAAAGTCCTTTAACCAGAGAACAGGCATACTGTACAATGTGTGTTTACACCAGACTACAGCATTATAACCTTTATATCTTGGAAGCTGTATCTAATCTTTTAACTACTTGCCACTAATGATCTGATAAATGCTTTATCATAATATATAAATGAGCCGTGTCACGACAAAACCAACATAATGGGTTTGCGACCATCATGGATCCAGACCAGCCTGCGCTTCCACGCAGTCTGATCAGGATCCATGCTGTTAGCTTACCAACCCTATTACAAGTAGAGAAACTGATAGCGAACAGCATGGATCCTGATCAGACTGCGCGGATGCGCAGATTGGTCTGGATTCATGCTGGTCGCAAACGCACTATGTTGGTTTTGTCGTGACGCGGCTCAAATATACATTTATATTATAATAACTGAAACTCTCCAAGACAGGAACATTACATCATTACACAATAGTAAACAGTATACACCAGTGGTTTACCAAACAGTTCACATTTTCAGTAAACTGAGGTTTCATTTATAAAAATAAATACACTTAAACAAAGACTTACCAAACCACTGCTGTCCAACCTTGTTGAATATTTCTTCATCAAGTAGACCAGAACATTTCTGGCAGGCACTCTTCTTCATTGTGTTAATCACAAGGGAGGTAATCTCACTGTTTTCTTTTGTACACAAGAGCAGTAACTCTGGTAGACTGTGCAAAAATTTCTGTCTCCACTGAGGGCTTAAGAGAAACAATAAATATTTTAATGGTGGAGTTAGAGGTACGACAATGAGGACACAAGCTTCAACGTTTTTGCCCTAGCTGTAGAGGTTTTGTTTTCGTGCATGTCATTTTTTTCCAAGTTACAGCATTGGCAAAAAAAAATGAACAATCACTTAATCAAAACCAACAATATATGTGACGTGTTTGAAGAGTATCCAAGAGAGGTTACTTTTCTGTAACAGATGAAATTATTTTGACTATAAATTAAAACTAACATTGCTTAAACGTAGGCTTAATAATCATTGTACAATTAGAATTCAACTATCATATACTATCTCTAAATTTAATACGTATCACAAGCAAACAGTTAATTGAAACAAACTGAATATATATGCTTATGTAATTTAATCATGTAACAGGCAATACAATATGGCTAAGATAACAAAATCTTGTAAAACAATTTTATATAATAAGTTCCTCCGATATTTTACCTTATAACATGTGAGTGTTCATGTAACATGACAACAGCAAAGAACTGCATGTAAACTTTCTTTTCTGTTGAGGATATATTAGCTGCCTCAAACCTGTTATACGCCTCAGTGATGATTCCATACACAGGAACTATTTAACAAAAATGTCTGATGTTAAACTAGTTTATATGATACATTATGCTACTATAATCTAAAACCCTTTACTACATGATCAAAAGTAACACAATCATTAAGTGAGCATGCTATAAGCTAAATTTGATGAATTTTCTAGAGGCAGTGTTTGAAAAAATAATGTTGATGAAACCTTATAAAAAAAAGTTCAATAAATATCATAATTCTTGACTAAAGAAATCAATTATTTTGTTGCCAGCCTATGAAACAACAATCTATAGACTACAACTTAAGATTGTATAAACCACACAACAAATTACATGTCAAAGTTCATGCAAAGTGACAACACTCAGCCTTTAATTTTAACTCAACCCTCCTGAATTCTTACATAAGATGCACATACAATGTACCTAAATACAGAAATATCAGCTATCTAAAATTGATGAAGCCACTAAGAAAAACAATATAATTGTGACTGACAGTTTAAATGACAATCTAGGAGCATGATTATTTTTACAATAACACACTGGAATAAATACCATCACATAATCCTCTGTCCACAAGCCTATTCAGTATGTTCACAACTGTTCTTGCACTTTGACCAACACCAGTTCTCCCATACTTCCCCTTCAGGAAGTCATTCAAATACATTGTTATCATTGGTAGCCAAAATGGTGATTTTCTCTGATTGGTTGATTGTTTACTAATGAAGTGAGTCATAATGTTACATATGCTCAAATTCAATACTTCTGCAGACACCTAAAATAAAGTACAATAATTGTAAGTTAAATATAAGTCATTTTAAATTCTTAATTTGTTTAATAACACAAGCAGGATACTTCTTGATTTAAAAGAAAATGTATTAACATAAATTTATCTCAAGCAATGCATCTGCTTATTTCTAACATAATTGCTGAAATTTATTATATTGAAATAATCACATGATTCAGCTAAAACATATGGCATTACATACACAGGAAACCCATACAATATAATTTAGATATACATATATTAAAAACTTTTCATTTAAAATTCAGGTAATAAGCTGTATGACATTAAATCGGTATTTTCTATGTGTTTAATGTTTCTTGTTTAGATATTATAAGAATATTAACCTACAGTATTGCAAAACTTGAATGAAACTGTTTACCTTATCATAAATCAATTAAATCTTAACCATTTGTTTCTAACTCAAAACTTTGTAGTAATAAACTACATTGTATTCTGTGTTTTAAATTATGTGTGTGGAGTTATGTCACATAAACAAAGGCTGGTCGTCGGACTTACTCAATATCTAACAGATATAATTAGACTAGACTGACTCACCTGTTCAGCAGCTTGCTGTTTCTTTCCTTTCTTACTAATTCTTGTATTTACACTGTATGGGAAGTTTGCCATAAAATGTTGCTCAAATTCCTTCAGATATGACTCCTGGCTTAAAATATCATCAGACTAAAATCAAAGAAGTTACAAAATTATTCATTTATGTAAATGATCAAGATTTGAAATTGAAGTATAATGGAACCATCACTTCAAACAAAACAGTTGTGCTTATTGAAGAATCAAATGTCACAATCACCTTAACAAAACATTTGAAACAAGCAAATTCGTTGAATTTATATCCCCCGCCGAGTACTGGTTATTATTAACACAACAACTGAAGACATAAGGCTTTATTTATATATTAATCATGGCATAAACAGTAATATTCTTTGAACTTGATAAATATTCAGGGCAATAACAGAGCCATAACTTTGTGTTAAATAGTAAAATCTGGAAATGCCAATGAGATGTATGCATACTACATAACTAATCAAGGGCCATAAATCTGAGTTATGAGTATCTGACTGGAACAAGGCGACTATATGCACATCTCCTCTTAGTATCCCATAAAGTTTCATTGAATTCCAGCCAGTAGTAGCAGAGAAGTAGCGAGGAAACAAATATTTTTCTATATGGATACTGCATAACTAATCAAGGGCCATAACTCTGAGTTAAAGTGTCTGACCGGAACAAGCCGATGATATGCGCATCTCCTCTTGGTATTGAAGGTTCCCATAAAGTTTCGTTGAATTCCAGCCAGTAGTTGCAGAGAAGTAGTGCGGAAACGATTTTTACTCTATATGCATACTACATAACTAATCAAGGGCCATAACTCTGAGTTAAAGGGTCGGACCGGAACAAGCCGAAGATCTGCGCATCTCCTCTTGATATTGATGATTCCCATAAAGTTTCGTTGAATTCCAGCCAATAGTTGCAGAGAACTACACGGGAAACGATTTTTACTCCATATGCATATTGCATAACTAATCAAGGGCCATAGCTCTGAGTTAAAGTGTCTGACCCGAACAAGCCGACGATATGCGCATCTCCTCTTGGTATTGAAGGTTCCCATAAAGTTTCGTTGAATTCCAGCCAGTAGTTGCAGAGAAGTAGCGCGGAAACGATTTTTACTCCATATGCATACAGCATCACTAATCAATGGCCATAACTCTGAGTTAAAGTGTCTGACCCCATCAAGTTTCGTTGAATTCCAGCCAGTAGTTGCAGAGAACTACTCCGGAAACGATTTTTACTCTATATGCATACTACATAACTAATCAAGGGCCATAACTCTGAGTTAAAGTGTCTGACCGGAACAAGCCGACGATTTTTACTCTATATGCATACTACATAACTAATCAAGGGCCATAACTCTGAGTTAAAGGGTCGGACCGGAACAAGGCGACGATATGCGCATCTCCTCTTGATATTGATGATTCCCATAAAGTTTCGTTGAATTCCAGCCAGTAGTTGCAGAGAACTACTCCGGAAACGAAATTCGGACGGACGGATGGACGGACGAACGGACGGACAACGCCAAAACTATATCCCCCTCACGATTCCATCGGCGGGGGATAAGAAGTTGGCCTAGAACAAACAGTGAGCTTTCAGGGTGTACACACACATTTATTTAAGATGCTTCCAGAAACATCAACCTAATGTAAAAATATTATCTGTATTATTATTATTTTAATACAAATACATAAAAAGTCATTAAAGTGACCATTTAACAAGTGCTGTCCTAAGATGGCACACTCAACTATTCTCAGTGCCCAACAGTAAAACCATGGGCATAATTCCAGTGACTTTCCAGCTTTACTGGTGGAGGAAGACCTCACAAACAGGCACTAGAGTAGAACCACAAACATTTTGTAAGCTAGCTCGATAGTTTTCTCACATGAAAGTATAAGAAGATGTTTGCGAGCTAGAACCAACAGCAGTGAGAGCACTCCGCCATGTACGCCCCTGAACATGTATATAATATTACATTGAATATGTGTTAAAATGATATATACCTGTTCAGTAGAGAGTGCTAAAGTACACTGCCACAGTAGTTGTGTTACCTGTAGAATGTTATACATCATACCTACATTCTCTTCTAACACTGAATTCACACCTGAAATATATAATGATAATGTTATCTATATTCTAGTAGCAATTTGTTTAAACAAAATTATTCTAGCTTGATCCATACATAAACTTGAAGCTTATTTGATTTTATGGAACTAACCAGTACTGGTGTCATATGAGGAAATATTGTTGTGACTCCAGTAGGCTCCAAACTTATGATCCTTTGGTTTAAAGGTTTACAGTAATCTTATTTTATTTCACATTTATGCTGGAAAAAACAGAGTTTTATGCAACTGCAAACTGTAATTGAATCAAAACAAGTTACTTAAGTAAACAGCTATCAAACAACAAAGAAATAAGAAAAGAATGAAAATAAATATCAATTGTGTTTTGTTAATTAAGGTATAACCCTGCAAAATGGGCACTACAAGGAACTTACAATTTTACAACATAGGTCAGTATCATACATAAAAGTACACCTGTATGCAAATCTTTAACAAAATTTTACTGTACAAATTTACGAGTTGTGGACACTTTTTTGGGCTGTTTTTCAGAAACTAGGAAATTCTAAAATAATGTAAATCATCTTTATGAAAAACGTTTTCCTATTGATTATTGTTAAGAAACAAATAACAAGATATGTTTGTAAAACATGTATGCCCCCTATCGGCAGCCAATTAGTCATGTGATCAGGTTGTTATGACTGACTTGACCTAGTGACCAAAAAATCAATAAGGGTTAATTTCTGGTCATGACTAGTCACTATGTAACTGTGAAGCAAAGGTTGTGTGCAGCAATTTTATGACAAAGTTATTTCAAATCTTACCAAATAATACATGCATAAATTTAATGAATCATGTAGGCCTCATTAATGATAGCCAAGTTGTTATATTACATAAGACCTTGAAATGTGTATACCTAAAGGATTTTTAGTTTAATAAAAAAAATTATCAACCAAGGCAACTTGAGTTATTGGTCAGAAACAGTCTATACATACAACATCAATTTGACATTGACCTTTGATCCTTAAATCAATAGGGGTTATCTACTGGCCAAGACCAATACACCTGTGAAGTTTGAAGGTAAAGGGCCCACCCACAAAATGGGGTATTGATCAGAAAGCGTTACCTATAAGGTCAATGTGATCTTGACCTCTGACCCCTTAACGCCAAAAATCCATTGAGGTCATCTTCTGACCGACAGACAAATGCAAAGCAATATACCCCACTTCTTTGAAGGTGGGTATAATAATATTCAAACTTGTCTATCCGAATAATGGTGATACATATAACTCTTTTTTGTACCTGAAAATTTATTTTTATCTTTAGAAGGTGCAGACTCTACCCAGCATTCCAGCAAGAGGGGGATCAAGGTCTTAGCAAATTCTGGAAACTTTACACCTAAAACATCCAACTTTACATCCTTTGACATACTGGGTCTGAAAAAAAAAGATATAATAGAATTTTACAATGAGCAATCTATAACTGTAAGTATACCATTAATTAAAGTAAACAAGCAAATTTACTGAATTAGTATTGCTTGTCGAATGATACTAATCATTTGATTGTGAAGCTTCTATGTGACTTACAGAATTTCTATAATACAAAGTCCATAAAAATGAGCAGTGCAAAGCAAAAGGATATTATTATAAAATATAATAACATTAACTTCACTGTAGGGTGTTAGTTTGATTCTTAAACACAGCAAGCTTTTTTTGCTATGCATCTGCATCTTCTTTTACAAATAATTAAGTTTGTAGGATAACAAAACATTTCTTTACTCATACAATGTACTTCCAAGTTTCTGTCATTTAGAGCCAATCTTACCTTAGAATAAATCCTGGTGTTACCCATTGTTCCTGAATGTATACAGGAAATTTTTGTATTGACATGACTTCATCAAGGGTAAAGTTAACATCACATGTTGGAGAAGGATTATGACCATCAGAAACACAAGTGCTATCCAATGTTAATTCTTGGAATTTCAAAATGGCAGACAGGAATTTCTGAAGTCTATTTAAAACTGAACTTCTCCATTTTACAGATGATGTGGCACTATTTGGATCTGTACTAAGTGACCTCTTTGCCTGACCCTGACCTTGCTGTCTAGAAATCTGCTCGATGAAATTTGACAGTACTTGGTTAGATCTGTAAATCATCAATCTGGGGTAATTATCTAATAATAAATCAAGCACAACCAATGAGTCTACTTGAATATCATCATAGATATGTGTCATAGCACAGCATAAATGGGCACACAAGAGGGGGAAGAAAGGTGATATCTGTTTCTCTGAGACAAGTGGAAGGAAGAACTTGAAGACACGTATTGCACCTTGTCTTACAACAGAATCTTTGTCTGTCAACAGTTCAGCAAGTCTTTCTAAGATGTCTGACAAATGTGATTGTACAAGATGTGGGTTTGTTGTAAGGAGTTCTTTCAAACCATTCACTGCTTCAACTCTAACAGATGTACTATAGTGACGACACTGGCTGAACAAATCCTGAAATCATTACAAACTTTATTTTCATAAATTATAACTTTCATGCCAGGAAAGTAGACAACTAAAACTATTCAAATAGTTAAACAATTACAAACAAGCCTAGTAATGCATACTATAGCCTTAAGTTGTTTAATATCTGTCATTCATATTTAATCACAAACAAATCCTATATAAGTGTATTTTCATTGGATTGATGGCAAAATGTGTAAAAGAAAAGCATTTTTAACCTATAATTAACATTTCAATACTTCTAAAACTTTGAACTGCATTTATTATGTTCAATTTCAACAACTGCTTTAACCTAATTCAATCTGATACTAAATGACCAGCTACTAAATGACACTTAGCTTAGCTTTATGTCAACATAAAATCTGAACTTCATTCAGATTGAATATAATTCTCCATTATCTACTGTTTACATTGGTGCCAGAAAAACCTGTCTTACACATTTTATGAATGAATTACATTCTTCTGATGACGTCATTATGCCAAATGAAGTTGTAAATTCATACGCTTAGTAGTACTATCAGAAAAAAATGCTTAATGAAAAAATTAGTTTTTTTTATCATGAAACATCATTAATATGTAATATGCAAGAAAAAGAATCTAACACCGGCTGTTGTCACAGACAGAAATATCTAACTCTCCGGTAACTGTATAGCCAAAACTCAGCAGAACCTAGTTCACCATAAACAGTTACTCTGGTACTAGATTTTCCTGTCTGTATTGGCAGCCAGTGTAAGATTCTTATTATCTTATTTGGCTAACATACTCTAGATTACATCTGTACATACTGTTATATTGTGTTTTTTCTTTGTGCTAGGTTGTGAAGCATCTCCAGTTTTTAACTGCTGACTAATCTGTATACCACGGGTTCTGAAGCTGGCATTTGTTACATTATCAGCTTTCTTCAACTTCTTTCCAACCTTCAACTTTACTTTCTGAAAATCCTGCTGTCTTTTCTTTTTACTCTTTGCCATTATAGCTTTTTAAATCTAAGATACTTAAATATAATTTTTCAGAATTACATGATATATTTAAAACAAAAAAATTATCTCTTAATGAGCTGTCACACAATAGCATATGACACTAACATATATGAGTGCATCAGAAAAATTTCTACTACTCTCACTGACAAAAATTTATGATAGAAAGTATGTTAAAGGAACTCCACTAAAATTTTAGACGGGCTCTGGAAATATTTTACCGAATTATTGTACCATTCAATGAAGCTTATAGCTTCCAACAAAATCAAACTTAAATAAATTAGAACAAACTAAATTTCATGAACAACCAGAACCCTAAAAATGCACAACCACTGAGCATTTTTTTGAATTTTCATATGACATAAATATGTGCACTTCATATTATGCTATGATGTGACAATAAGTTTCTTAAATAATATTTTTTAGGAAATTTTTGAAAATTATTTGCTTATAGCTAGCTTGAAGAACTGGCTCGCAAAGCAAGCTTTACGGTTATGCGAGTACCTGCTAGATAGTGATGGTTTTGAAAACTTTCGTCCGAAGTACTGAATTGACACATGGCAACTTTTCGAATTACAAGATAACAATAAAAGCTGAGGTATTCTGATTGGAATCAGAAGCGTAGACTGCTGTCCTGCGTACTTATATGGGAACCATAATAGGACAGGGGACCAGAATAAACCAAAGCAGTGTATAAAATACCGAATGACATTTTTAAAACAGAAAATGTAAAATAACAAGAGCTGTCCGTAAGACAGCGCGCTCGACTTTTTTATTGCTTGCCAATAAAAAAAGTTTTTGCAGTAAAAGGCAATACAAGAATCTCTGTATTTTTAAAGTGAACAATGGCCATGAGCATTAAGATATTTAGTGAAGAATTATTTTACTGAATTGTGTGATACCCTTGAACACTGCAGCAAAGTTTGAAATGTTTAAGTCAAAAGAGGGCTGGTAAGAAAGAAAAAAAAACTAAGTCGATAAAAGGCCTTAATTTTTAAAACAAATCCTTGACAGAGTTACCTTCTCTTGCGTACAGATGGGGGTAATGATGTGAAATAGCATTAAAAGTTTCAAAGCAATATCTCAAAGGGTTAAGGCAATAAGTGGATTTTACCCATATTCAATGTATTTTCTAAGTCAAAAAGGGGCATAATTCTGTCAAAAACCTTGACAGAGTTATGTCCTCTTGTCTGTTGATGAAGGTCGTGATGGTAAACAAGTATGGTCAGTTTCAAAGCAATACCTCCAATGGTTTTGAAATAAAGTGAGGTGGTACAAAAAACTTAACCAAGCTCAATACACTTTCTAAGTCAAAAAAGGGCCATAATTCTGTCAAAAACCTTGACAGAGTTATGTACTCTTGTCTGTAGATGGAGGTTATGATGGTGAACAAGTATGGTAAGTTTCAAAGCCATACTTGTAATACTTCTGAAATAAAGTGGGGTGGTACGAAAAACTTAACCAAGGTGTGACGCCGACGCCGACGCCGGGGCGAGTAGGATAGCTCCCCTTTTCATAGAAAAGTCGAGCTAAAAATGAACGATTATTTTATACTATTTCACGGTAAAAGTAAATCAAGCTGGCTTTGAGGCTTTGCCTTTTTCATATTATTCCTTTTTAAATGTGTCACATTTTTGGTTAGCTCATTCCTTTCTTAATGGTAGACAGACACATAAAAACTCAAAATTTTATAAAGTGGACAAAACGCCACACAAATTTTAAAGAATGGACAAAACCCCACTTATCCCATTCATAGGCTTTGTCTACTTTCATATATACATCGATTCCTTTCTATGTCATTGTAAATTAGTTGTTCAGTATTTTGTAAGGAGTCTTCTAATTTGCTCCATACAAATCATAATTAGAAATACAAAAGATCTTACTTTACTAAAAAATAACCAAGACAAGAACTGTCGGAGGACAGTATTGGCTCGACTATTCAAAAAGTTGTCACAAGGGTGTTTTATTGAGTATAATAATGCTAATTACCTATGAATTCATAAAATTGACCGAAAAGGTACAAAGGCTTGTTATTAAGATGTTTTATCAAGTAAATCACTGCTTTATTATTATGAATGTATAAAATTGTCCCAAAAAAGGCACAAACCCTTCAGTAGTTATGGAGATAACAGCTTACAAGCAAAACTTTACCATGAATTTCTAAGTTGAAAAAGGGGAGAAAAATCAGCCTAAATGCAAGATAGAATTATGAATCTTGGTCAGTGACCAACAATTATGACCCTAAATGCATATGTGAAGTTTTAAATAAATATCTTTAATAGTTATTGAGATATGTAAAACTTGCATGTAAACATTAACCAAGAGACTAAGTAGAAAAGGGGAGATGAATCAGCCTAAATGCAAGATAGAGTAATGGAACTTGGTCAGTGACATATAATTATGACCCTCCAATTATGACCCTAAGTACATGTGTAAAGTTTCAAGTAAATACCTGGTATCTTTGAAGACCTTTAACCAAAATTTCTAACTTTCAAAGGGGCAAATAATTCTGCAAATGTTGCAGGCAGAGTTATGCAATTTTGCAAATTGATGTACATTATTACTAAAAAAAGTATTGTAAATTTCAATTGAATATCTCAAGCAATAATTGAGATATTTGACTTTACAAAAAAACTTTAACCAAAATTTCTTAGTTAAAAAGGGGCAAATAATTCTGCAAATATTGCAGGCAGAGTTATGCAATTTTGCAAATTGATGTACATAATAACTATAAAAAAAGTATTGTAAATTTCAATAGAATATCTTAAGCAACAATTGAGATATTTGACTTTACTAAAAAACTTTAACCAAAATTTCTAAGTTAAAAAGGGGCATAATTCTGTAAATATTGTAGTCAGAGTTATCCAACTTGTCAATCTGATGTACATTGTTACTATAAATAAGTATTGTAAGTTTCAATTGAATATCTCAAGCAATAATTGAGATATTTGACTTTACAAAAAACTTTAACCAACGCAGACGCCGACAAGGACGCGACTACAATAGCTCTCATATTCTTCGAATAGTCAAGCTAAAAATGATGATATTTTGATAGTATTTGATTTCCGGAAATAGTACTGTTCAGTACGAATTATACGGGGAAGTCAAAGACCGGGCCCGCGAAGCGGGTCCGGGCTTTGGCTTGCCCGGCTATAGACTACACGTGTATATTCAAAAGAAAATCAAATAAAAAACAATTAAAAAATATATAGAATTCTATACCTATCAATGAAATTTTCAGTGTCAGTTCTAGTCGGGCGCCGCCATTTACAATGTAACTCAATGATAATAGGCGGGGTATTCCGATAACGGAACAAATCTCAACTTTTCGGATAAATGATAATCGTCGAGTATTCCGAGTGAAAACGGAAGCGGTGCATGTAATACCGAATGACACCTTTAAAACGGAAAGAATGAAAGGAATTTTTAACGACTTCCCCGTTCATAGGCTTTGCCTAATTTCATATTAGCAGCCCCCATGTTCATATACTACTTGCAGTTTCCTGCAATGTTTTTGGTTATTTTGGGCTACAATTGGTGGGTTTTATTTGCTGAAATGGAAAAACTTAATATATTTTACCTTTTAAGTAATCCCTTAAAAGATGAAAGGGAGAATAGAATTTTTGGGAGAAAAAACATGGCTATTTACCTAGGGGAAGACGCTGACTATCAGTGTCAATTTGTTGTTAAAAAAAAACCCTGAATGGAAAGACCGTGAAACTCAAATTTCGTGTGTATCAGATGCTACTAAGGGTTGTAAATGGTCCCTTTAATGTACTTAGTAATATTATAAAATTTTAGTAAATTCAACTGATTTCTACCCGTACTCCGCTGACAGACATGTATCAGTCTATGTTTACCTACCGAATCAATGTGCCATTTTTTTGTCTACCTGGGGGTTTTAGCACGAATGCCCTCGTTTGCTGAAGGATATCTCATCCCTAGAGACTTAGGGTCGATCTCATTTAAAAGCTTAAACATTCTGCATAATACGCGGAAGGTCCGAGCGGGGCCGAAGGCCCCGCGAGGGCTGTAGCGCTCTTAGATAACATGTATGACGCGTATCAATTCAAATGAAATCAAATTAAAAGTAAATGAAAATTTCAAAAAAATATATATCCTATACCTAATGAGCTGTGAAAAAATCCTTAGTTAATGGGCGCCGCCATTTTGAAATCCTTTTGACCTAAATTTTAATGAGCGTCTACATAATTTAGACTATTGCTAGCGTCTGCTAAATAACACTTCCGGTGAGAGAATGATGTGCAAAATCAGAAAGTAAACATGCATTTCATTGATAAGAACTATAGTAACGATTATAAATATTAAAAGTTACTTTAACATATCCTTTTTGATAAATTAGCACACTAAAATAACGTTAAAACAACTGTGATTAGAGATTAACAAAATGGCGGACGGAATTTTCCAAACGCCGACGCGTGCGCAGTGGTCTCCCTTTACGTTCGGAGATTTTCGGAATATTCCGAGCGCTCCGACGATAGGTTGAACACCACCAATTTATTTGTTTTGTTTACAGTACAAAATACCTGCAAGATAGATCTGGTTTACATGTACACTAAACATGTTATGCTCAAATCATAGTTCATAAGAACTTTCCGCGCCATAGGTAGCACCTAATTTCATATTAGTTTTCTTTTTATTTATTCTCAATCATTTAACATACTACCAGGTGAAAACTCTGAATTTGGGTATAGACACCAGTCTAGACAAAATTGGACTAGACACAAGTCCTGCGTATCTCGATCAGAGGGATTTCATTACTAATTTAATAAATGGGGATTGTGCCATCTAGATGTCAAGATGGTTTTAAGAATTAATTTTCGGCTTTGGAGTTATGATTAAGGTTATAAAACACACATTTTGTGAGCATTTTATGAGTCGTACTCCCGTTTCCAGTGTGTCAGTTCACAAATTTGTGTCGCGGAAAGTAATGACAATTATATAACAAAATAAAATACAAAGAATAATTTAATCAGACTCGATATATTAAGCATCGCCTTTGCTTTGTCTAGCAATCAAACCTTTTTCAAACTTTGCCTGTACGCATTTAATCGATTTATGGTGAGTGGTGACCAATTATAGACAACACATGGGCGCAGCCATTTTAGAAAGTTTGGATAAAATCCGGTGTACAGTAAGCAATAATTACGGAAAGAAAGATACTAAGCTAACGTGAAAATAGGAAGAAATTAGTCATTTCGTAGTAAATAGGGATAATATAAAAATAGTATATAGTCTAAACACAATGATAATATAAATAGATGTTTTTTTAGAAATATAAATCTCGACTGTACATAATTTAAATTCTTTTGGCGAGCCTAGCTGATGTTCGTTATATATAAACATGGAGCTTTTTATATCGCATCATGTGATATGTCATCTGACAGAAAAGTTTATGATATACACCAAATAAAGTACCTATCAATTTAAAATGCGTTATATCAACAGACATCGGAATATACCGAAAGAGCATATTACAAAAGTTGAAAACTAACATTTTTGTTCAAACCGTTAAAAAATAAACTAGAAGTATCTTTAAAAAAGATACCCTGCCGAAGAAAAACTGGTAAACATGCAAAATTATGCTATTTTTAAGTTTTTAATAAAAAAAGAAGTGCTAGCAATGCTTGCATATCAATGACATAATGATTCTTTCTTGTAGCTAAGACAATATACATATTGATATTGATGATTTTTAACGGTAGGACAGATCTTCTTTAGGCACCCATTTTGCTTGTTTTACATTTGACTTTATAAATTTTATAATCATTTACAAATTAACCTAAAGGTTAAATAACTCATTCCTAAACATTTTACTTTAGTACTAACCATCACATTTTATTTTATAGTGGCAAAAATTATCCCTTACATTTTATTATTAGAGCTATGGTTAAAACTATCCTTTACATTTTATTTTAGAATGATCAATGTAAATGTTGCAGGAAGTCAAACTGACAACAGACGGACTTCGTCCGAAAAAATAGACCCTCAGTAAGAAACTGCACCTGGTTCATTTTTAAACATTTAGAATTGACCCCGCCGACACCTGAATGTAATCAAGATATAAATATAACTACAAACTGACTCGTGTACTCTGTTAATTATAATGATATCATCGACTTGCATATGCATCATCAACTTTAAATAAAAATAGTGGCCATAAGTATTTTTTTACCAGAATGGTTTAAAATATTGTTCAAAGTACTGAAGGAGGCCTACATGTATTTTTATTTTGGATACTAGCAAAGTTACCATTTTATGGTTAAACATGAATCATCCAAACCACACCTTGCATGCTTTATTTACAGATTTACAGCTTCCGTGGGCCTTATCAAGTGGCTACACAAAACTTTCAAGCCTCAAATTATTAATTAGCAATGGGAACATGGTTACACAATATGAAATACGCGGCAAACGGGGTGGGCCGGACAGAAAATGTACATATTATTAAATGTTGTATTTTCAAAAATATTGTCTATATTTGTAAGTAAAATTGTAACACAGTGACCTTCACCTTTGGGTACGGTGGCACAAATGTGACATGTGTGTGTTTTTATTTATCTCGTGGCCACGAGATACTATGTCGTGGCCACGAGTTACTAAGTCGTGGCCACGAGATAGCTAACTCGTGGCCACGAGATACTATGTCGTGGCCACGAGTTACTAAGTCGTGGTAACGAGATAGCTAAGTCGTGGCCACGAGATACTATGTCGTGGCCACGAGTTAGCTAACTCGTGGCCACGAGATAAATAACCAGTCAGATTACATCATTTATGTGAATTTCCCTTATTAACTAGTACAAGGATGCCCCTGCTTTACCAGCCTGTTAAAGTGCCATATATACAACTTATTGACTTGTCAATAATTTTTTATTTAGCGTCACTGTGACCCTGATTTTTGACCCAATGGCCTCTAAATTATTAGATGTCATCTACTGATCAGGTGCAATGATCTTTCTGGGTTATATAAACCATGGCTTATCCCTTCTAAATTATTCATCAGACAAGGATTTTACCTTATAGGCTATCTACTGTCCATGGGCAATGTCCCTTACAAATAAAATAAACCAGGACTTATTCCTTCTCATGTTATCGTATAAACAAGGTTTACAGGCCGTAGTACGTACAAACTGACCAATTCGATCACAAAATTGTCCCAACAAAGAGCTATAGTCCAAATTAATGTCTGATGGGCCTTGGAAGGTGACTTTCTAATATGATCCTAAAGACAAGTTCAAAGTGAATATCTTCAGTATTTTCAAAGATTAATGTTGCATGTAAAAAGTAAGTTGTTAAGTTTAAAAAATTCATAATATATATAGTGTATTCTGATTGGTTAATTATCTCGTGGCCACGACTTAGCTATCTCGTGGCCACGACTTAGTAACTCGTGGCCACGACATAGTATCTCGTGGCCACGACTTAGCTATCTCGTTCCCACGACTTAGTAACTCGTGGCCACGACATAGTATCTCGTGGCCACGAGTTAGCTATCTCGTGGCCACGACTTAGTAACTCGTGGCCACGACATAGTATCTCGTGGCCACGAGTTAGCTATCTCGTGGCCACGACTTAGTAACTCGTGGCCACGACATAGTATCTCGTGGCCACGATCTCGTGGCCACGAGATAAATAAAAACACACACATGAGTTACTAAGACGTGGCTACGGTGGCACAAAGGTGACATGCGTGTGGTTTTATTTATCTCGTGGCCACGAGATACTATGTCGTGGCCACGAGTTACTAAGTCGTGGCCACGAGATAGCTAACTCGTGGCCACGAGATACTTTGTCGTGGCCACGAGTTACTAAGTCGTGGCCACGAGATAGCTAAGTCGTGGCCACGAGTTACTAAGTCGTGGCCACGAGTTACTAAGTCGTGGCCACGAGATAGCTATGTCGTGGCCACGAGATACTATGTCGTGGCCACGAGTTACTAAGTCGTGGCCACGAGATAGCTATGTCGTTGCCACGAGATAATTACCCAATCAGAATACACTATATATGTTATGAATTTTTTAAACTTAACAACTTACTTTTACATGCAACAATAATCTTTGAAAATACTGAAGATATTCACTTTGAAATTGTCTTTTGGATCATATTAGAAAGTCACCTTCCAAGGCCTATCAGACATTAATTTTGACTATAGCTCTTTGTTGGGACAATTTTGGGATCGAATTGGTCAGTTTGTACGTACTACGGCCTGTTAACCTTGTTCATACGATAAAATGAGAAGGAATAAGTCCTGGTTTATTTTATTTGGAAGGGACATTGCCCATGGACAGTAGATAGCCTATAAGGTATAGTCCTTGTCTGATGAATAATTTAGAAAGGATAGGCCATGGTTTATATAACCCAGAAAAATCATTGCACCTGATCAGTAGATGACATCTAATGATTTCGAGGTCATTGGGTCAAAAATCAGGTTCACAGTGACGCTAAACCAGTCAATAAGTTGTATAAATGGCACTGTTACAGGCTGGTGAAATAGGGGAATCCTTGTACTATAGCACATGTCTAGTTAATAAGGGAAATTCATATAAATGGTGTAATTTGATTGGTTATGGTAACTCGTGGCCACGACTTAGCTATCTCGTGACCACGACTTAGTAACTCGTGGCCACGACTTAGTAACTCGTGGCCACGACATAGTATCTCGTGGCCACGAGTTAGCTATCTCGTGGCCACGACTTAGTAACTCGTGGCCACGACATAGTATCTCGTGGCCACGAGTTAGCTATCTCGTGGCCACGTCTTAGTAACTCATGTGTGTGTTTTTATTTATCTCGTGGCCACGAGATACTATGTCGTGGCCACGAGTTACTAAGTCGTGGCCACGAGATAGCTAGCTCGTGGCCACGAGATACTATGTCGTGGCCACGAGTTACTAAGTCGTGGCCACGAGATAGCTAACTCGTGGCCACGAGATACTTTGTCGTGGCCACGAGGTACTAAGTCGTGGCCACGAGATAGCTAAGTCATGGCCACGAGATACTATGTCGTGGCCACGAGTTACTAAGTCGTGGCCACGAGTTACTAAGTCGTGGCCACGAGATAGCTATGTCGTGGCCACGAGATACTATGTCGTGGCCACGAGTTACTAAGTCGTGGCCACGAGATAGCTATGTCGTGGCCACGAGATAATTACCCAATCAGAATACACTATATATATTATGAATTTTTTAAACTTAACAACTTACTTTTACATGCAACAATAATCTTTGAAAATACTGAAGACATTCACTTTGAAATTGCCTTTTGGATCATATTAGAAAGTCACCTTCCAAGGCCTATCAGACATTAATTTTGACTATAGCTCTTTGTTGGGACAATTTTGGGATCGAATTGGTCAGTTTGTACGTACTACGGCCTGTTAACCTTGTTCATACGATAAAATGAGAAGGAATAAGTCCTGGTTTATTTTATTTGGAAGGGACATTGCCCATGGACAGTAGATAGCCTATAAGGTATAGTCCTTGTCTGATGAATAATTTAGAAGGGATAGGCCATGGTTTATATAACCCAGAAAGATCATTGCACCTGATCAGTAGATGACATCTAATAATTTCGAGGTCATTGGGTCAAAAATCAGGTTCACAGTGACGCTAAACCAGTCAATAAGTTGTATAAATGGCACTGTTACAGGCTGGTGAAATAGGGGAATCCTTGTACTATAGCACATGTCTAGTTAATAAGGGAAATTCATATAAATGGTGTAATTTGATTGGTTATGGTAACTCGTGGCCACGACTTAGCCATCTCGTGACCACGAGTTAGTAACTCGTGGCCACGACTTAGTAACTCGTGGCCACGACATAGTATCTCGTGGCCACGAGTTAGCTATCTCGTGGCCACGACTTAGTAATTCGTGGCCACGACATAGTATCTCATGGCCACGAGTTAGCTATCTCGTGGCCACGTCTTAGTAACTCATGTGTGTGTTTTTATTTATCTCGTGGCCACGAGATACTATGTCGTGGCCACGAGTTACTAAGTCGTGGCCACGAGATAGCTAACTCGTGGCCACGAGATACTATGTCGTGGCCACGAGTTACTAAGTCGTGGGAACGAGATAGCTAACTCGTGGCCACGAGATACTATGTCGTGGCCACGAGTTACTAAGTCGTGGCCACGAGATAGCTAAGTCGTGGCCACGAGATAATTAACCAATCAGAATACAATATATATTATGAATTTTTTAAACTTAACAACTTACTTTTTACATGCAACATTAATCTTTGAAAATACTGAAGATATTCACTTTGAACTTGTCTTAAGGATCATATTAGAAAGTCACCTTCCAAGGCCCATCAGACATTAATTTGGACTATAGCTCTTTGTTGGGACAATTTTGGGATCGAATTGGTCAGTTTGTACGTACTACGGCCTGTAAATCTTGTTTATACGATAACATGAGAAGGATTAAGTCCTGGTTTATTTTATTTGTAAGGGACATTGCCCATGGACAGTAGATAGCCTATAAGGTAAAATCCTTGTCTGATGAATAATTTAGAAGGGATAGGCCATGGTTTATATAACCCAAAAAGATCATTGCACCTGATCAGTAGATGACATCTAATACTTTCGAGGTCATTGGGTCAAAAATCAGGGTCACAGTGACGCTAAATAAAAAATTATTGACAAGTCAATAAGTTGTATATATGGCACTTTAACAGGCTGGTAAAGCAGGGGCATCCTTGTACTAGTTAATAAGGGAAATTCACATAAATGATGTAATCTGACTGGTTATTTATCTCGTGGCCACGACTTAGTAACTCGTGGCCACGACATAGTATCTCGTGGCCACGACTTAGCTATCTCGTTCCCACGACTTAGTAACTCGTGGCCACGACATAGTATCTCGTGGCCACGAGTTAGCTATCTCGTGGCCAAGACTTACTAACTCGTGGCCACGACATAGTATCTCGTGGCCACGAGATAAATAAAAACACACACATGTCACATTTGTGCCACCGTACGTGGCCACGAGATAGCTAACTCGTGGCCACGAGATAGCTAACTCGTGGCCACGAGATACTATGTCGTGGCCACGAGTTACTAAGTCGTGGCCACGAGATAGCTAACTCGTGGCCACGAGATACTATGTCGTGGCCACGAGTTACTAAGTCGTGGCCACGAGTTACTAAGTCGTGGCCACGAGATAGCTAAGTCGTGGCCACGAGATACTATGTCGTGGCCACGAGTTACTAAGTCGTGGCCACGAGTTACTAAGTCGTGGCCACGAGATAGCTAAGTCGTGGCCACGAGATACTATGTCGTGGCCACGAGTTACTAAGTCGTGGCCACGAGTTACTAAGTCGTGGCCACGAGATAGCTAAGTCGTGGCCACGAGATACTATGTCGTGGCCACGAGTTACTAAGTCGTGGCCACGAGTTACTAACTCGTGGTCACGAGATAGCTAAGTCGTGGTCACGAGATACTATGTCGTGGCCACGAGTTACCATAACCAATCAGATTACACCGTTTATGCGAATTTCCCTAATTAACTACACATGTGCTGTAGTACAAGGATACCCATACTTCACCAGTCAGTAAAAGTGCCATTAATACAACTTAGTGACTTGTCAATAATTTTACATTTAGCGTCACTGTGACCCTGATCTTTGACCCAATGACCTCTAAAGTATTAGATGTCATCTACTGATCAGGTGCAATGATCTTTTTGGGTTATATAAACCATGGCTGATCCCTTCTAAATTTTTCATCAAACAAGGATTTTACCTTATAGGCTATCTACTGTCCATGGGCAATGTCCCTACCAAATAAAATAAACAAGGACTTATTCCTTCTCTTGTTATCATATAAACAAGGTTTACAGGCCGTAGTACGTACAGACTGACCAATTCGATCACAAAATTGTCCCAACAAAGAGCTATAGTCAAAATTAATGTCTGATGGGCCTTGGAAGGTGACTTTCTAAAATGATCCTAAAGACAAGTTCAAAGTGAATATCTTCAGTATTTTCAAAGATTAATGTTGCATGTAAAAGTAAGTTGTTAAGTTTAAAAAAAATCATAATATATATAGTGTATTCTGATTGGTTAATTATCTCGTGGCCACGACTTAGCTATCTCGTTCCCACGACTTAGTAACTCGTGGCCACGACATAGTATCTCGTGGCCACGACTTAGCTATCTCGTGGCCACGACATAGTATCTCGTGGCCACGACTTAGCTATCTCGTGGCCACGACTTAGTAACTCGTGGCCACGACATAGTATCTCGTGGCCACGACTTAGCTATCTCGTGGCCACGACTTAGTAACTCGTGGCCACGACTTAGTAACTCGTGGCCACGACATAGTATCTCGTGGCCACGAGATAAATAAAAACACACACATGTCACCTTTGTGCCACCGTAGATTCCTAAGTTTAGTCATCGAACGAAAACTATTTTTTTTATTTTTAGTAACAGTGACCTTGACCTTTAGGAAGCCGAAACGAAATCCAAAGAGTGATCTCCATACAAGCTTGCTACAATTGAGGTTCACACTCAAGATTACATAAAGTGCACTTGTTGTACACTACATGTGTGCCTCTAATGCACTTCAATATGCACCTTAAGTGCACCTTAAAGTGCACTGGAGATGTATTAGAGCCTTTTCTGCACTGGGAAGTGTTTCAGTTTGTATATATAGCAGTTAACTTTTGTTTCAACAAATATCTCTATCAAAATTTATGTATATACCAAGTTAAACACAATATATCATTCTTTACGCCAATTATTAACCAGAAACTATTTTTCTATTGTTAGTACCATAGACATTACCCTTGACCGTAGGTGCAACTTTTTACAGTTGCAACACAACACTTAGCAACTGCTGTTGTGAAGTATAAAATTCTGGATTAGGAGAAGGTTAAAATAAACGCATTTCAAACTTTTAATAATATTATTCAACGTTCTCCACAGTTACTCAGACATCAAACATATTTTAAGTTTCGAATGGTCACATCAATACATTTTATTTAATAGGTCTCCAAATGTACATTTTTTGGAATTCGGTCTCTCTCTCTTACAAAAGGTTTTCTAATAAATTTTCCAATTCGACCAGACTATAATATTTTGCTTCGATCTTCAGTTCCTTGATAAGCTTTTGTTCCTTGGGCAACGCCTCTACTGAATCTGCGCCATCTCTGAGATAGTTTAAAATATATCTGAAGTTAACACCATCTCTATCAATAAAATAGGTTCCATCCCTTTCCATTTTCAGTGCATGTCGACCTCCAAACATCATCGCTAGAAGTGATCCCTTTTTCTTTGTTAATGTTTCTGTCGAAGTTGCATACATGATCCCGCCAACGTTTAGTGTCACTCTTGTTTCAGATAATTTGTTTTGAAATTCCATTCTCTCGATTTCATCAGACAATTTCGTTTTCTCCTGTTGTAAAACAGCATATTCTTGTTTAATTTGCGATAACTTTTCAGCGATACTCATTTCAGTTTCATTTATATCATTTTCCTTTTCCCTTACGACATTTTCTCTTTCTTCTATGAGAAAAAATCTTTTCTCGAGGTCACTTCGGATTTCGCTAATTTCTCTCATTTTTTCACCAACAATACATTTAGCAGAGTCAACAAGTTTTTGCTTCAGAGCTTCAGTATTTCCCAACATATCGTCAGTATACTTCTCTACAAAAGATGTTAGTACATCTTCCCATTCATTTTGAATAGACGAAATTGTAACGATGCTTTCAAGCGAGTTTGTTTCAAGATCTCCTGCATTTGTTACTTTTTCCAAGGAGGGATGATATATTTTTGGTCCTAATTGTTCAATAGCAATGGCAATGAAAGCCGACGGTACATGGAAATATTCTAAAAGATCCTCCATCAGAGGTTTTCTCCTCTCAATCTTCGCTTTCATATCGCTGACGATGTATTTATCGTTCATCTGATTACTCCGTTTCTTCAATATGTTTTTGATGGGTGGCATTATTTCTGTCAGTTTGCAAAGCAATGTTTGTTTTTCCTCCATTATCGGCTCAATGACAGCGTCTCGATCTTTCGGGAATATGTACAACCATAATCGTACCTTCATATTGGCTTTAACTCCTAACAGTGATTTAGCTTGTTTTCCAATGTACATCAAACTATCCCAAGCAAAAACCGAAATCTGCTTTTTGATTTCGTTTACAGCTGTAATGTCATTTACACCAGTAACTAAGATTTGAAGAAAATCTAATTCTTTATCTGTCATCACGTTATCAGTATACGGGTTTCTATCAGGATCGATACACGCATATAAGCTATAGATAGGACGTCTACGTCGCTCATGATCATCAGCAATTCCAAAAAGTGCCAGATAAATCTCCCATTGACTTTCTGGTATATATACATTTTTTTCATCGTCCTTGGACATTGTTACTGGTTTGGATATAACTTTACCTATCACGTCTTTGTCATGTTCTAACGAGAAACTTTGTGAGATACAGATGTCCCATGACTCCAGCCATGACATCGAAACTGCATATTCCCAGTAATCCGATGTGCACAAACGTCTTGATGACAAACTTTTCATTATTGCCACACGAGTTGCGTTCGACATGCCAGCCATCTTCAACTTAAAAATAAATAAGAGAGCAATTTTACCCCTGTAAATCATAATGCACGTGTCACCATTAAAGTCATTTAAGGGTCATGTAAAAATCATATTCCATGACATTGATTAGAGACACGAACATATTGACGAAACAAGTATGTTACTTATTTAGATAAGAATATTAGAAGCTCAAGGTAATTTTCCATATATTGGCTAAATCTGCTAATCTTTTGCTGTCTTCATGACTGACTTTGTAAATTTGTACATTGTGGTGATGTTGACAAGGTCTTTAGAGATGCATTTCTGGGGAGGGGGGATACTTGTATATTATTAATTTAAAAAGAACAGTGTATGTCATATTTGTCTCCCCAAGGACTTGAGATCCTTCACATATCCCTCTACTGTGAGTGATTTACAAAATATTATCTGAATTATCTCCCTTGAAGTTAAATTTTGTACATTAATAACATATTTTATACAATAAATCAGTACTACTGTTAAAATACTTTATGTTGATATAAACCCTTTCTTACTTGTAAGGTAAGCAATGACCAATATTAAGCTTGGATTTGAAAACTCAAAAGTTATATGAAAATACAAACTTACTGCGTGTGTGCAAACACTTCCTTGTTTTTGTAAACACTGTACTTTGATCCGGTGTTGTGTTATCTTTAAGCACTGACGAAAATGGTGTGTTAAATGTTTAAACATAATGCAATCACCTATGAATACATGTAATGATAAAAGATTATCATACTTATCTTTTAGAGTATTAAAAATCGTTTAGGAAAAGGTTTTCATATGCATATAGTAGATATAGTTAGTACAGAAACAAAATAATTAAAAGTTGACAAATTTTGTCAATCTGCTACAACATAATATTTATAACGTTACTTACCATTTACCTACGACACACAATAAGGCTTTCTTCGAAAACAAGCTATCTATCTGTACGAGACGACATGTTGATTTTTTTTTAATATTTAAAATCACACACTTTAATACCATGGTAAAGTATGAGATGAAACTCAAATCACATGAAGGTCGTTAAATATCTCTTATAAATTATATTGCAAAAAATATATATTTGAAAAATGGGATCAACCGTGGTGAAACAAGAAAGAAAACAATTACTTGATAAGTCCCTATAATTTTTGTTTGCATATTTTGAAAAGCAGTATACGTGTGTAAAATAATTTAACGATTTCATACATTGTTTCGGCGGACGGGCTAGTAACAATTTCAATTGTGCACAACTCTTCCTTTCTATAGTAGGATTTTCAATCAAGCATTCATAGAAAGAACAAGTATAGTACATTGTATGTTGAATAATTATTGTCATGGTTTTGTTTATTTATCAATTTATTATCAAAAAACTAGCTCGGCGAAAATTTCCTTTAAATGTATTCTGTTTAATACATCATTATATTGGTAATTGCAATATTTGTATAGTTAAAAACGATATACTGACGACCTTGATGTTCCTCAAAATGAAGAAGATATCATTATATATGTATTTAAAAGTAAGTTATTGACCTCGGGCATTGAGTCTTATGGTCATATTTGTCTCCTGAATCAGAAATCAAGTGGGATAAGTAGTCGAAAATCTGCTAAGATTAAGCAACTTCTAATCACATGTTACTGTGATAAACTGCCGTGGGAAATTGGCTTATAAAGTATAAAATAAACGGAAAGTCCATTTGGTTGTTTACTAAAATGTCTTTAACCTGGGACAAGCTTATCTTATGTCCCAGCTTTAACTTCTCAAAGATGGCCAGACTTTTATCTAATTTTGTCCGTGTGCATAATATCAATATAATGGTATGTTCAGCAAGATCATTTTTTCTGATTGTTTAACTGGTAATTGCATTAAGATATTTAAAGTATACTGTCAAACACAAGAAAACTACATCTGTTAGTTAACCAAATTATCCTTTTAACAGTTAAGGATATTTATGAGATGGGTGTCAACATAATTTTCAGTTTCATGTACACCATATTCTCGAACACGTTATTCTAGGCGAGGATGTCGATTCTGTCATGCTTTTGTTTAAGGTCAGATGTCACTTCTACCGGGACATTGCTTATTGCCAAAAGATAAATTATTATCTCAAATCGGACGACTGCATTTGCAGTATACAAATAGACACTTCCAAACCGTCGAAGTATCGAACAAATAGTTTGCAGGAAAGGTTATTTAAAGATGTACCATTCAAAGTATCTAGTTAGAGTTTCAATGATATGCATTTCGTCATTATCTTCACTTGTGGGCGGGACTCGAGTTTTATTAGCCGATAATAAGGTCCTTCCGACCAATGTTAATTTTTCCCCCCCTG